GTGTGTAGCTTTCAGCCACTACAACTTGCTTTGATATTGCTCATGGAATAAAACCTATTATTTTCTCATTGTGAAAGTCCTTTTATGCACAGTGTAATTGGTACTTAACATTCACTTCACAGTCTGGACTGTAAGCTCCCAGTGGACCAACTGATCTCTCACTAGCCAGCTCCATCTGTTTTCAAATTTGTTTTGGAATCCCAGGAACAGACAGGAGGCGTCTTCCACCACTGCGGGTGCTTACTTGGGAAAACATCTCAAATTCCTGGGAGCCACATATAATATAACTTTATATATCAAGAGCTTTTCCAAATTCTAGCACCAACTGTTTAAGTATCTAAATGACCAGATGTTTACAGTTCCAGTCTGAACGGTTTTCATCTGCATTTGCCTCTTTGCTTGCATAATACCTGTTTGTTGCTTTTGTTTATGTCTTTATTACATTTATATCCCATCTTCCCTCCAAGGAGCTCAGGGTGGTGTACGTACCTTTCCTCATTCCTATTTTATCCTCACAATATTTTTTAAATGTGGGTTGTAAAACTAGTTCTTACATTATAATTTACAGTTTGTGGAGAATATTCTCCAGATAATTTTCTAGCAGAGTATATTTTCTAGAATATTCTCATTCTCGAGAATATTCTCTGGAGAATATTCTCACCTCACTTCACCTCACTACTCACTACTACCAGTGAGATAGGTTAAGCCAAGAGGCAGTGACTGGCCCAAGGTCACCCAGTGAACTTCATGGCCGAGTAGGGACTGGAACCCTAGTGGCCCACGTCCTGGTCTGACACTCTAACCACTACACCACTGTTTTCCAAAATGGCCCCTAAATAAAGTGTACAGAGAAAAGGTTGGCTTTTCTTCACTAATATTTTTATCAACCTCTAGCTTCTCTCTTCCCTCAGTCATTTTTTAAAAACTGAATGAAAATACCTCATAGACTTTGCTTGTAGAGGAGGTCCTCCAACTCCTCAATACTTTGGCTTGTCCTTTTCTGCATGTTTCTGAGGTCTGTGATATCAGACCACAGGTTCACTTCACTATCTAGTATTGTTTTCACTTCATTTCTTAATAATCCCTAGCATGGAATTTAGCTTCTTCACTGCCATTGATGTTGCCACCTTCATCAAAATGTCTTTTTCCCTTATGAGCAGCTCTTCAGCTGTAATGTGAAATTAGGGGTTGTTTTTGCTTGCTTACATTTTGTTGCCCATGCACCTAGTTTGGAGATATTTTCTTGGAGGTCTTTGAGTTTTCGTCATCCTGAATAATTTGGTAACGTCCGCAAATTTGGCCAACTTCTCACTCCAGTTCCAGACAATTTATAAGCAAAATGATATCTGTCCTGTTATGGTTCCTTGCGTCAGCCCACTGATTCCATCCTTCCTTCTGTTAGATTTGACCATCTGCGTTGGTGGCAGACTTTGTCAAAAGATTTTTGGAAGTCCAAGAGTATAATGTCTCCTGTAAAGGGTTGATGAGACTGGACTTTCTCTTGAAATCCATCAATGTAGATTTTTATCGCTGAAGCAGAAACTGTTACCCAAGGTTTCAGTTTTTGGGATGTGGAAGTGAAGGGATCCCATGTCACTAAATTTAGGTTGGCCCCACAGGTTTTAATATATTTGAGCTTGTGTGTGGTAAAATTTGCCTTTAGGGAAAACATTGGTATTGATAGGTGGGCTCTTCCTCAACAATTTTAATTTTTGTTGCAGATAAACTCAACTGAGAAGAACACAACTGTGATGTTGCTGAAGAAGATTCATAGAAAAAATTTCCGGATGATCATTGACTGACGGCTTTGCCTGATGTGGTTTAGTGAGCATCACAATAGCCAGAACAAGTTGTTCTACATTCCTTTATTTGAATTACCAGGTAGAGGTCTTTGTTTTGTTTTTGTCCTTAAATTAAGCTGTGCTCTGAGATGTGCTTGTAGCTAAAGTAGATTTATAACCAGTAATAAAAGTCTGCTGTTGTCATACTCCCAGTTTCTTTTATAGTAAATCTTTTAAAAAGATAACTATAAGTCTATATTACTCTGGGCAAACACTCTTTCTTTATAATGGTAGGGTATACCTAATATAATTTTCTCAATAGTAATTGCATGGGTGGAACCAATCTTAAATATCTTGAATAAATTTACATAGGAAAAATGTCTACAGATAATGAAAACATGTTCTCTGTAGGCACACCTGTCTCCTGAGGTATAAGCTCTTTATACTCAAAAGCATGTTGTGTTCAAAACACACAACTTAATTAGGATTCTTACTGCAGTCTATAATTCCCTCTTTGTCAATGCAGGAGGCAACTGTTTTGTGGACGAGTCAAAGCCTATTTGGATTTATTTCGATGAATAGGTAACTGTGATCCCCATATAACTGATGAAACTGTAGCATTCCATGTAATTGGAAATCTTGCCATTTTTTAAGCAATAAAGGCATATTGCCTTGCTGGTATTTTTGTAAATTGTCATCTACATGTAGGAACCATTTTCCTTAATGTTATTGGGCAGGGGTGGCCAAATTCATAAGCCCGGAAGGGGAGGGTGAGAGTACTGGAAGTGTGTTTTAACTGGGTCTCTTTGTGCCTGCCATCCACCCCTCCAATTCCCCTTCCTCGCCCACCTCCTTCCTGTCTGGCTTGCTCTCCTGATTTGCCAGCCACCACCTCTGCTCCTAGGGGAATCTCCTTCCCCAGGGATGGGGTCAGGACATCCTTGACACCCCCTCCCTCTCTGTGAGGTCAGGTGGCCCCAGAGCGGCTTTGGGTGAGGACCCTCCTCAAAATCACTGCTTGGACTATTCTCATCCCTCAAATTGAGACTGGGGCCCAGTGGCAGTATGTCAGGCTCCTCCTTTACATCATTGCCCAAACTGCTGCTACCTCCCATCCTGAGGTCATCATCTTCTTCCTCCTCTTGACACACTCTGCCAGTCACACCCTGCCCCCAGCAGAGTCATGGAGATCACAACACTTGGTAGCAAGTTTAGTACTTAGGCAGTAATGTACACACGGCCCTACTTCAAGTGGAGCCAATTCACATTAGGAAATAAATCCTATTGATATCTTATATATCACATTTTTTGTCCTTTTCTGTTCTGACTAAATGTTTCTGAGATAACCCCTCAACCATGTTTTGGTGTGTTATTTTAATCTGAATGTAGGAAGACAGACGAACCATCATAGATTTAAAAAGGTGGTTAGAAATGGAGTCATTGCACCATTTTTTTACTTCATTTCAGATCACTTTGATTTGCATTCATCACAACATTCAACATGTCATGGAACCGTCTAGACACAATGCGGCACATTTCTGTAATGTACATTATGTACTGGATTATCTTTTCAGTTAGGGAATAGCACTGCACTCTCATAGCCTAGTCTTCCGTTAACATTCATCTGGCAGCAATTCCTGCTCACTTTGTTCCTGTTGAAAGCTAATCAGGTTTCTCTTATTGCATGAAGCAACTTACAGAATTGACTCAGGCTTCCTCCTGTTCAGACTTCCTGGCCTAAGAGGATGCTTCATGTTCTGTCACCATTGATGACTAAACAGTCTGAACCAGTAGCAACATGTTTAATGGATTATCTCACCATCAAGGTTGCGGTTTTGAAGACAATCATTTCAGTGAGAAAAGTGGATGGAAATGGTTGTGCTTCATTGTGGTCTGCAATTCTTGATGGTGCATAAGAACTGCTTTGCATTAAGGCCTATTTTGGAATTACTACCATATTCATTTCACATTAAGCAAACCACAGTTTTGTCAATCCTCTTTTCAAATCCTTCAGATGAGCAGAAGTGTGAATTGCATTCATTAGATGTCCATACGGCCATTTGATTTTTACTTGCATTGCACTTGTGAGTTTAGAAGAAGAGGTGCTAAATTTCATTGACTGTTCAAGGAGTAGAGCTTTTTGAGCTTCTTCCCAGGCCCTTGCTAGGTTTATTATTTCTGGAGATTCACACATCCTCCACAAGAAGCTCAGCCATCTTCAGCACTGCAGACATGTGTCTCAGTTGCAGCTGTCTGTATGCCAGCAAAGTGGAAGTGGCCTCATGATGTTTTCTCTAGCAGAATGCAATGGCCATTGAGGGCAGAAATTAAACCAGGGTTGGAAGAGCAGTGTTGCAGGGTGATGGACTTCTATTCTCTCTGCTCAGTAGGGAATGCTATAGTCCTCCCATTTGTGGGATTGCACGCTTACTGGGAAACTGCTGTTGTGCAGTCACTTAGCCAGCCCTCCTCCCTGGTTTAAAGGCTGCAGATACCATTGATGCACACCTGCAGCATTAGGAAAAAGCCGAACAGGTTTTTTGGCAGGCAAGCTTGGTGGACAAAATGCCAGTTAAAGGGAGGGATGGAGAGCCTCATGCTCAAAGTTCTAGGCATTTCTGAGATTTGGCCTGTGTTCGTATGGGATTTGGCCAAAGAACAGCAGTTACTGGTAATCGCAATTTCTGTTTTACTATATTGAGCCACTCATGGACTGGAAATTTCAAGCCTGTTTTTGTACATTGATCAGATTGTGGATGTGAGACCTGTGGTTTGGATTTGCACGCAATGATGTTTGTGGCGATGCTGAAGCACAAGTAAATATCCTCATTGCCAGGGAAAACAGTAACTTTCAGATTGGCTGGAAGGCTGGTAAAGAAGTGGGTGGATTGGAGCATGCAGCCAAAGTCAGGATGTGGCCTGTGAAATGAGTATAGAGGTAGCCAATGTGGTGCCCTCTCAATGTAGTTGGGCGCCCACCTGTATGCTGAAGCTCAGTCTTGAAACTTTGCCTATGAGAGAGAGGTTTACTGTCCATTTACTGCCAGTGGTGTCTGTTGCTTTATTTCTTACTCCTACACATGGGGAGTTGCTTATGTTAATGAATATAAATTAGGTAGTGAGAGTGGAGAGGTTTCTGTGCTTTAACCTCAATCATTAGAATGATTAAAGTATTCTCCCTCCCCTTTCCCCCCTTCTTTCCATTCCAGGATTTTAAGGATGGATTATTTTCGAGCCTTCACTTTTCTCTTTATGCTGATATTATCCAGAGGCGTCACGGCAGACACAGAGAAGAAAAGCCCTGATTCAGGATTAGAAATCTGTATCCTTCTTTCATTGCCTTGATTTTTGTCTGTGAAAGTGGGGTGTAACACTGAGAGAGTGTTGCTTGTTGGGGGGCCCTTTTGTGCTTAGCAAGGGTGGAGAAAGGGAGTGGATTTGTAAGCCTTGGGAAAACATGTAGATTTGTACATGTGCATGTAAAAGTATATAAACTGCAAAAGGGTACACATACATACCACAAGGAGCATTCTGAAGCACTAGGCTGGGGAAAGCTCATCTGAAAGGCCCATGTGAATTAAAATGTCTCTGCCTGGTGCCAAAAGGACATCAGTCACTGCCAGGTGAACCTCCTGGGAAGAGCATTCCAATGTTGACGCTCCACCGCTGCAAAGTCCTCTCTTGCATCCACAGCTGTCTAACTTCCAGACCCTTTCAGCTGCTAAGATAGGCAGAGGGGACCCTCTTGGTAGTTCCTCCACCTTCAGAGACTTGGGGATGGCATGGCGGATAAGACATTCTCTGTGGCAGCCCCTAAGTTGTGGAACTCCTACCCCAAAGAGGTGTGTCTGGCACCTTCATTTTGCTAGTGAAGTCTCCAAAGACAGAGCCAAAGAGGCCACAAGTCAGGCATGCCTTTTATTCTAAATGTCCCGTCTTGCCCAAATACTCTTAAAGGAATTACCAACCATTTCGCCCTTGGGCCTGGTGTACGGTATTTTTCTCAGATAAGCAGTGTTGTACTGTGTGAGAAGTATAACGACCTTGTCCTTCCCAAATAAGCTATGTACCCCAATACCAACACTCTTAAAAAGAGAGAGAGAGAGAGAGAAAGAGAGAGAGAGAGATCTCATCCTGGCTCAGTAATGTCAAATAGGCTTCACTTCCTTCCTAGCTCACTCAACTTTTCCCTCCATACTCTCCGTATGAAAGCCATTCTTCACATGATCTTCATCAAGTTGGAAAACACCACTGTGAAATAGATGGATTCTTTATGCTGACACGGTGATTGCAGCATGGCACGTCACATGGTTCTTCCTCTGGGCAAAAAGTTTCTCTGCTCTTTCTGTTTCAGGAGGGGTTGTATTTTTCTCTCTCCTTGACCCTCCCTTGCTTTTAATTGGTAATGTGAACCCTTGTCATTTGTATTTCCCTCTGGATTTATGCTGTCATCCTCCATAGATTCTAGTTTACAGCTGCCAGGCCACCGAGAGCAGATATTCTTTGCAGTCTCCGTAAACTTTATTTATTGGCATTGGCTTTTCCTCAAAGAAACTGGATGCAGTAGTTAAAAGAAGCCTGGTCCCTTGTAAGGGCTACTTTGATGGAGTGGGCCCCAGATCTCCTATTGCCTTCCCTCTCTGTTCTTAAACTTAAAACTTTTTTAAAAATGGTTCAGAGCCATCATCCATACATAGAAATTAGCATATACACATTTTATGCAAAGTCCCCAAGTCTTTTTATATACCTAACAATGCCCCAGGGTGAAGGGCAAAAAAGATGCTGGGATTGTGCTGTGGGTTGTGGGGAGGGGGACATGGGGCGAGAGTTTGGATGTTCTGTAGCGCATGGTATCCTTGACCAAGTTACAGATAAGAAGCTGTTCGAAGTGAAACGCAAAGACCAGATGAATGCGTTGAAGAACCTGATTGAGCTCAACGATGTGAACCAACAATACAAGATCATAGACATCATGCTCAAGGGTCTTTTCAAAGTGAGCCTTGCCTAACAGAGCGCAGGATTTATTTATTTTTAGTTATGGAATGTTAGATAATCTTAAAAGCAGTGTGTGGGGCCAAAGAAGAAGAGTGTAGTGTCTTCGTCAACAATGCTTCTTTACTGGAAAAGGTTGAGGTGGTGGTGGGGAAGAGACTTGGCACTATGACCGCCTCACAATTCCAGTGAATTGCTGGTGAATGTAGCGGCTGCCACTCATTCCAGACACAGTTGGTTGTGAGGGGAGGGGAGATGGTACCTCTTAGGGTCTGCTGGTTTTAAATCTACTGTCGGAAGATAGCCTAGGATGGTCTAGGCCTTACCTTAGGCACCCTCACCAAGTGCTTTCTTACACTTCCATCTGCAGAGTAATAATAATAATAATTTTATTTATACCCCGCCCTCCCCAGCCAAGACCAGGCTCAGGGCGGCTAACAACCAATAATAAAAACAAGTTGATTAAAATACAACTTAAAAACAAGATTTAAATACAACATTAAAACATTAAGATGCAGCCTCTTCACAGGAGGAGAAAGGAAAAAAGAAAGAAGGAGAGGGAATCAAATTGATTCTAAGCCAAAGGCCAGGCGGAACAACTCTGTCTTACAGGCCCTGCGGAAAGAAATCAGATCCTGCAGGGCCCTGGTCTCATGAGGAAGAGCGTTTCTCCAGGCCGGAGCCAGTGTTGAAAAGGTCCTGGCTCTGGTTGAGGCTAATCTAACTTTCTTAGGGCCTGGGACCTCTAGGGTGTTGCTATTTATGGACCTTAAGGTCCTCCGTGGGGCATACCAGGAGATGCGTTCCCGTAGGTACGAGGGTCCTAGGCAGGTAGTGACCATTTTAGGTGTGTCCAATTGATGCACAACTGCCGATGCATGGGCCCCTTTCGACCCAGAAAAGGATGGAATGGAGGCAGAACGGGCTTATGCGCACCTCTGCTGATGTGCATGGCAGCGAGGAATGGAACCCCATGCAAAATGGTCACCACCTGTATGTATGTAGAAGAGCACTTTCAGCACCTGCTCCATAAAAATAGATTGCCTTACACTGGAGATTTGCCCAATGCATGGGTCTGCACATTCAGGACCAGCATGAGATCTTAGTTGTTCTTCTGGGCTGGTATTTGGTTGGGTTTAAATGAATAGCTGAGGTATTATATTAGACTAGGTACTTGAGAAGTGATTTGCAGCTTATCGATGGTAGCATCACATCGCATGGAGAAGGCGCTTGTGGCTTCATACAGTTGCTGTTTGTCTGTGGCCCCCACCTGCTTGGCCAACAAGCTCCATTTTGTGCTGTGTGATGTAACAGTGTCACAGCACAAATGTTCCTGTGTGTTTTGTGCTTGCCTGTTGAAACCAGACTCGGTCCAGGAACTGCAGCTGTTGGTTCCTCCGCAAATAATGTGAGGTGTTTTGAAGGGCTGGGATATTCATTCTCACAATTTGGTTTCCTGGCTTTTGAGGTTGTTCTTTCCCCCAAGTTTCCTCGTCTGTCAGGGCTGTGTCAGATGGGCATCTGTAGCAAAGCAGAAGAGGTGGGGGTGTGCGGCTGAGAAGAGGCTGTTGCTGGCAGCACAGGTGTGGGAAAGAGATGTTTTTGGCAGGAGCTGATATCAACCATGTCCGCTTTCTGTTGTGATGTGCAGGTTCTTGAAGACTCGCGGGCTGTACTTATAGCAGCAGATGTCCCTCCAGATGGGCCGTTCCCTCAGGATGAGAAGCTAAAGGATGGTGGGAGCTCTTTGCTTTATAATCCCGATTTCTCCATCCATCATTCTGTAGCCATTAAGTTTGTAACAATGAGCTGTTCTGGCATTACAGCTCTCGTTGCCATTTTGGCGACTCTTGCTTAGCCACCCCTGTCACTTCTGTTCTTGTGTGTCATCATTTCTGACATTTGCAAAGGTCCTGGGATGGGAACAGAGCCAAATGAGGCTACATAGCATATGGTACATGAAGCAGAACAGAATCTTATTATTTCGCCTGTGCATATAATGGAAAGTAAACACTCGTAAGGCTGGTCAGTATCATTAAACAGGGACGTGCGGCTTCATTCAGATTGATAGCCAGTTTCTCCCCACCCCCGGTCGGATTCTGCAACTGGAACCCTTGGTTTTGTGACTGGACTAAATGTATGCAGATTTGCATTGTCTACAGAGAGGTACATGAATTTACAATTTGAGACTGGCTGGTTATGTTTCCGGTCACTTTTAAAAAATGTTTGTTGAGCAAAGAAAAATTAAGAGAGTGGAAAAGGAAGGGCAATTGAACCTATGAGGGCAGCCAGAATTTAAGCTATTGCAGCATGAAAATGGTAGGTACTTGTAGAGAAGCAGAGATTCCAGTTCTTTTGTCCAAGGTACTGATTTAGTATATTAAGGTATCCTACCTTGTGCTTTTGGCTGGTGTTTTTTGGCCATGCAGATTTCCAGAATTAAATCCTCATTTAAACTGTTGATGCCAGCCACCTAGACAATGAGCAGCAGTAGCCTCCCCCCAACAATGCTACTGCCATCAATATCTGTAATGAAGGGAAGGATATAGTTTTAATAGTTTTCCTTTGCACTGATCACAGGTAGCCTGAACCTACCTGGAATTCATTCTCTTATTATAATTTTGAAAATACTATGCGACTTCTGTTTCCTTTGAATAGCTGTAGGAAAAATTATGTCAGATTGAATGACACACTATTTGGGTTCCTTGCCAGATTTGTGGGCTGCTAGCTTGCTTTCTGGATTTCTGAAGTTCACAGATTTGGATGTGAGCATATTAATCTGTCCCACCAATATTTTATTTTCAAATGCTGTATACATAAGGTTGAGCCCTCTTTTTCTGTATTCATAAACTTGGAATAAAATATAAACCCTTTTCTGTACAGTCACTAACATAGATTAAATGTAAAGGTACCCCTGACCGTTAGGTCCAATCGCGGACGACTCTGGGGTTGCAGCGCTCATCTCGCTCTATAGGCCAAGGGAGCCGGCATTTGTCCGCAGACAGCTTCCGGGTCATGTGGCCAGCATGACTAAGCCGCTTCTGGCGAACCAGAGCAGCGCACGGAAACACTGTTTACCTTCCCGCCAGAGCGGTACCTATTTATCTACTTGCACTTTTGACGTGCTTTTAAACTGCTAGGTTGGCAGGAGCAGGGACCGAACAACGGGAGCTCACCCCATCGCAGGGATTCGAACCGCCAACCTTCCGTTCGGCAAGCCCTAGGCTCTGTGGTTCTATTCTATTCTATTCTATTCTCCCTTCTCCTCACTCACATAAGCAATAGGAATGGTTAGAGTGTGTTGAGGTGGTACGCACCCTGCATTTGGATTCTATGTTTATTCTCATGGAACTTGTCTGATCTCTACCAGCGGTAAAACTCCTGATTTCTCATTTGTGGCTCTTTACCTCTAGCATATTCCCATGTGGTGGAGAACACTGCATTTTTTGGTGATGTAGTCCTGCGTTTTCCCAAGATAGTACACCATTACTTTGACCGCAACTCCAACTGGAACAACCTGATTCGCTGGGGAATTGGCTTCTGCAATCAGACAGGTGTATTTGACCAAGGTCCGCACTCACAAGTCCTCGGATTGGTAAGACTTCTGGTTTGACTTCTGCTCTGATGTTGTTGGCCTCTGATAATGGCCAACAATGGGTTGGCAATGTGGGATAAAGGAATATTAGTTGACGGAAAACCAATAATCTAAGGGTTGCTTCAGTCGTTTCAGTATCTGTATATGGAGGGTGCTTTTGTGTAGGAACTAGCATGAAGCTTGCATAAAGATGGTAATATGCAACTTATATGCGCATTTCACACTATGTGTGCACACTGAGTAGTAATGACTTTTGCTTCTCAGCAATAGTATAATCCAGTGGCATAGCGTGGGGGGTGCAGGGGGGCCGGCCGCACCGGGCGCAACATCTGAGGGGGGTGCGCTAATCTAGTGGAAGAGACTCAAGTGCTAAAATCCACGGGTTAGGGGGCGCAAATTACTTGCCTTGCCCCGGGTGCTGACAACCCACGCTACCCCACTGGTATATTCCATTCATACATGTGTTGTTGTTTCTTTCTTTCTTTCTTTATTGGGTTTTATAAACAAGAATAATGGTATACAAATAAGTATACCAAGTTTTCTCATGCCATTTGTATATCACAAAAACAGCATAATAAATGTGGAAAAATATCTACATGTTTCATTATTAGTGGTCAGTAGATAAGTTCTTGATTCATGAATTGGTTTAAACCAGCCATACAGCCATAGGCAAACTTGGCCCTCCAGATGTTTTGGGACTACAACTCCCATGATCCCTGGCTAACAGGACCAGTGGTCAGGGATGATGGGAATTGTAGTCCCAAAACACCTGGAGGGCCAAGTTTGCCTATATCTGCTTTAAACAATTAGGAAGAAAAGAGGGGGGGGAATGATGAGTGGAGTGGGGTGGTTATACTTCTATTCTTCTACTTTGTGTGGGGTTAGGGTTAGAGTCACTTGTTGTATTTCCTTGGTGGTGCATTCAACCGTATGGCTGCACATTTGTGCATCTTGGTCTCTGATAGGCTGCTTTAGCTCACAGCAACTCTTTAAGCCATGCTACCTTTGTGTGCAGCCTATGCGGTTTCCTGATAATTTACACAGCAAGTGAATGAATTGCAAGATCAGTGGTTCATCCCATAAGGGGCATCAAAACTTCTTGCATTTGCAGTACCCTTAATTTGGGAGGGATAGTTTTTTCACATTTGGGGGAATTTGCACTGAACTACCAAATGAGGCTGGGAAGCTTCAATGGCGGGTGATGTAGTTGCAGGAACTGAGAAGCAGGCAGCAAAGTGAGAAGATTACAAGACATGTGAATGAAGCTGATCTTCACTATTTTTCTTCTGCAGATGGCTCAAGAGCTTGGAATAAGTGAGAAATCTCCAGAATACCGGAACCCCTTTAAAACAGACAATTCTGAAGTAAGATAATAAAGCCATTAGTGCACCCTGCCTGTTTTTACCTATTCTGGCCATTGGGTTGCTGACACCTTTCTGGGGCTTGGCAAGGGAAGAAATGGGCAGCACTGCTTCATGACGGATATGTGGTAATCCCTAGGCACGACTAGCTGGTAATAGTGACTCTGTTCTCCGCAGCAACTTCCAGTGTGGAAATCTTGTGCAGCCAGCAAAATGCACACTTGGTTGCATGTTTGGCTGACAGTTCATATTGTTACCTCCAAAGGGAAATTGAAAAAGGAAGCCAGCGCATCTGCACAACCTGTAGAAGTTCCCCTTCTGATGTGACAACCCAGCACTGCAGCTGGATGCAGGCACTGACCATGTGCTCAGCTTGCCACACAGAAATCTCATCTGGAGCTGCCCACAGTGGCCATGCTCAGTTGCATTTGGTACTTGATGCATGTTGCATCAAAGGCAGCTGCAGATGCCTATTTCTTTCCTCTGTCTCTTTCATATCTGGACCGATTTAGCTGCTTTGCAAAGCAGATTGCCCCTGGAAATAGGTTTTTGAGTAGAATCATTATCATAGCTCAGGACATGGGAGCTGCACCTATTGAGACCTTTCCTAGTTTTTTGTTCCTGCTAATGCAGATTTGCAAATAATGCCATACATGTTATTAGCTAACAAAAGTGTTTGTTGACATAGATATGTGTGGCACGGTTGTGGGTTTTTTTTAGAGTGCCAGAATTTATTCATTTTATTTTATATTCCACTTTTCCTCCAAGGATCTCAAAGTATTGTACATGGTTTCCCCGCCCCCCCCCCAACCTCATGTCATCCTCACAAAAGCCCTGTTAGGTCAGTTAAGTTGTGAATGAGAGACTGGTCTATGGTCACCCAGTGAACCCTGATCTCCCAGGTCCTAGTCCAACACTACAGCACAAAGCCTCTTTATCTTTCTTTTATTCACAGAAGTGACTGAGGCACTTGACTAGGGTTCTACAGGTAGCTCCATGACATAATCAAGAGTTGACTTTGGAATCCTAATAAGTTCTCTGTTCCGGTGATTATTGGGAACCCCCTTTTCCATAGAGATGCCATTTCCAACGCACAGCAGTAGTGCAGATCCAAGAAGACTATCCCCAATCCATTATTTGTGGATGGGATTATATAATCTAAAGCCAAATTCATGTCTCCTGAATCCAAGTCATTGAAACTACAGATATGATAAACAGGTGCAGGTGGCAGGAGGAGGTGTAATTGGCTAACTGTGAGGCTTGTGCGCAGAACTGTCTCTTTGTTCCCACGTGGCTGAGCTCATCCTGTTCCCTGTCAGTTTTTCCCCAGTGCGGACACATTCCAGAAGGCTCTCCGGGAGGAAGAGAAGCGAAGGAAGAAAGAGGAGAAGCGGAAGGAGATCCGCAAGGGGCCTCGCATCTCCCGCTCACAGTCGGAGTTGTAATGCCGCCACCTGCTCCTGTCACCGTGACTTACCCTGGGCGGGAGATGGAAGCTGCTGGGACAGGCGCATCCCAGTCCCTTGGTGACCTCAGGAAAACGCCAGGATGTTGCGGTTTTGTTTTGTAAGGTTTTGGAAGTTTGTTTCTTCTTTCAGCAAGACGTTGGCTAACGACTGGATTGAGCTGTGGGAAGCGCCCCAGGCAGAGATTGCGGTCTTTGAGCACATCTTCCCTTATGGGAAGGCTTTTTCGAGTAATTGGAATGTACAGAGTTTGTCAGAGGCTGTTTCTCATGTCTCTGTGTATTTCTGTTTCATGTGGCTTTTGCCAGTTTGTAACGCTTAGGGAGAGGGGCGGCGAAAGGGAAGTTCTCTGGCTCATGCCACCTCTGCAGTTCATAACACCAGAGGTTGTGAATTGTTGTGCAGTCAGAATGGTAAGGTAACACAGAGTTGCAAGATTAACTTGAGCGGGCAGCAGAATCACCTTCAAAAAGTTAAGGGTTCTAAGAGTTATGGGTTAAGGACATAGATTCCTTGGGATTATTTACGCACTGACAGAGTACTCCCTTTGAATGTACCTAGGATACGTCAAAGAGGTGCTGTTATTAAAATGCCGTAATAATCCACACTCATTTCTGGTTCTATGGTGTCAAAGTCTTCCTCTTTTTTCCACAAGGCTGTTAAACCATTTTTTCTCATAAAAGAGGAGGAGGACGGGAATTAATGTGGTTAATTTTGGCTTGAGAAGATGAACAGCACGGTCGGGTCGTCATCAACGAGCATTTGCACTTGACAGTTTTGCCATATTGTACTGGTCTGTTGTAACAAAAAGCACAAAGACTTTTGTGGCACTTTCAAGACTTAACACATTTATTATTTGTCATCAACGGTGCCACTACTGCACAATGGGAAATTACTGAAACATTCAAGGAGATGGGAGATTTCATTCCCCTTCTTTATGGTGAAGGGAACTTATCTGCTCATCTTTGTGAGGCACTAGAAGAGCTAGAGAGAAGTGATTATGTAAATTTCTTCAGCTTCTATTGTCCAGTGGGTACAGAGTGGAACTGCTGTGTCCATAATTGCTGACTCTTGACTGTTTCAGTACATCCCCATCCCTCAGTTAATGGTGCCGTTGCAATCTTGGTGATGACCTTTAATTTGAAATGTCAAGATGAGATACTCACTTGCCACTGTTCTTACTCCGCGGAAAAGCAGACAGTCTGACAGTGTAGATTTTGTTCTCTCAGTTCTTCTTCTCTGCTTGCCTATCGATTGTGTCTTTATTACATGGTCAGTGAAATTCTGAGGGAATGGTCCTTCCCACCCAGTCTACTGCCTTATTGCTCCACAGGAACAAGCTGCCTTTTCTCTTGACTTTTTCAAGCATTCCATTTAGGTTTGGACCTGGAGCTAAGTTCGTTTTGGATTCCAGCTGTACTGTACTTGCTCTCATAGTAAAGGCCAGCCAGCCTTGCCCACAGTATGATCAGTGTTCCCTTTTAATTCCTGCTACCGATTTCTCCCTGGCCTGCTGACTTGTAGGCCTGTATACTGCAGGCATTCAGCATAAAGCCACTGTGCAGTTTGCCACAATGGGTAGCTCTTGTTCAAGACTGGGATAGATTTACACCAGCAAGATTATCTCCAAACACTGATTAACTGGAGTATTGTATTTCCCCTAAGTGTGATGGCCCCTCACTGTCATGAGTAGCGCTATAACTTGGCACACTACTTGTCAAAGTTGGTTTGGACCAATCTTGCCAGTGGTGGATTGTTTTGTGGGAAAGGAGGGTTTTTAGGGGACATTTCAGTTTGACTTGCTGCCTTTGGGCTGTTTTACAAGGTTAGAGATGGAGACGACTTTTATTATCAAAATTACATTTGCTTTGGTTTTGGATATGTATTTAAATGGACTTTGCTTTTCTTGAATAAAACAGAAAATTGAAAAAAAAATGCAAACATTTATCACTGGCTTGTGAGACATGGTTCTTGATAGCATGGGAAATACTTTTTACGATTGTCAATGAAGACACTCAAACTCAGGACGCAAGGGAGAAACGTGCTAAGAGGAAGGCACGCTTGGCAAATCCACACCATGATCAACTCCCTCCCAGAAACCAATGTCCCCACTGTGGAAGGAAGTGTGGATCCAGAACTGGCCTCCACAGTCACTTACGGACTCATTGTTAAAACCGTGTTTATGGAAGACAATCTTACTCGGCTATGAGTGATCGCCAGAGAAGAAAAGACAGACTCTCTTTAACGTGTGACGTAAAAGTAGGACTGTTTCAATGTTGTTTTCTTGGCTGGAGATGAAGCAGCAGGTTTTTCAGTTCCAAATACATGTAGCATTTTTAGAGATGGTTTTCTAATCAGTTTGCAACATCAAACACCTGCAACAAATACCCAAAGCTGATCATTTCTCTCTAACAGTGCCCAGTCCTAAAGTTTACAGAAAGCTCTTTATACCATCTAGCTCAGTATTGATTACACTGACTGGAAACAGCTTTGTAGGATTTCAGGCAGGGAGTCTCTCCCAGTCCTGCCTGAAGATGCTGTGGATTGAACACAGAACATAAGAATATAAGGTGTGTGTGTGTGTGTGTGTGTCCATGTCCACCAAAAATGCCCTCGGATTACACTGTAAACTTTACATCATATGAAACAAGGAGGAAACTAAAGATATTTTGCATGGAAATTTACCCTAGGACATAGAATAGTGACAGAAATTCTAATTTAGGGAAACTTTCTTCAGTTAGTCACCTTTTTGTTTTTATCTTTGCTCACTAATATATTAACTGAACACTCAAAACTTGTAAGTGTTCTTGAATTCCATCTTGCCCACTTCCTTTAATCTGAAAGGCCAAGGATGCCGTCCAAAACACATGAGCTTTAATGTTGTGTAATATATGGGGATGGAACATCCATGAATTAATCATTCAAGGGTATTAGATATGGCCAGTATCCTTGGTTTTTTATCTTCAGTATGGCTCTGTGCCGCTGCTCCTTACATCAAACGCAACTTTTTGTATCCTGTTGACTCTGTAAAACTGATGCAGCAGTGCTAAGCAGATACAAGAAGAAACTTAATCCACTGGTGCTTGGCAAAGTGTTGGCATCAACTTTTCTTCTTGAAGCACATCTGAGAATGTGAACATGCTCCATTTATTACTTTCAATCCCTATTTAAACCTGCACTGCCACCTCTTGAATAATCCAGTGAAAGTATGGCACTATTTGTTTAGATAATTGATTGAGAAGCAATGGTGGAAGTGGGAGAGAAGCAACAGATGCTGGACCAAAGAATAAGATTTCATGCATTGTAGGACTTTAACACTTATCTTTGAGTTCTAGAAAAAACAGGCAATCCCCTCCTATCACTGCTGACGGGAAAGGTCAGGAGCTGTTTTCACAGTGACACTCCTCAGCTGCTTCCTGTAACCTTGGAGAAACACGCAATCATGGATTATTTCTGGATAATGCATGTATTTTGTGATGTTTGTTTTAAAAGTGTTTGCATAGGAAGAATACTGTATTCCTGGCCTTGGCACAGAAAGCTATAACTCTGATATGCATATATAAACAACTGAAAGAGACCATGCCATTGACAAATATAACATGTGAAGTGTCTTTGAATGGAGGCTTAAATAAGATTTAAATCCTTAGAATACTGAGGAAAAAATGAGATGAAAATATTAGGTTCCATATGAAATACCTTGCTCAAGATGCTCCTTTTTTAAAAATGGGCTGGGAAAGTGCACATATAAAGATTTGGCGATCACTCGTAGCCAAGTAAGATTGTCTTCCATGAACACAGTGTTAACAGTGAGTCCGTAAGTGACTGTGGAGACCAATTCTGGATCCACACGTCCTTCCACAGTGGGGACATGGGTTTCTGGGCAGGAGTTGATCACGGTGAGGGTTTCCCAAATGTGCCTTCCTCTTAGCTCATTTCTCCCTTGCATCCTGAGTTCGTGCTTCTTCAAAGTCCATGACATCTTTGGTAAAGGCACAGTGTCTAATAGCATCAGCTATAGTAGCGAGCAATTTGTCATATCTAACAAATAGAGCACCCAGTATGGAATTGCATCCCCATAAAGACCCATCATGGTCTAGAAAGACTTGACTTCTCTTCTCAAGCTGAAACCTGTGGTGAAGTTGATTTTATTACTTATGCATAATTCTATTTGGAAAAGTAAGCCTAGAGCCACTTGACCAAACCTGTCAATGCTCAATCCTGAGGGTTGAGTTTTGACTGCCACGATTTGTTCAAAAAGTTTGTGCAAAGGAGGTAAGTAAATCATCCATTTCGAACTGCAATGATCAAATGCAGACTTCCCGCCCCACTACACCCAGACTGACGAAGAGACCTGGATAACTCGAAAGCTTGCTCCTTATTTTGGCATTTTGACCGTTCATTATAAAGGTATTGCCTGACTGTGGATGTTAGGACTTCCCTCTACGGGACCGGCACACTTCGTTTTTGGTTTGCTTGTGCGGCGCACGGTGTCACAGTCTAGTACGGCGGCGATCCCGTTCCTCTGCTGGAGGGACCGAGGGGCGCCCTGTCACTTTCAAGTTCAAACCCGAACACGGGTTAGATCTCCGCCTCCTTATGCATATTCAAATCCAGCGAGGCGGGCCGCCCGGGAGGGGATTGCCCGGCCGCACGCTAACGAAAGCTGCTGATCGCTGACGCGCCATCACACCACGAGCCGCTCTGCCCGCTGATTGGCCGGCGGGGACCTGGTCTCATTGACAACAAGCCCAGGCCGCCGCGGTGGCTCCTCGCAGGTGGATGGGCGGAGTAGGCGGAGGCTGGGCCAAGATGGCGCCGCCGCGCGGGGCCGGGAGCCTGGGGAGCCTGAGCTGAGGCAGCGCCGCCCGGCCGGGAAGGGGTTAAGGCGCTGGGTGTCACCCCGGCCGCTCCCTGGGACGGGCTGCTGACTCGCGGGCGGCGGCGGCGGCGGAGGAGCCGGTTGCGCCTCGCCGGCGATGGAGAGCGGCGAGCTGAGCAGCATGGAGACCATGGAGACCCTGACGGAGCTCGGCGACGAGCTGACGCTGGGCGACATCGACGGTGAGTGCGCGCGGGGAGGGGAAGGAAGGCGCGCCCGGCCTGCGCTGGGGCCGAGGCGCCGCCACCGCCGCCCGTGGATGCCCCCTTGCCGCGGGGAAAGAGGGCTGTCGCCACCCCTTCACCGCAAAGTGCCCCTGGAGGACGGGATAAGCCTGGCCGGATGGGCTGGCAGGTGTCGCACAAGATGCGTGGCGACAGCCATGGTTGTTTTCAAGCTCCTCAGCCCCCTATGGCTCTCCTCCCTCCTCCCCAAATTCCCTGTTCAAGAGAGGGCGAAAGGTTCCTCAGAGGGATGCGCGCGCTGTAGACTTTTGACAGGATTCCCGTGGGACACCCCTCCCCCCCCGTGCGGTGCTTCCTCGCGAGCAAGGCCTGCTATGCAAGCGCTGCTAAGTTCGGGATTGCAGCCCAGTTTGCACAGCTACCTGGGATCCTAAGCATCCTTGAGTTTAGGGGGTGGGGAGGGGGGCTTATTTCTGAGTACAGTTACCCAGCCTGTGCCAGCAGAGTGAATTGAGTGAGTGTTACCTGCATATTGGAATTCATTACTTAAGGTGTGGTCCGGGTCAGGGCTGGGCAGAAGATAGATACGGGTCTAACTGGTAGGTTCTCTCAGCGATTGGAGCAAATCCCCAATCTCAGAATTCTTTTGTATCTGGCTCTAGTTGGTTGGGACTTGGGGCTGTAGTGAAAACAACAACAAAGTGGACCCAGCAAGTCTGAAGGCTGCCCGTCCCTCATCGCAGTGTCTGGATGCCCCTGATCTGAAGCCCCTGCCCCTATTCATACAGATCACTGAAATCTGGAAGGTGCTGATTTAAGTTCATTCATGTGCCTTACTTGGCAGGTGGTTTTCACATCTATGTAAATTATCAGTGTAGCCAGTGGATATGTGGCAGAAGGTGTGTAGGTGCCTGGGGCTGGAGAGTGTTAAGGAAAAGGAAGTTATACAGAGGCATCATTTTCCCCCCTGTAGGTTTGTCATTTTGGAGACAGACACTTTGCAGTGTGAGCTGGAACACGGTGAAGCTTGCCTTAATTTGGTATAGGAGGTGTGTGACAAATAGGAAGCAGTTTCTGTCTCTTGGTTTCACTTGGTAGTTTCTATCTGTAATGTTTTGAGTTTATAGCTCAGTGTATGATGATGACATTTGCCATTCTGATCCGAAACATTTACTTACCTCACCCATGAGGCAAGATGAGGTGACTGCTTTAGGCGGCAGGATCCACAGGGTCAGCAGATCCCTATGCCAGTCTTCTCCCCATGTTCCTAATGTCCCCCTTCCTGCCAGGGAAAATCTACATCATTTAGGGGTCCTGCTCAGGTGCCAAAATATATTGGGGCTGGTCCTGACAAAAACCCATTAAAACTTAATTATCCACCTCATGGAAGAGGAAGGAACTTAAAAATATTCTGCAGCCAGATTCACAGGAATTTACTGTATGTTCAGCAACTATGAAAGCTGCAGAAAGATCTGATAGTACAATTCTTGTTGTCAGAAGATTGTCAGCACCCTAATGCCCTCTTGGTGCTATCTCCAGGTCAGAAACTGAACTGGCAAGGACACAGCAAAATGATAGAAGAATGACCATCTGCTCAAGTGTCTTGTCAAGAAAGAGGGGAGTAATAGTGGAGTAGGTAGTTGGTGTCAAGACAGGTTTGAGTCAGATGGCCATAGTTTTCCATGAATCAAGAACCTACTGTCTGCAGTAGCGAGAAACTAGTGTTCTGCAGGTATTTTTCAGCTGAGTAGTCTAGCGTACTTCCCTAAAATGTAAATAAAGGGATGTTATTTAAAAGCTACTGGACACTACAGATTTGCAGAATGTCTGCATTGAAAGTATTTGTACTATTTACAGCTGCTTAAGAGCTTCAAAAAGTAGAAGTAGCTGTGTTGGCATGTGTGGAAAAAAATCCTAAATATTTACCCGCAAAGGATACTGTACTCTTCATTACGATATGACGCTGAGGAATAGTAACTATTATTCTAAGTAATGCTGGCTCCAGGCTTATCAAAATATTAGGTTCCACTTCTCCTGCTTTGCTGTTGTAGTGCACAGTTGGAAGCACAAGAAGGGGGCACAGTTCAGAGGAGAATACATGCTTTGCATGCAGAAGGTCATTTATTTACTCCCCCAAAGTATTGCTAGGAGAACCCCTTGCTTGAGACCATGGAGAGTTGCTGCTATTTGGAATACTGGTTTGAGACAGTATGGCAGTGTTCTTTTCAAGTGTCTTATAGGAAAGTAGATAACTTTCACCTTAGGAAGCACTGCAATTGGAAAATGGACTGCATAACCCTCAGGTGGTCTCTCATGCTCGTTCTGCCACCTTTTCTGACTGGCAAGGACCTAGTGTGTGTGGAAGCATCCTGAATATAAAGACTGTTGACTGGAATGTAGCTTTCTGGAATGAGAACCAGATAGAAATGTCTTTGGCCTGTGATTAAGGGTTCTTATTCAGGCGTCTCATTTGAATTTGACTGTCAATGTATTTGCCTTCTAGGTTTCTACTTTTTATACCTGACGTTTTTCCAGCAACGTTCTCGATTTAATGCATACTAAAAATAGCTGTCTTAAAAGTTGGGGAACTTACTGCAAAGTCCTTCCTGTCCCACCTTTTAAAAGTCAATACGATTCCTTTTTCCTCTCTATTTTTAGCATGACTCAAAATAATTAGCCTTTCAACATATTTCTTGTAAGGTTACTTTGTATAGTACCTCACTATTGGGAAACATTGCTCAGTGTTTTAAATTACATGTACCCATTTGATTCACCTTTGCACATTTCCGGCACTCCTAACTTCATGTGTTTATACAGATTGGGAAAATATTTTGTTTGCCAGGAAAAAAAATGCTTGACTTGAGGTGTAGCTCTTCAGAATCAGAGTGCTTGAAAGAACTATCTGAAAAGAAGTGTGTTAAAGAAAAAAAAACTAGATTTCTTATAGCAAGTGGAAAATAGAAACCTGGTATTTTCAGTAGCAGATAACATCGGACGTTACTCTTAACATTGCACAATGTGTTCTACAAGCTGCTGAGATCAGGAAAGAATTTGTAAATTATAGGTTATTAAACATCAAGGGTGACAAATTGGTTTTATTACTTTTTTCTCGTAAAGCTTTGTATCAGGTATTTAAATTGAGATGGTTTTGGTTGTACAAGACAATTTGACCGAAGAAGCAGATTTTTCATTATTGTCTGGTACCATAGTATTCTGTTACAACCAACCCATAACTGTTACTTTTGCCTTGCTTAGGTAGTGTGAGAGTAGCTTAAGGCTTTACACGACAAACATTGTTGTGTATTTACAAGTGTAATTTACAAGTGTAAATACACAATCTACAAGTGTAAAAACACAATCAGTTGAACATATGCAGCTGTGTACATGCTCTTATACATGTCCATGTGGGAACTCTGATTGGGCCAGGATTGCCACGTCTGTGAATGTGGATGTTTAAAGATGCATGTGGATATTTTTCTTTCACACTTATGTAACTCTGGTGTACTGGCAGAAACGATATTTGCTACATAAAGTATGAACTGCCCTTTAGTCCTGTTATCTTACTGGCAAGTTTCTCTCTCCCTTTGCACATAATGCTTCTTGTGCAGCCGTGTTCCAGCAACAGCTGTAAGCAATCTGGTTACTGCTTCTGCAAGGCAGTCATGGACTCTCTTATCCACACAGTAGCAGTCAGCCTCTGGGGAAACCTTTGAGGAAAGACATGGAAAAACAAGAGGATTCAGAAGAGAGATGTACGAAGAAACCTGTTCTAGAAAAAATTCGAATTCCTAGCATACCACTTCACATTTTTAGGTGCTAACCTCTGTTCTTGTAAATTCCTAGATGTTGATAATCGATCCTTGTCCTTTCTTGTGCCTGAGATGTTTTCAACTCTGGTATAGCCTTTGGAAATGAAGAGAGATGTTTAAGAGATAATTGCTGTCCACAGCTTCTCAGGGAAGTGCTGTTGTTGGCATTTACAGCTGTGTTAGCCTACCAAAGTGACCTGCTGGAGCACAAGCTTGGGCAGTGGGTGGGTGGGGGGTCTTGAGCTGCCCAAACAACAAGACCCCCCCTTGGCCCCACTGATGTGGTCCAAAGGAAAGCAGAGCCAGAAATTTGGCACCAGCTTGGCTGCAGGAGTTGCTGGAAGGAGGCATACAAGGCGCCATTTAACTGTCTTAGGGATTCCCCTTTGTGTAGGGTTTACTCCTTAGCCTTTTTGTCTCCCAAAGAACAAGGCAGTGGAGGTTTAGGATCAGAGTTGTCCTTCTCCTAGATGGGCTACCTTCCCAGGTTGATGAGCCCCGTCTGCCCCTCACTTCCCTCTACACAGCATGTGCAGAAACAGCCTTCTTGACTGTTGGACTCACTATTGGTCTTATCTGCTCAATTAAGAAATCAGCTGTATATCCCATGAAACAGTTTTGCTTGAAATAGTATCAGAATGCAATACAAACAAGCACATTTAAGAGATAACTCTAGTACATACCCATCTCTCTCATACATAAGTTTAAGCCTGTTTTTTCTATGTAAATAAATGGAAGGGGAGAGACCTTGACATCATAAATTTGACAGAGTAGGTTGCGATTTATCAGTGTTCAAAATATGAATGCTTACAGCCAGACATGAATGTTTAAACGTGTCTGTTCTTTCCCACATTTTTCTTTTACGGTTGGTTCACAAGAGATGCCAAATCGTGGTTTGATGTAATATTATGAGCCCAGTGATTGCATAGTCTCTCCTTGCCCTTTTCTTGTGTGCTGTGCTTTAATGAATTGCTTTCATAGAAAACATTGTTTTCTGTTTCATCCAAACTGGGGCTTGCACAAACCTCTTAAATCAGGATTGCAAACCAGAATTCAAGCATGTACATCTTAATTCAGAGGGCTTGTGCAAACCATAGCTTGCCGGTTTGCATATGATGGAAAACTATTATTTCCACAAAAGCAAAAGAAAGTCAATAAAGCAGCATGTGTAGAGGAAGTGGGAGAGTGAGTGTGGTAGCTTATGACAAATATGTGCAACACCTGGTTTGGCATTACATGGCAACCACCCCAAAGTCCTGACTTTTAAAAAACATAGGATAGTTTGAAATTCAGGATACATTTGACTATCTCTCAGCTATAGTTGTATGTTAAGATTTTTCTCTCTTAGTTTAAAACAAGTCTTTCCAGTTGCAAATATTTTGGCTTCCTATCTGTGTCAGCAGTCTCTGTTTATCAGTTGTTACAGTGGTTTCACAGTAGTAGTAACAGGAAGAAGTATAGCAGGGGGTTGTGAGTATGTTGATTTCTTTCTAAAAGGGAAGGAGATGTGATGAAATATGAGGAAGTCTCCTATCTCAACAGACCAGTAGATCATTTTATAGCCCCATGCTGTCCACCAGGAAGGGCAATGGATGCCTAAGGTTACAGGCAAAGATATTTTCCATGCCAGTAATTTCATGTGGGTCTTTCTATGCTAAGCATATGCATGACCCCTGAAATATATACAGTAGCAAAATGTTTTGATTGTTTAATTTTCCAAGGGCCTCAGGGCCAAACTGCACATGTTTAAATAAGTGTGTTTCACCTAGCCAATTTTATTGGGGGGGAGCAGTCATGGCACCCCAATAGGAAATAGGCTATTGACCAGAGCAGGGGCTCATACCGCTGAAAAACATTACATACTTGGCTTCTTTCAGGCATGCGAGGAAGACAACCAAAGGGGTGACAATTTTCAGCAGAAAATCCAAGTGTTTTCTGAATCCCTAATCAAATATTATTCCAAAACAGGGGTCCCATGTCTCTCTTCCCCCTCAATAGAAAAAGCCAAGTTAAGAATTTAGATACCAGGTTATAATTATTGTATGCACGGTAATTTTAAAATAATATACCTGCAGCTTTCTTTTTATACAAGAGGTCCAATATCAAGAGTAGGAGTTCTGGGGTAGGGTTGAAATGTTAGCCATTTATACTATCAACTTCAACGGGGTGAAGTGAATCCTCTCCATACTTTTCAGATTTCTATTCTACTTGTTATTCAGGGCTGATTGAAAAGTCGGTGGTTTGAATCCACATGACAGGGTGAGCTCCCATTTCTCTGTCCCAGCTCCTGCCAACCTAGCAGTTCAAAAGCACACCAGTGCAAGTAGATAAATAAGTATTGTTGCAGCAGGAAGGTAAATGCCGTTTCCGTGCATTCTGGCTTCTGTCACGGTGCCCCGTTGTGCCAGAAGTGGTTTAGTCATGCTGGCCACATGACCCGGAAAGCTGTCTGTGGACAGACACCGGCTCCCTCGGCCGGAAAAGCGATATGAGAGCCACACCCCATAGTCACCTTTGACTGGACTTAACCATCCACGGGTCCTTTACCTTAACTTTTTTACCTTTACCTTCTACTTGTTATAAATGCCAGTTACATGATATTTCTAAAGTTGGTTCCCATTTGCACTTTGCAGAATAGTTCTGACAAATAAAGGGATCATAGGCTGATATCATCATGTCTGCCTCGTGTAGTCAAAAGAAAACGGCTTGGGGATAGAGAGAGTAGCAACAATTAGGGCTTAATTGTGGCCCAAGGGCTGTGTGGTAGAAATTGTAACCTGTCATATGGGCTCCCTTAGGCACCTGCCTCTGTAGGGCTTCCATGCCTGGGGTAGTTACATCTCTCAGCAAGGTAGCTTAGTAGCTCTGAGATCATTATACTATATTTCCTCTTGCTGAAGTTTGAAAAATTGGTTGGACCAGAAAATCTGTGGCGTTATTTGAACAACATTGTCAATTATATATGATAGACTTGCAGAGACAGTGGCTGTGCTGACTGGGGGTGATGAGAATTGCTGTCCAAAATATCTGGAGGCTAATGAAGGTTGTTGTAGAGGTTTTTCTTAATGGAGATTGGTTGCATCAGGCATAGGCAAACTCAGCCCTCCAGATGTTTTGAGACTACAATTTCCATCATCCCTGACCACTGGTCCTGTTAGCTAGGGATGATGGGAGTTGTAGTCTCGAGTTTGCCTATGCCTGGGTTACATAGTCAGATGGATCTCCGTAAGAGGCATGGGAAGCTGTCAGGGAAGACACAAACTTTTTGTTGATCTCTTCTAGTGATAACTTTTATTTTGGGAGAGTTGCAACCCATTGCTACTTTCTCTCTGCTGGAATTGCATTCCTGATTGCACCATAGATTATAAATGAGGGTTCATATCTTCACTTTCCTAAACTTGCACCCTTTTTGTTCTCCAAAAGAATCACTAAAGCATGTGGGTGGGTGTATGTGGTCTTGGCTCCCTTTCCTTTCCTTTTATCCCTTCACCTCTCAGCTGAACTCTGTCAGGTGAATAGTCTTCCCTTGCTTCTTTGTAAGTCTGACCAATATTCCTTGCCTAACAGGTTTTCCATGTGTATCAAGTCTTGTTTCCCAGTGCTGATCAATTAGACTACCCACAATAGCCCTGATCCTGGGAGTGGCTCATTTGCTACTAACTTGGCGGAGCTTGCAGAATAAAGAGGAAACAAAAGAGGTTGTGGCATGAACAGAACTGCTTATTTGTACTCTGAATGGTTGTTCTTAGTTGCTTCCACAGGCTTCTAGGTTTGATTACTTAGTGACTTCTGCAGTTACAAGATCTGCTTTCTAAGCTTCCTACTTCGGAAATTGGCAGGAAGCTTTGTCTAGTTTTTTGATCTCAGTACAGTTAGGGACATTTGATCCACAATTTTTGGCAGGCTGACCTGCTCCCAATCTGGGAAGAGATCTTTGCGCATGTTAAGAACGGTGCCCTCTTTAACAGTATGTGGTTGCCAAGATGTGGTGTGGGTACACTCTGGCTGACATGCCTGTATGTGCTGGGAGAACAGCAGCCTGCTCATAAATTGCACACGTTGTCTGACTCCGTTCTGTTCTAAGGACCTGTTCTCAGCTACTTCAATAACATAACAGCAACTGTAATGTTATCCTGGCTACAGCTTTCCATGAAAGCAACACTTGTCAGCCAAGACAAATGTATCCGCTGATGACTTGTGTTGTAATGGCAACTTCGACTTCAGCTGATTCAATTGACTGTGAAACACAATTGGTATATGGAGCTTGGCAGAAGGACACTCCAGCACAAAGTCACAGTTTATTACTTAGTGAAAGAATGCAGGGAGCTATACTGGTCCTTTAGAAACAATCTAAAAGTGACAGTATGACAGTATCCTTTATTGGGGTCACCTAAACTGTCACCTAAATTGTCCTATTTGCTGCAGCAATAAAACTGCTAGCACATTTGCAAAGCTAAGCAGGGTTCAGTAAGGTTTCAAAATGGGGGATTGGGGGATTGCTTGTTGAAATTCCCGCATTGCAGGGGGTTGGACTAGATGGCTTTCAGGGTCCCTTCCAACTCTACAGCTCTATGGTTCTAAAAACAAACAAACAAACATAGTAGTGGGTTCCCCCTAATAAACAGAACTCTCTGCTGTTAATGAAGTGAACCATGGCTTTCTCTCTTAAATCTTAGAATGAAATTACCAGCATACTTTGAATGTGCCTTGCTCTAAACTTGCACTAGTAATGTCTGAAAGGTTGCACATACATTGTGTGCCATTAGGCCATGTGTACATGTTCTGGGAAGACAGGAGTGCCTGGCGTGCTCTGGTCCATGGGGTCACGAAGAGTCGGACACGACTAAACAAGAACAACACATGTTCTGGGCACTTGTTAAATCTGTAGGAGGAAATGCTAGTAAGTACATGTAGCCGTTGGCAAAGTTGCAGCTTTATTACTGCTTCCATTCTTAATGTTTTAATGCCACAACTTTGCAGCTGCTAACCGAACGTGCTTACAGAGTTTCTATCCTGATTGCTGATTTTTGTTTCCTTAGCTAATTTATTTAGCTAGTCCACATTGCTGATATGAATGGTAGAACTGGTTATAAATGATAGTGATGCAAGGAGAAGCTGAAGCAAACTCCTCCTGTGGAACCTTTGCAGCCTGATCCTGTGCTTGTTTACTTGGTGCTGTTGTTCAGAATCAAACTGCATGCCGTGCAGAAAAACATTGCTATCCTATCATCCATTAAGCCTGAGCAAGGCAAGCACATACTCTAACCCAGTTTCGAATCCAGAAGCCTAGGAAAGGTTCTGTTTGGCACTAAGAGTGAGCAATCCCAGTGGCCATTTCCTCCAAGCAATATAGTTATACCTCGGGTTAAATATGCTTCAGGTTGAGTGTTTTCAGGTTATGCTCCACGGCGACCCGGAAGTAACAGAACGTGTTACTTCCAGGTTTTGCCGCTCGCGCATGCGCAGACGCTCAAAATGACGTCACGTGCATGAGCGGAAGCAGCGAAATGCGACCCGCGCATGCGCAGACGCACAGTCACGTGTTACGTTCTACTCAGGATGCGAACGGGGCTTCGGAACAGATCCCGTTCGCATCCAGAGGTACCACTGTAACCATCTTTGCCTGCCCCAGTGGGTGTCTGTATCTCTCCAACTGTATCCAAGTGCCACACTAGTTATCTGCCAAAAGTGACATTATTTGAAAAGAGCCGAGTGTCATTCAGACACACATGGGTGGGAAAAACCCCGTAAAAGGGTCTGGGGAAATTGTTCCTTTGTCCCTTCCCTTCGGGTCCATCATTCACCATCAGAAAATGCTGCAACTAACTACCTATGCTATGTTGGTTTGTAAGTAAGTTTTCTCCTTTCTACTCGTAATTAAAATCTAATTTGGCTGTTGGGGTCTGAAGTGTGTATTTGCCGATCTTCAGGTTCGGGTAAACTTGCCTGGCTGTAGTTCATATGCTGCTAGGGTGAAAGAGTTGGTTTCATGGGGAAAAGAGCAGCCTATGCCAAATCTAAGGCTGGGATAATCAGTTTGATACTAGTCCCATTGTCCAGAAGAGATATTGCTGGGAGGCACAGGACACCTTGTCTTAGAATCCTGGATATTTTCTTGAGCACACCAGAATTCTGTCCCATCTGGGGGCTGTGACAAGAAGGAGTGGTGGCAGCAGTGATTCCTGGATAGTTAAGATGCAACTGGCTTACCTTACAAGGCTGTTGTGCAGCAGTTGCACAAGGAAGGGCATAAACAGCCCTCTCCTAGCTTTCCCCTTCTGTTACACGTGCTACACAGGGTTGTCCAACATTCTTATTTTGTATTGAAATCTCAGTTGATCAGCCCTCCTGGGGAGAGCAGATATTGAGCCCACCCCCTAGTGCTGTTGTCCCAGTAAACACCTCCCCCCCGCCCCGCCCTGCAAGCTACCGTTCTGCCCATTGAAGGAAAAGAATACAGTTAACCACATTTTTCTTCCCACCGTGAAGCAAATAATACCAGATGTGTGTGTGTGTTTTATAGCAGAAGGTGGGGTGGAAGGGGGAAAGGGTTCAACTGCTGTGATCAAATTGTAGCAGTGCTCCCCCCATCAGGACTGCATTTCATTAAAAAAGAAAATACTGATGTCCTGTGGAGCATGTAGTTTAGTCCTTAGTTCCGTGAGGCTTATTTCCAAATACATATGCATAAGATCACTACTAAATATATCTCTGGCTTATACTTTATTGAGGCTAAAATACCACTGTTATATGGGCTCTGGCATGTTGACCAAATATTTGTCTTTAAAATATTTATATTTATTGACCCTGTCAGGTTCTCAAGGCAGCATACAAGATAACAAAACAAACAATGTTATAAAAGCAGCACACATAGAATGCAAACAACTGAAGAATTCAAATAGCAGCAAAAACAAGAAATACCACCCAGGCATCAAGAACAAATAACATTATGGGTTGCATACAGTACTAGTCCTACTCAGAGTAGACTCATGGAAATTAGCATCAATGGCTGAGTTCAGTCCATTAATTTAAGTGGGTCGACTCTGAGTAAAACGTAGCTGAACACAACCCAATATATTTCAAATCTTAATCACTTGGTGGCAAATGCTTGACTGAAAGTAAAAGGCAAAAATGTAAATGTAAAAACCACATGGTAAATGTAGGTTGGAGTGATTGAAGAGTTTCAAAGTATGGGTATGTCACAGCAGACAAGGCTCTGTTTCAAGTAACCAGCCATGTCACTTATTTAGGGGGAATCCTGAAGTGGGGCCTCTGTTCATATAGGACAGGGGTCAGCAAACTTTTTCAGCAGGGGGCCGGTCCACTGTCCCTCAGACCTTGTGGGGGGCCGGACAATATTTTGAAGGGGGAAAAAAGAACGAATTCCTATGCCCCACAAATAATCCAGAGATGCATTTTAAATAAAAGCACACATTCTACTCATGTAAAAACACCAGGCAGGCCCCACAAATAACCCAGAGATGCATTTTAAATAAAAGGACACATTTTACTCATGTAAAAACACGCTGATTCCCAGACCATCCGCAGGCCAGATTTAGAAGGCAATTGGGCCAGATTCAGCCCTCGGGCCTTAGTTTGCCTATCCATGTTATAGGAGCTTCAAGTACTGTGACCTCAGACTGCTTGAGGCTATAAAGTTTAAAATAAGCACTTTGCATTGTGTTTGAATGGTAGCTGGTGGAGGTCTTGGTTATTTGGCATATTTATGCTCTGCCTGCTAACTAAAGCTTAAAGCTATATATTTAAAATATAAAGAGTTACAATGGAAGAGCAAAGATGTCCTAAGGTTTTGCTTTCAGATATTCCAGCTGTTACTCTGCTTCTAAATCTCTGGGCTATCTTGGAGGAAATTGGTTTTTTAGCAGTCTCATGCAGGGTAGGGCATCCTTATCTGGCCACTTCTGCTGATGTCACTTGTAGTTTTGGCATCTGCTTTTAAGCACTGGATTGAATATGATCAAATTTTCAAGCCCAGGTTAACAACCAGACAGCCATGTTTTGAGCCCATTGAAGTTTGCAAGCAATTGTAAAATACAGTCAAACATATAGCTCATTGCAGTAATAACTGGAATGTGACCAAAGCATTATGGGAAGGTTTGGTTTGGTCAGGAACAGCTGATGTTGGCCGACAACCGAAGCTAACAAAATATGCTTTGGGCCACAGGCATCATTTGGGTGTCCGACTATAAGACTCGATGTAAAAGTATCCCCAAGCCAAGGACCTGATTTATTCAGGAGAGAATTCGTTCACATCCCAAACAGACAAATGTGCATAGTATATACTTTGTTCCTGCGATTACATCTGGTGACCCTTTCATCAGTCTCCATGGTATCAATGGTCCGTCATATCATTTCACTGTTTTCCTTTCTTTTAATTTATTTTTTTATAGAGATGCTCCAGTTCGTCAGCAACCAAGCTGGAGAATTTCCAGATCTGTTTTCTGAACAGTTGTGTGGCTCCTTCCAGAGCAACAGTGTATGTAATGGTGGTGGAACCTCAGATCCCTCGTCACAGAGGCCCTACAGCCAGGGGCAGCTACAGACCTTCTCTCCTGGTGCAGCTTCTCCCCAGCTTCAGACCGTGCAAGTGAAGGTGTCTCAGACAACTGCCGCAACACCTGTTCCACAGCGGACGGCACCTGCTCTTCAGCCTCGTCCCCAGGTTCAGCCTCAGCTCCAGCAGCAGACTGTGATGATTACTCCAGCTTTCAGCTCTGCTCCCCAGACCCGGTTCATTCAGCAGCCTGTAATATACCAAAACGCAGCCACAAGTTTTCAAGGTAACTTGCAAAGTCTTTGTAGTAACAAGTAGTCCTACGTTGTCTTAAATGTCTTGCCCTAATCTTCCAGCAGAGCAAGAGGTATCAGAACAGCATTTACAGCCACCATTCCTGATTTCATATCTGTGAGAAGTTTCTATTAATGTTTGAAATGTTTCTAAATAGGTGCACGTTTTCTAGGATCTCACAGGCAAATTAGAGAAGCTTGGCATTTGGGGTGAAGAAGGGCATTGGAGACCAAGACCAGGAGTTGGGGAGTGGCCTTAAATATTGTGCAGTAAAGCATAGGTAGCACTCAAAAGGAACTCTGTGAATGGTATCACTGCAAAGTAATGTACAGTTACACAATACGTCATGCACCTTTATCACTCTTAACTCTCCTCAGGTGTTGGAAATAAAGAAAGCTAACATAGGGGGGAGGCAGTAGGGGCAAGTGGGCTAGCTCCACCATCAGGGCCCCACTCAAATTTCAGGGTTCTAAAATAAGGGGTGGCCTCCATGAGTATAAAAGGTCTCTGTGCCTTTTATAGTCACTTGTGAGTTGGAGGTTGTCAAACAATGAGGGGGTCAAGGTGGAAGTAGGGCTCTTGTCCCCACTGTTTACTTTCCTAGATTTATAACAACTGAAGAAGGCTTATGAATGGTTCCTGTACTCTTCTGTAAGAGCATGACAGTTTCTCATTCTTGTCTGTGTCTCCAGTATCCGAATCTTCCACTTCTTCTGATTGTATAGAATCTACTGTTTTCTAACCTTTCTTATGATGTGTTGGGTTCAGACTTTACATATGTAGAACTCAGCTTGAGGGATGCTCTGTGGTAATTTTTGCCAGTTCCTCCTTTCCCTTGCAGACCCTTGTGTCCCATGGAAATATTCTCTGGAGGGTTGGGGGACCCTTGGTACAGCAGAGGATGTTGTGCTAAGGGGTATGGGGGGGGGAGGGGAAGTGGCAAATATTGACTCTCCCTTCCTCTCCCTTTCTCAGCAGTAGCCACAGAAGGGCATGTCTTGATCTAAGTCTATACTGTATGTTTAAAACATCACAAACTAGAATAGAAAAACTTAAAACTCCTATCAACTGTAGAAATCTTCAATGAGAAAAACTTCAGTAAGACTTCTGTCTAGTCACTGTAACAGAATCATCTTTACTAACTTCTTGAAGACCAACACCCTCAAAAATGCTCTGACTCTTGTGCCATCCAGCCTTATTTGAGGCAATGCCTGTGCTCTGAGTAGGGGTATGTCTGATCTCCCCAATACATGGGAAGGCTTGTACAAGAGACATTCTCTGAAACTACCCTTAGAAAAAACAACAACTAGGAGACACATGCTAGGAATATGGGAAGCCCCTCTGAGCCATGTGGACTTGCTCATGGCAGCATTGTTGGGTTTTTTGGGTTTTTTGAAAGGGAGCTGGTCCAGATAAATGTGACTAGAGCTAGACAATCTTTCTTTATCTGTTTTCCTGACTTCAATATTTGCTGCTGGTTTTTAAATTCTTCATAGATTGCTTTGCTGAGTCTAATGCTGCTAGGAAGAGGAACCAGGAGAAAATGCCCCCCCCCCAATAGCTGACTGAACACTGGCCATTCCTGAGAGGTCATGGATTGCAGCTTGGCATCATAATGAAAGCTGTAGTCTTCTGTCAGCACCAGCTCATTCAGGCAGTTTCTCAGATTGCTCTTGTTTTCCTTTTAGTGCTGCAACCCCAGGTTCAGAGCCTGGTGACTTCCTCGCAAGTTCAACCAGTCACTATCCAGCAGCAAGTGCAAACGATGCAAGCTCAGAGGGTTTTGACACAAACAGCCAATGGCACCATCCAGACACTGACCCCGGCCACAGTCCAGGCAGTAGCTGCCCCTCAAGTCCAGCAGGTTCCAGTGAGTAGTTTTATGTTGTAATATTATGCGGGAAGTTTTCTGCACTTCCGAGGCATGTATATTTATGCAGGCGGTTTCCTTTCTGTTCAAAGTCAGGAAGTGGCTTCACTGCTTGGAGACCAGACTATCCTCAGCAGTGAAGTTCCTTAAGCTTAGATCACTGATGGACTTAATTGTAGGATAGCTTAGCCATAGAAAAATGGACAGCAGTGGTCCAATATCAGAAGTAGGTTAGTAGAGATTTTGGAGAGGGTTTTTTGTGGGGGGAGGGATAGCAAACTACTAGATGTAGAGCTGTATCTATAGCATATTGGGATTTAATATTTAGTAACGTGCCAGCTGCAGTATTGTTAAATGGAAAGGAAAATAATCAGAGACAATAGAGTATTCCTTGTTTCACTGCTGAAAGCTTTTAGTAGTTGGATACAACACGTTTTAGCACTGCCTTCATAACTACAAGGGTTAGAACTTGTTCTTCGTACAAAAGGATCAAATTGTCTTCAATGGCAGTCAGACTCCATACTGACAGCACAGTTCTTACTATATTCAGGGTCTTCCATACACCCAACAGGTTGGCTCATTGGCAAGTTCTTATTGGCCTTTGGCATTTGCAGGAAGGAGCATGGGGTGAACATACATTGAAGCAGTTGTTAGATATATATTGAAACTTGCATACTGGAACTCCATGCAGTCACACAGAAATCTGTTATAAAAAAGGTTGCCCAGCTTCTGTAGTGCTTGCAGTATTGAGCTTTGTGTTGTTGTGCTAAACCTTTTAACTGCCTCTTCTCCCTCTAGGTCCTTGTCCAGCCACAGATAATCAAGACTGATTCTCTTGTCTTAACAACATTGAAAGCTGATGGCAGCCCTGTTATGACTGCTGTTCAGAATCCAGCCCTCACAGCACTGACCACGCCTATTCAGACAACAGCCTTGCAGGTACTGTAGGGCATCCTGCCTTCCCTTCCCAAACATGCACCTTCTCCCTCTTGCCAGCCAGTATAGTGTTTTAAGAATCTGTTAAGTGGGGCAGGCAGAAGGGATCATTTAACAAGTCAGCATCTACAGCCTGCACCAGCTGCAGCTTCTTCAAGAGTAACTCCATGTGGAGTTCTTTGCTGTAATCAGGTCATGAAGTTATTAGAGCATGGATACTTGAGCTTAGGCTATCCTGGCCCAGTAATGGCTGCTGCTGGAAAACAGGCTGGAATTGGGCACAGGCTACCCTCACTACTGAGAGCACACTCAGATCACCTGTATCTCTAGTGGCAGCTTCAAATTGAGGAGAACCCCTAAGCGGCATACCAATTCCTTCAGGAGAGAGTTCAGTCCCATCCAGAACATGCCTCCCTATTTCCTGGGCTTGGGAAACACCTGTAGTACCTTCAAGCATCTATCCAGCATCTGCACAATCTCTTCTGATTCTGCTGGATGGAGAGGTATGAACTGACTCTTGTCGGCATACTGACAGCACTATGTCCCAAATCCCTGGATGACAGCTCCCTGGGGCTTCCTATAGATAGTGAACAGCATGAGGGACAGAATGGACCAAATGCCAAGGGGCCAAGCAGGAGTCCCCCAGAGCTGATCTCATGTAGCAACTGCAAGTAGGAGCAGAACCACCGTAACACAGAGGCCCCAGCTCCCAACCCACCAAACAAATTAATCTTTAACTGGGTCACTGTTGTCTTTTTTAAAAGACTTTAGTTGGTGGCAATGGTACCATCTTGACCACAATGCCCATGGTGATGGGAGGGCAGGAGAAGATGCCCATCAAGCAGGTGCCTGGTGGTGCCAAGCAACCAGAACCACCAAAGGAAGGAGAGAGGCGGACAACCCATAATATAATTGAGAAGCGGTACCGATCATCTATAAATGATAAGATCATAGAATTGAAGGACCTAGTCATGGGAACAGATGCAAAGGTATGAGTTGCTTTGTGGCTGAAAGCAAAAAGACTGCTGTGATTTCAAACCCAGTTGACAATATGCTTGCAAGTCATAATTCTCTGCTCCTTTTTTATTTTCTTTATTTGAAAGTTAGAAAAATACATAATTATATGTGCACGAAACATGGCGAGACATAAATAAAAGAGATAAAAAGATAACTTGTGGTATTAATACGCCTAGATTCTCTGCTTCTTACTGAGATTATCAATCTTTGCTCAGTCAGTATGGAGTTTTGGTCTCCCATGATAGATGCTAAATGTATTTGATTTGAATCCATTTCATATTCTTCCCTGTGATTGGGAAAATCATTGCAGCTTTAGTGTAGAAGCTTGTGCTGAAAGAGGATTTGGTGGCATTATTGCTAAAAATTATTGTTCATTCTCTTTAATGTATGCGCATTATTTGCAGATGCACAAGTCAGGGGTACTGAGAAAGGCCATTGACTACATTAAGTACCTACAGCAGGTTAACCATAAGCTGCGTCAAGAGAACATGGTCCTGAAGCTTGCTAATCAGAAAAACAGTAAGTGTTGGGTGGCTCTTTAAGTGGCTTTGACCTCCTACTTCACTGTTTGATGACGTATATTATTGGCTGCCCAGTTTTGTGTGGGCATGTGAAACAAGGGAAAGCATGAAGGTGAAAGAAAACTGAATTGTGAATGTGAGTAGTTAATCTTTGCAATCTCTGGTCTTTTCAGAGCTGTTGAAGGGGTTTGACCTAAGCAGTTTGGTGGACAATGATGTGGATCTGAAGATGGATGACTTCAACCAAAATGCTCTGTTGATGTCTCCTCCAGCCTCTGACACAGGGTCACAAGCAGGCTTTTCCCCTTATTCTATTGATTCAGAACCAGGAAGCCCACTGCTGGATGATGCAAAGGTAGTCAACATCCTAAAACATTCTACAGAGGGAAGCGTGCATAAGGGTTGCATGCTACTTGTAGACATGGGTGATGTGTGCTGGTTGAGCTGGAGATCATGTGTTTGGCATTAAAGGCTGTAATGAACTATGGTTCTAGAGGAAGATGTGACTCGGAATACAAAGGTTAATCAGTTCCATGACATTATCATCCCTGGCTAGTTTAGGCTGTCATTGTGTGAAGTCCTGTACCCAAAGCCTAATAATACAATATTTCGTCTCACAGACCTTTTAATAAAAAGGTTGATGTAACTCTGCTGTCTCCCCTTCTTCTCTTGCCTCTTAACAGGAGTGAGAATAGGAAGAAGAAATGTTGTGCACAATATATAGATATAAATTGATTGGCTGCAACAATAACACTAGCTCTCCTTCTGATTCAGCACACTCAGAAACATGTTGAGGCATGATAGCGGAGATTGTTCTTATAGCCATGTTTGAAATGCTGTGATAAATTGTGAACATCAGTCAATTCTTATACATTCTCAGTAGGCTGGGAACAATTAATTATCTTCACTGTTTCACAGTTCTCTTGCTGTCTAACAAATCATCCTCTACCACTATGGTCTAGGTTAAAGATGAACCTGACTCTCCAGCTGCCGCTCTTGGAATGGTTGACCGCTCACGGATGCTGCTTTGTGCTCTTACGTTCCTCTGTCTCTCCTTCAACCCTCTAACATCCCTCCTAGAGGGCCAAAGGACAGCTGACTCTGATGGTTCTGTACATCATGGCTCAGGGAGGAGTATTCTGTCAATAAACTCAGGTACTGTCAGAAATCCAGTCTTTCAGTATATTTCTCCATGCTGCTTGTTTGGTGTTTGGAGTTCTTTAAGGATCACATATACAGTAGCTGAACACAGACAGTAGTAGTGACACTGGGGAAAAGGGGTGCTATTTATTTGCTTTTTTTTAATAATTAAAGGATGTTATTTATTTGTATGCCCCCTTTCCATAGTTAAACCATACTCAAGGTTGCTTACATCAAAACATTTACACCATTCATTCATATATCAACACTGGCCACTCCATTGGTTGGATACTGAGAAACCCCTGCACTGTATATTAAAGTAATGATTTGACCCTTGTTAGGATATTCTCTAAAGAATTGTGCAGGGCACTCCTTTGCATGTTTACTGGGAAGTAAGCTGCATTGTGTTCAGGGAAACTCACTCCTAAGAAAACTTGTATAGGGTTGCAGCCTTCATCATTTAAAAACCCCATCCTCATAGCACTTCTGCAGGACATGGGAGTTATTAAATGGGATTCTTACAAGAATCACATAGTCTAGCTACACTGTGAAATAATTTTTATCTATTTGAGTAAAATTCAGCATTTGTAGAGCCAATACAGATTGTGTTGCATTTTTTGAACATATTATATATATGTAACACACACACAAATCTGTAATCCCAACTTTAGCAGTGCAGTTTATTTGGGACTCAGAGCCAAATTGCCTGAGCCTCCACCTCCTTATGTGCACAGCTTTTTTACATAATTAAAATTCATCCCAGTCTTGTTATTTTAAGATGTTACCTCATCTATCTCCCCTCTGGCCCCCCTTCATATCTCTTCTGGCATCTTTCCCTGTAGGCTCTGGTGGCTGGTTTGGCTGGATGATGCCCACTCTGATCCTGTGGCTTGTGAACGGTGTTATTGTCCTGAGTGTGTTCATAAAACTCCTAGTACATGGAGAGCCAGTGACTCGACTGCACTCCCGGTCATCGGTTACTTTCTGGCGGCATCGGAAACAAGCAGACCTGGATTTAGCTAAGGTAGGTCAAGTTCCTGCTTCAGAAAACAAATTTTGTTTCTTTCCCAGTTTGTCTTCTGGAGCAGTACTGAACAGGCAGCACCTCAAATTGCAGATCAACTCTCCAGAGAGGCTTGTGCACTTGGGATTGCAAGCATTTGTCCTACTTCTGAAACACTTGTATGGTAAAGGACTCTGGAGCTCTTTAGTTCTCCACTTTTCTCCTTTCAGAAAGTCCCAATAAAATATTTTTGAATTGCCACCCTCAGCTTTAGCTGTGTAAAGCAATCTTTGTTTTTGCCATGGGCCTGGGGTAAATTTGAATTTTGCAACTGAATCTAATTGTAAAAGTGGCCAGATTGTCACAGATTTGCTTAATATGCCTGAAGGTTTAAGGTAATATCTCCAATAAAAGTATTTCAGAACATCAGTTACTATTTCAATCTTTCTTTATATACTGTTAGTATATTTGAATAAGATAGAGAAAAAAGGCAGTTTGAAAGCTACTGTTGGTTGGTAAAACTGCTTTTTTGTAAACCGCTTAGAGATTTTCTCATCAAGCAGTATTACATAAATAAATGTAGAAATAGATTTAAGTGGAGATAAATAGAAGAGACCAAAAATGCAGCCTTAGGGTCAAAGATGCTGCATCTTTCAAGGCTAGGCTAAAGGTGATTATGCTTGATTGTGCAAGTTTCCACATGCCATCTCCGAGAGTCTCTGAAGTCACTGGACTCTCACACGTCTTTGCTGCACCTTCAGCTTTTCTGTTTTTGTTCTGTGCCTGCAGGAAGATTTTACTGCTGCTGCATCAAACTTACAGACTTGTCTGTCTGCCCTGGGCCGAGCACTGCCTGCCTCTCGTTTAGACTTGGCCTGCGGCCTGTCCTGGAACGTTATCCGCTACAGTCTCCAAAAGTTGGGGTTGGTGCGTTGGTTGCTAAAGAGGACATCTCGGCAGAGACGAGCAACAGAAGCCCCTGCAGGTTTTGAGGATGAAGCCAAAACTAGTGCGCGTGATGCAGCTCTAGCCTATCATAAGCTCCATCAGCTCCATATCACAGGTAAGCGGAAAAGGGAGAAGGTGGCCGCTTCTGTGAGTGTCTAGTGTGATGACCTAGACTTATCTATGTACTTTGTCTGTGTTCAATAGAACATTTAAAAAACCTAAGTCTGCAGAGAGTGCTTCATTCTAGCTTGATGATACAAGTAGTGCCGTACTCTTCTTTGGGGTGTGTGTGTCTTGTTAGATTTATTCTTACCTGAAAATCAATAGTATAACCAGCTGAGATGATTCAGGTAGTGAAATGAAGGATGGTCTCCTATTTGGCCTTTATGAAAGAGCGTGATATACATAGCTTGAGATTTGTTTGGTTGATTCCCAAAGTTACAATCTTATAAAGCCTTGGTTTATATCTATCTACAATCTTATAAAGATAAGATTGTAGATAGATATAAACCAAGGCTTTGCAAGGCAGGACATTACTGTGTTTTAAGGTTTGAATGTAACAGAATCTCAGTAGCTCAAAGGGCTTTCCCAGATCAAACCATGTGAGGAATTGTACAGGAAAAGTCTCACATGGCATGAGTTTTAAAAAGTGATGTATATATGTACCTTCAACTCAGGATAGTACTCGATGCATCTGGTGAAGTAGACTGCAGCCCACAAAATCTTGTGACATAATTAATTTATCCAGTGATGCTGAATGTTAGAAGATTCAGGAAGAAAATATTCCAAGGAAATACCCCTTCATACAGCCATATTTGAGCTTCTGCATGACTGTCTTTGGTGCAAGAGTCTATCTTGGCTGCCCCTCTGTAAATTATTTTAAAGGAGATGACTCTTTGTCCTCTGGTTTCTGATGTAGGTAAGCTACCATCCAGCTCTGCCTACTCAGGATTGCACATGGCTCTGTGTGCTGTGAATCTGGCTGAATGTGCAGAAGAGAAGATTTCACCAAGCACACTGGCAGAAATTCACCTGACTGCTGCAGTTGGCTTGAAGACCCGCTGTGGTGGCAAGCTGGGCTTCCTGGCGGTGAGTAAATCTCTTTCAAGCCTCCCATCAGAATTTAGAACAAGTATGTATTGTGGCATATTTCAACTGACTACGGTTTTGCATGTGAATGGAAGTGGCTTTTAAGTTGATCTGTATAATTAACTTTACACAGAATTACTATCCTTGAGTCAGAAGCATGCATAGCTTTCCTTCAGCACCATATCTTACCATGACACTTTTTCTTTCTTACCAGAGTTATTTCTTAAGTCAAGCCCAGAGCTTGTGTAGTTCTGAGCGCAGTGCCATCCCTGACTCTTTGCGTTGGTTGTGTCACCCATTGGGGCAAAAGTTTTTTGTGGAGCGGAACTGGACAGTGAAAACAGCTGCCAAGGAGAGTCTATATTGCACTCAGAGGAACCCAGGTGAGACCCAGCAGGCTTATGAATGCATTGCCCTAAGTCTGCCATCCAGGTTATGGGACAGCATTATGCATGTGTATGCTCACTCTCTCTAGTCAATTCTTGCTTGAAAGCTTTTGGTGCTGTAAGAAATTGTGGAACATTGACTGAGCAATCAAATGGACAGTTTCCCAAATGGTGGAGTTCTTTCTGCAAAGACTTTCTCTGCCCAAACAGATTTTTATTTATTATTTCATTTATATGCCAGCCAGCTCAATGTGGTATTCTCACAGCAACCCTGTGAGGTTTGTTAAGCTGAGAGTTGGTGACTGGCCTAAGGTCGCCCAGTGAGCTTCATGCCCAAGTGGGGTTTTGATCCCAGGTCCTAGTACAATATTTCAAATCTTGCATAACATGGCAAGGGTTTGCACCTGATTATTTTTGAAGGATACCTGTGTATTACTATGGAAGCAGCCCTGAATCTTTTGTAACTTATTGAGAAAAGGAAATAAAGCTGATTGTTTTTTCATATACAGCTGATCCCATTGCACAGGTGCACCAGGCATTCTGTGAGAACCTCCTGGAGAGAGCTGTGGAATCCCTTGTGAAACCTCAGGTTCCAAAGGGGGCTGCAGGACATGATGATGAAGAGCCCTGGTAAGCTGCAGTTCTGTCCCTACCCTATTGGCATTTTTTCTCAGGTCGAGTAGCCGATTCTGACTGCCTGCTCTGTCCGTTCCTGTAGCTGAACAGGTGGGATGAAGGGTAGCAGCACAGATTTCATCTATTTGGTTAGGAGCAATGTGGCAGGGCCAACAGAATAAAATTCCTGACATAATGCAGACACTTGAATCAAATTCATCTGCCATACCTATTGCCTATGTGGCAAAGGGCAGTTTCTCCTAGCAATTTGTAACTGAATTGCAGATAATGGATTAGTTCAGGTGGAGCATGCAGTTTTAAGGGCAACACTCAAGCTCAACAAGGTTCATCAGTAAATTATTTCTGTTTTGGAGACAGAAGCACAGAGAAGTGCTTAGTATGCTGCTGGATTGTTGAGAGTTCCATGATAAAAGAAAGTTCCCCAACAGAACTTGAATAATAGCAATTTGCAGAGCAAGGAGAGAGCTGGTAACCAGGCACTCTTACTAAGAATAGCTGAGTCTCTTGAGCTTTGCCGATCAGAAGGTTGGGGGTTTGAATCCCCGCGACGGGGTGAGCTTCCGTTGCTCTGTCCCAGCTCCTGCCAACCTAGCAGTTTGAAAGCACGCCAGTGTAAGTTGATAAACGTAGAAGATAAATGGTGTTTTTGTGCGCTCTGGTTTCTGTCACAGTGTTCTGTTGCACCAGAAGCGGTTTAGTCACGCTGGCAACATGACCTGGAAAGCTGTGTGTAGACAAACGCCGGCTCCTTTGGCCTGCAAGCTAGATGGGCACTGCAACCCCATAGTCACCTTTGACTGGACATACCTGTCCAGAAGTCCTTTACCTTACCTTACTAAGTATACTAAGTTGCACACGTTAAACTGATGCACTGTAGAAATGTGTTGCATTGTCTTTACTGGTAAAAGTCTGATTTCTGCTTGTGCTTGTAGTGAATTCTCTAATGCTTTGGAATACCTGAAGTTACTCAATTCTTTTGTGGACTCTTTGGGAATTGGAACACCACCTTTCACTGGAAATTCTGTGTTGAGGTCTGCACTGGGTAAGTGTGAAGGAGGCCCAGGTTGCTCAGTGTCCCATATTTCTCAGTTTCATGCTGGAGATCTGCAAGCATTTGCTGCTGAGTTAGTGTTCTAAACTTGATTCAGCTGCAACATTAATTAATGTTGCCCAGTTGATCAAAAGTGTATCTTAAGTCAATGATATTTTTCTTAAATCCATAAAGGCCAAAATTGTCAATTTTTTGAAATTTCAAACTCTCATAACTAAAAAAACCTGGGGTGAGATAAATTTTAGATTTAAACTTAGTTTTGATAATTCAACAAGTGTACAAAATATTAAGAAAAGTGAATGGCATGAGGTAAAAAATTGGACCCCTTGATATGGAATGACCATATCTTCAATCTTCCATGTGACAGCTCTTTAAATATTTTAATATGGCTATCCTATCTCATCTTAGTCTAAACATAGCCAGTTCCCTCAACCATTCCTCATATATGAGGAAGACGCCTTCTGATTCAAAGAAATATAACATTGAGCAGGTAGAATTTTCCTGATATCCCATGATAAATCTCTTTTAGATGTAGTGCAGTTTCTGCTTTTTAAGACAAGCAAGTGTCCAGTCATATGTCAGTGATAGTATTCTACATTGATCATGGTGAGATTTGATCAGCAGCTGAGTGGAGACCTCTAGAGGAGAGTTCAGTAATTATGTAGATCTAATTTTTTTCTGCAGTACTTACGGCCTTCTCAGCTGAGATCTGAAAGTAAATACTTTTGACCACTTAATGGTTTTGGGGAACACACTGAGAGCTGGTAACTCAGCCAAGAGGTTAATGAGTCTTGTAAATTCTGGTTAGTGACTCCATTCCCAAGGCAGAAGCATTTTTAAATGAGATGCATATGTTGGCAGGGTGGTACCGAGCTGCTTGTCTCTGGTTGCTGTTGTTGTTCCCTTCTGCTGAAGCAGTAAGATGAAGGGGGGAGTGTCTGGCAAGATGCTTGGCTTTGTACCAGCCTGTGTGTCAGTGGCAGCAGCAGCAGCAGGTGGATGGTACCCTACTCTGCAGGATGGCATTCACTAATGTGCCCTGACTTCAGCAACAAAGGGAGTTGAATCAGTTTTCTTGTCCCAAGCCTAGCACACCTTGCCTGCCCCAAATGTCCATTTTGGCTCTCTCTCCCACAATTTATCCTGGTGACCTGCTCTTGTACGAGTTTAACCTCACAATCTGGAAGTCTTTTGGGACCCTGGGCAGGTTTACTTCAAGGAAGGGCTCACCCAGAAGCATTACTGTGATGGTATCATGCTGGTATCATGGTATCATGCTGCTAACTCCTTGTCCCTGCCCACTTTCCCAAATCAGGCTCTGGGCATTTCAAAGCAGCTGCTTAAATGAGATCTGAGCAGGTCTTGCCAGAAACTGACCTTTTCAGCATTGTCCTTCTTGTAAGGGTCCTCCTACCAGCAAGCAACCTCACACTATTCTAGTTTCTGGTAAGTTCATTTTCATTACACAGAAATATGTGTAACTGGGACCCGATGCCATTCTTCAAAATGAAAAGCAGATCCAAGATGGAAATTTAGAACAGAGAAGTGTCTGGGTATGGGTGTGACTTTTCCCTGCCTACCATTTTCTTACTCCAAATTGCCTTCCTCCCATGGCTGGCTCCCCTTCCCAGGCGCAAGGATTTCAGTGTGTTTGAATGCACTTTCGTAGGTTTACAGGGGGAAGGAGCTTGAAGTAAGGAAACAGTGGGTGGGGAAAAGATTCCCGTCTCCTGAAGCCTTTAAAACAAAACTTGTTGGGATTTGCATTGGTGAGAGTGTCTCATATTTATTGTTATTTTGTCTCTGTATACCTAGGCCCTGATGTGGTGTGCAGGTGGTGGTCATCCGCAATCACAATGACAATCAGCTGGCTCAGGGGTGATGATGCAGCCGTGAGATCCCAGTTTACCAACGTGGAGCGAATTCCTAAATGTTTGGAGATGATGGAGTGTGTGGCCTTTTTGCATTACTCTCACAATTGCCTTTTGTCACTTTAAATAGTTTCCAAACTAAGCTGCAGTATTTTGAGATTGTATTAACTGAAAACACCATCTATCAGGCACTGGGGTGGTGGATGCAAAGACTCTTCTAAGTGTTAGATGCAGGGTGGAGTTGGTCTCATCCAGCTGTGGCCATCTGGGTACTCAGTGCAGCATCAGGCCAGACTTGAGGGTCAGGGAGGGGGAGTTGCTCTGGACTATAGAGAGATTCTCTCTCTCTCACTTCAGGCTCTCTGTCCAGTTGGGTGGAGGATCTGGAGTGTGTGTTCCTGGCATTGGGAATCAGAACAGATTAGAGATTCTTCTGGTTTACTGCCCACCTCACTGCCCAGCAGTCTTTCTGCCTGAGCTGACAGATCTGGTCTTAGAGGTGGTGTTGAGGATTCCCATTCTGCTGGTGAGGCCTTTCTTCTTGTGCCGCCTCAAGAAGTCCAGAGAAGGGGCAACATGAGGATGAGCCTTTTCTGTGTTGGCTCCCTGTTTGTGGAATGCTTTCCCCAGAGAGGCTCACCTTCATTATACACCTTTAGGTGCCAGACAAAATCATTCCTCTTCTCTTGGCCCTTGGCTAATCTAAGCAATCTATGGCCTTTTAAACTGTGTGTGTTGAGGAGGTTGTTTTTGTTTGTTATTATGTTATGATGAGTGGTATATAAATTTAATAACATTATTATTATTTATTATGGCAACTTAGTAAGTGAGAGGCTTATGGAGCTCATGGAGGTGGTTGGTCCACGACCTCAATACCTTAAAGGCACTGACCTTGTTCCTGGCTTGGGATCTTTCTCTTCACTCTTCCCCCCTTTCTAGGAATGCCCTTGTGAAAGCTGTCTTTCATGTGTGCAAAGCCATGAATGCCTCCTTGTCAAGCAAGGCAGATGGGCAGCAGAGCTCCTTTGGCCACTGTGAAAGAGCCAGCACTCATCTTTGGAATAGCCTCAACATGAGCAGTGGGGTCTCAAGCACGGGTCTCAATAACGTAAGTATCCTCATCCTCATCACAATCATTTACAACTGGCGCTGTACATTTACAACTGCCTTCTCCATCATTTCCTGAGCCAAGGCTTGTGGGCAAATGTTTAGTCATCATTCCATGTGGCTCTGAGGTCAAATATCCTGGAGCTGAAGAAGCAGCAGCGAACATTTTTTTCTTCGTGATTGGAGAGACAGAGAACGTTCCCTCTCCTCTTGCCCTTTTCTGTGTGTTGACTAGAGCTGCAGTGTTCCCTTTCCCACAGTAGTGCTTGAGGAGTGCATTTGCTTCCAGTGTGTTGGCTTCCAGTGCACTGCCAGAATTAGCAGGCTGAGCTCTTGTTTGGTCCTGTCCTTGTTGCTTTTAATTATGCCTCCTGGGTGAATTGTTCCCACAGAAGGCACTACATGTCTAGTCTCCTGTGGGCAAGAACAGTGTGAAGTCCTTGTATCAGGGTGTCAGCTTCACCTTCATTTCCTTGTTTCTATGAGAAGCTGGGGCTTTCCAACTTTTGGCACTGTACAAAAATCGGGGCTGTTCATCACTGCTGGGTGGCAGCTGTAGTGCATTGTAGTTGCATTGCATGTTCTGGCAGTACTCGTGCAATGTTTCCGCAGTGCAGCACAGAGGTGCACCCATTTCTCCTCTGCAGGTTGGAATCTCCTCCGCTTGCCTGGATTGAATGCTGTTCTTTCTGATTCAGTGGTTTAAGTGATGTGGTAGAAACTTCCTAGGAACTTTACATCTGAATTGGAAGGGGCCAAGAGGCCATCTGTACAATCCAGACTGCATTGTACATTGTACTGCAAGCAGAAAGAAAGCATGAGAGATGAAAGTGGAGCACATGGGTTGAAAAGGCTGAGAAAAGCTATATGTGGCAGTGAAAAGGCAAATGAAGTGCCCATCGTGATCTCTATTTTGCTTAGCTGGTTTCCTTTTGGGGCATGGCCTAGATGAAGCAGCAGCTGCAGCAGCCATGGCAATCCACTTCCCAATGGCCCTTCGCCTGAACAAGGGCCACAAGGTGACTAAGAATGGGGCAAAGTCATGCCAATGGCATGGACACCTGACCAAGCACACCAGGTTTGTGTAAGACACGATCCAGGAGGCATGCTGCCTCGTCTCCAAAAAGATATGTGTGATGGTGCTGTTCAAGATCTCCAAAGACAAGCGAGCTCTGCAGTTCAACAAGAAAAGGGTGAGGACTTACATCCAGGCCAAGAGGAAGCAGGAGGAACTGAACAGCACCCTGGAAACAATGAGGAAAGCAGCAGCCCAGAAGAACTAGGAGTTCCCTGGCCTCCTCCCAAAGCCTCTGCAATAAAGCTTATTTTGAAAACCCTGTAAAAACAACACTTCTGTTTTGCTTAGGTATTTTTGAATGAACCAAAATGAGTCCTTCAAAATGCAGTTCGAACTGATATTAAAGATACTTTTTTTTTGCCACTGGAGGGCGCACCAAAATACTATTCTGTAGAAGATGTTGATTTGTTTTGCAGTTTTTTTATCCCAAGGGTACCTTCTCAAGATCATACTGCTTCATTTTACTTCTGGCTAATTGTTGGAACCTTTGGGACACATTTTCAAGGACACTTTCTTAGAGTCCCACTGTCGTCGTCCTGTTCCACAGCAGCTTTGCGATTTGCAGGGAAAGCAGGTAGTGTCTGGTCGCTTGTTACTGGGCAAGGTCAGGTTAAGCAGGTAAAGTCCAGTCAAGGCAAAGTCATGATTTTTCTATCTTGTGACTCCTGCAAGGCTAGAGAGATGGGAATATTGCAGGGGACATGTTCTCTGAGTCCATAGATGGTGGCAGGGCTGTGTCCCCAAGCTGGGAGATAGCTGAATAAGGTACTAATCCTCTCCCAGAAGTCGTTTGACCCTTAGGGTCATTTATGTGTCACCACTCTCTGAAAGGTTCTAAGGCCAGTGGCTAAAATAAAAATGAATGTACCCCCCCACTGCCCATCTTTTGGACAGTCTTCTGTCAGTGGATCTTCAGTTCAAAATTAAAACAGTGTGATTTGTTGCTGGAAGCCCACTGCACCCTGATTTTGTGTTGACACGTTTTCAGAACGCAGTTATAGGTGCTGATTTTGGCCTACAAAGGGGCACAGGACACTTCGGGATAGCCAGCCCTGTACCTTCCACATGTTATTGGATCACTGCTCCCATCAGCCTCAGCAGCATTGCTCTTGGTCAAGTATGATGGGAATTGTAGTTTAACAACATCTGAAGGGTACCACATTGGCTACCTTTGGATAACCTGGTTGCTTCCTCCATGCTATCTTGTCATGTCCTTTGCTGATAATATTTGGACAACAAAAAATTCAGAACATTCATGCTGGGTCACTTTTTGAGAAGAAAGGGAATTTGGCCACAGAGCTGTCGGTTGATACCATCTCATCTTTAAGATAAAAACACTATGTATCATTCTGCTAGTATTTTTAGATATGTGTGAGAAGCTTTTGTCTCTGCTGCATCCAGCTGATGATGCTGGAATGTCTTGATACTCCTGTCACTGAATGGGTCTGTCTCCTTGCAGATGATCCAGCTGCTAGCTTGCGACCTACTGCTGTCCCTCCGCACCACTCTGTGGCAGAAACAGATGAACTCCAGCCAGGCCTTGGGAGAGGCCTACCATGCTTCTGCTTCTGAGCTGACAGGATTCCAGCGCGACCTTGGCAGCCTGAGAAAACTGGCCCATAGTTTCAGACCTGCTTATCGAAAGGTAAGATCCTGCCACTTGTAATGAGCGAGGAGATGATGACCTGTCCCTTGAGTTCCCTCATGCTGTTATAGGCCAAAGGGGCAAATGGTCCACGAGCTAGGCCAGGACTGGTTTTGCTTTGAATTTCCAGCAGTGTGTTTGCAGTGGTGGCTTCCTGCTGGATACGTCCTTACTGGTGTAGGCTTTGCCCTTAAGTAGCATTCATTGGGTGTGGGGGGGTGTTGCGGTTTCCCCTGGATTTAAACTAATGTGACACTTCCTGAATGTTCAAAACTCTAGGTAAATTATCTCAATAATCCTTAAAACAGCCCTGTGATGTATGCCATTCCCATTATCCACATGTCACCCGTGTGAGCGGTGAGGATGAGAGAATACGGGGTTGCCTAATGCCGTGTAGCTTTTATGGTGGCTGCGAGATTTGAACTGGGGATTTCTAGATGGTTCTGTGGTAGAGTGTGGGCCACTGCTGGTCAGAAATAGTTGGGTAGCATGCCCCTCTTTCAAAGGGCACATTCTCTGTACACTCTTGCTCAGCAGAAAGGAGTTAGGGAAGGAAAAGTGGCTAAGAGGATTAGCACCAGAAGGTGCAAGCTTATCTGATAAAGGCGCATGCCCAAATCTACAGCACCACAAGGTGATGGAAGGTTGCTAAAATGTAGACACTACCCATTGTCTTCTGCTTTCCCCCTCCTTCCAGGTGTTCCTGCACGAGGCCACTGTGCGTTTGATGGCAGGGGCCAGTCCCACACGCACTCATCAGCTGCTGGAGCACAGTCTCAGGCGTCGAACACCCCAGAGTACCAAGCAAGGTTAGGAAGCTCTTGTGCCCTTTCTTGTCCATCTCTGCCCTGAACTGGGTCACCACCATCCCGCCCTGCACTATCTATCTATAAAATGCTTGCAAGCGATGCCAAACCGTATGCGACAAATGCCACAGTTAGTTTAGCCCCCTGGTGTGCAGTTCTAGAGACCTTTGGAACCCTAATTAACCTGAAACGGTGGCAAACGTGGTTTTGCTGTGATGAGGAATTGCCCAAAATCGGGGGGGGGGGGGAGAGGGGAAACGTTCCCCCCCCTTCAGTGAGCTGCTTTTTGTTCATAAATTGTAGGATCTAAGCCAGAGTGTTTAAAACGTTTTAAGAAGCGGTGGCACAAAGATGTTCGCTAGCTGACATCTGAGGCTGCTAATTTGAGCAAAAGTAAGGCCTGTCAGGGAGAGGGTGGGCCCGCCCACCTGTGCAAGTGTCATCTCTGTTACCAGGACAAGGCTGCTAAGTCTGGGCTGCCGGCCAGGTCTCAGCTTGGGGCATCCGAGCCTCTAGAATAAATTACTGCCTAGAGTTTCAGTGGGAGTTGGTTGACTGCTTCTTGCACTCTGTTGGGTAGCACCCATTGCAAAGCAATCTTTTGCTCACCCCAGTGTAGTCTTAAACAAATTGACTCCCGTGGTGCACTTAATGCCCCACAAGTGTGGCATTCCTTGTGATGCCTCTTTTTCCCATACCTAGAGAGCCAGTGTGGTGTAGTGGTTAAGAGCGGTAGTCTCGTAATCTGGGGAACTGGGTTCGCGTCTCCGCTCCTCCACATGCAGCTGCTGGGTGACCTTGGGCTAGTCACACTTCTCTGAAGTCTCTCAGCCCCACTCACCTCACAGAGTGTTTGTTGTGGGGGAGGAAGGGAAAGGAGAATGTTAGCCACTTTGAGACTCCTTAAAGGGAGTGAAAGGCGGGATATCAAATCCAAACTCTTCTTCTTCTTCTAGGTGAACTGGACGCCCTTCCTGGGCAGAGAGAGAGAGCTACAGCAATTCTCTTAGCCTGCCGCCACCTTCCCCTCTCCTTCCTGTCGTCCCCGGGCCAGCGAGCCGTCCTGCTGGCGGAAGCAGCCCGCACACTGGAGAAAGTTGGAGACAAGCGTTCCTGCAATGATTGTCAGCAGATGATTGTGAAGCTGAGTGGGGGCACAGCAATTGCGGCTTCCTAACCGTGGAGGATTGCAGCCTCGTCGCTCATTGAACGGGATTCTTGCCCCTTCCTACCCTCCTCTTCTTCCTCCTCCTCCTCCCTTTTTGAACACTGTTCCAGGTTAGGACCCTGAAAGTTGTGATACGCTAGCCAGGGTAGGGTCTTCTTGTAAACCAGCTTTTGTTGCTACTATATGCCTTCTAGTACAAAGGGTGCCCACACTGGAGCTAGAGAGTGTTCGCATTTTCACACACTGACAGAAGAATTTGCAATAGTGAGGAAGAAGGGTGGGTTCGGAAAGGTTGGTCCCCCACCTCTTTACAAAACAATCTATCTTTTGAGGAGGGGTTTTCTAGAAAGTAAGAAAAGCTGCCCTCAGCCCTTTTCCTAGCATCTGCGGTGGCCCTTGATCTGCACATCAGGTGCCATATGCTTTTGGCAGGCCCAGAGAGGCGATCTGGCTCCTTGGTCCTCAATGGGTTGCATAGAAGCTTTTCTATAGATTCTGCATTCTCTGAGAGCCTTTGGAGGTTCTCCTAAGGAAGGGCATCACAGTTTTTAATGCAATTTGGGGTTTTTTATAGCATTTTATGGCTTTATAAGCACTATGGACAACATCTAGGTTTCTCTTCCGTCTTCTGTGTCCTCCCTTCCACCTCTTACACATGTTTCTGCCTCCTGGCAGCTGATGGAGCCATACTGTCGTTAACTTTGGAGTTGTATTTCCATGCCCTAAAAGAGGGGACAAGGATGGACTTAGTGGTGAACCAGAAGCAGATTTAAGCTTGTGATTCAAAAAGCATGCATAGACAAAACACTGCTCTTTGTTTATGCTCATTTTTTTTAAAAAAAATAATCCTGCAGGACCCCCACTTCTCCCCAAAATCTGGATTAGGGAGGGGGTTGAGCATTACTCTTAGAAATTTGTTGCTGCTGGTTTTTTTGGGGGGGACCCCAAGACAAACTACAGCTTGGGGAAGATTTTCAGCAGGAAAAATAGCACAGAGAGGAAAGGTTAAAAACCCCTCCTCATCAGCGCTCCTACTGTTGCTTTTATAAAATAAAGAGACACCGTAAGTCTAAGTGCATTTTTTGAATCACACGCTTCAAGTCAGCATTGAGTTTTACCTTAACAAAAAAGCAAACTAGGGGCTGAATTCATTGTTCTCTGTCCGCTAGTGCGAGAGCAGAGCTTAAAGGTTTGGGCCACAAAGAAATCCAATGCAACAGTTGTGCTAGCCGAAGCTTGTTGTGCAACAATTTTAGGCAATGCATTTGTGCTTTTTTGCACAAAAGTGTTCTGCCAGTGCAACAAGTTTACCGCTAAGTGACTTTAACTTTGCGCTACGTTGGATACAACCCTAGGAATCCTTTTTTCTGATGTTTGATTTCTTTGGTAGCTGCATCTATATGAGTATGTTTAGGATAACAGTCTTAGGACTTGTCCACACTACCAACAGCTGTCTCCTTTGGAGAAGCTTTGACGGTCAAACAGGTTATAAAATGGTTTACACAGGTTATAAGATGTAGTTCTAGAACTTGGAGAAAGAGGAGTGGCTGCAACTAGGCCTCCTTGTTGGAAGAATAGGTTCTAAGAAAAGAGATTTTATATTTCATAGAGCTCAGAGTCTCACAAATCACTTTTGCCTTCTCCCTTTGCCTGTGCACCATCTCTGTTCTTGCTTAGCCTCTCTTATTTCATCTTCCAGATCTGTCCAAATCAAACACACAAGCACCGAACAAATGAATTTGGGGGCACATAATTCTTTGGGGAGGCCCATACAACTGTACATTGCAGTGGTTCTTGCAGCTAGTGTGCCTTCCATGCATAACAGCTGAACACTGCTGCAGAACTAAGACCCTCCATTAAAAAAAGAAAAGAATTTCCACCTTAAGCCTCTCATTGACAATTTTCAATTCAAATGAAGCTCTGTGTGTCCCAAAACACATGAAATCCTGGGGGAGGGGCTTTCTAAACACTGAAACAATTACATAATTAAAGGAACGTGGTCTGAATCGCACAGATAAGAGATGCATATCACATTGATATCAGATTTTTAAAACTTTCCATAGAGTAAACCAAAAGACGATCCCACAATAAAGCTTTGGCTAACTTTGGTTATTTTGAAGACCAATTCTCTATCTTCCTGAATATATTGGAACTAACAAGAGGTGTAATTTCATGAACATTCCAAATTTCCCCTTGGTATACGTGAGTGGATGTGTTTGAAAGGTTGCACTTGCAAAAGGTATCAAAATACACAGTGGAAGTGAACCTTGGAAGTTGCTTTGCCAGGACTAGTTCGTAGGGGTGTAGGGCATTTAGCTTCATATCTCACATCACATGGATGATCTTGGTTGTTTATCTTACAAACATGGGTAGCAACCATAGTCTATACTCGTGCCTTGGATTCAGCACTGCAGATCCATGGGCAGTTGTTTAAATAAGGCAGGCTGCAAGCCGAGGACCATCCTGTTCTCTTAAGGGTGCTTCCCGACAGCTGTTTTCCCAGTGATGGTAGCGACAAAACAGAAAGGGTAACAAACTACCTCAACGAAAAGGTACATTCTAGCAGGATGCCTGGGGTGTTTGGTGCTACCATCGCTGGTTTCCTTCCACAGTTGTTCTGCCACTCACGCAGATTGTTCCAGTCTGCTTGGAGTTAGCAGCCATCCATCTGGGATTAACACAAGGACCTGCGTGAATTGTGAGTGTTTAGCGAAGTGATTTAGCATGCCCGACGCTTAGAAAGAAACCTTTCCCATCTAGAAGCTCTCATAGCAAATAATTCTGCACAGTTAAGTTTTGAAGTGTCTGGATTAGTTGATGTGCATCAGAATGTCATCTGCTATTGACACTGTGTACCGCAGGACATTTCACAGTTCTGTGGATTTGAGGCTGTGAAAGCCATTTATACTGTCAAGCAGGAGAGAATACTATGGCTTAGAATGGGCATTGCAGTTGAGGGTAAAAGCCTCATGTTGTACAGCAGGAAGAGGCATTGAGGGTGGTACTGCTAGCTTGTGGAATTATGCTTGTGTAGATGCAACCTCCACAAGGGAATCGCCCTGTCTTTCCATGTACTTCAACCATTTTTTTTTAAAAAAGACACCTCATTTATTTATGGGTTTGTTGTCACCCAGGCTATCTCTGTATTATTTTTGTGTATATAATGTAACTTTTTTGTGCTTTTATATATGATGTGAAAAGTGTATTTATCCCAATGAAATTAGGAATAAGGATTCTTTGCTATAAGAAAACGTAGCTGGCAATGATGTCAGTGGGTGAGCGTTTCTGGTATATGTCCTGATTGTGACCCTCTCCTGGGGTTCATTGCGCGACTTGTCTAATAAAAATCAAATTGTACGCAATGTCTGATACTTGAAAGAAGCTTCATTAAGAAGAGTACATTTTGTTGGGTGGGGGTGTATGAAAAATGTTTAAAACATTCTCCTGCAAAGTGTGCTTGCACACCAGTGGTAGTACAATAATAAAAACTGATAATGGTAGTGGCTAAATAGGATTGTCAGAATGCTGCAGTGTTCAGTGGCCTAATTGAATTGATTAGGTTTTGTTAAGGTTAAATCACCAGCGTTTCCTCTGTCACACAAGGTCCATAAATATAAGCTACAGTAATTCACAAGGAGCGCAGAACAGATCAGAGCAAGCTGTTAAGCATTAGGATTAATCTGCCAATCTTCCCAGCAATCTTCCCAGCAAGGACTTGGAACAGAAAACCTACACTGATGATACATACGCCACAGGTTTGAAAGAACTATGAGGAAGGGTGTATATAATTGATAACATATCTCTTTTAGGGAGAATCCACAGTCGAACAACATTTGAAGGCCACGGGTTCCACATCTCTAGATAGACTTGAGTCCCGTAAATCTTTCCTATTACTTTAGCTTTCTCATTGCTGGCTCATATTTCTGTTAATGTTACTGTGTTTGAGACCAAGCTCTAGTTTTCTTGACATGGATAGTGGAATTTGGGGCTATCCCTGGGCTTGCTGAATATAGCCTGGAAGCTAAGAAGAAGCCTTTTCTCCTCTTGGTGCCCTTCTACGACATGTCCAGGAGGTAGGTGGCTCTCTGTCATAAGAGCCTGTTGCACCCCAACATCACTGAAGAGACAAATCAACAGGCGAGTCCAAGTTTCTGCACTTAGCAGCAGAGACAGGTTGTTTGGCCTTTTATTTTTCTATTGTCCAGCAGAGGGCAGAAGTACCTTAGTAAAGGAGTACCGTAATTCTAACAACTCTGCTGACCCTCATTTCAGCATTCTCATACTGGAGTCCTTGGAGGTAGGTAGGTTGAGTTTTCATAACACCTCAATTTGAATATATGCCACTGATTTGTAGTCTGAAAATCCTCCTGTATGGAATATAGAACTCTACTTTGTGCAGGCTCGCATCTTTGCACAGATCACAACCCTGGCTACAGTTTATATTTTTCATTTTCTTCCATCTCCTGGTACTCTCTTTATTCCATTCCCCATATATATGCATTTTTCTCCTCCCTCAATATGTTCTTTGGATAGATTAATGAAAACACCCAGGATATGTGCGTTCTCCACAAAAGGTTCTGGAGTGAAATACACTTTGAACTGCCCTGCCTCTCCTCCTCTCTTTTTTCCTGCCTTTCCACACACCTCCCTAAACGCAAAGGCAGGTTGGCAGAGACTCACACTGTTTGGCAGACCTGTTTCGGTTCAGCTATTAAAGATTAATCCTCCTGTGGGATTTCCAACATAAGATTTTAGAATGAGGCCATTGTGCTCTGGGCAGTAGCAGTCTTCCTACTTCCTCTTCTCATGGTGCCAGTGTTTCATGTGAAGGCAGGAATCACTTTGCTCCTTCCAAGTCTCGGAAAGTGGCAACAAAGGGAGCACTTCTGAGGAACAAAGTGGAACAAGGAACTGATACTGCCTTTAAGGCAACCTCTGCTGCTACTGATGCTAAGTGTGTGTGTGTGTAGGGGGTGAGCAAGGAAATGAAGATCAGAGCTGTGCCAATGGAGTGATGTGTCAGTACATCTGACTTATATGGGCAGTGCTAGATTAAAAGATACGAGGAACTTGCTGCAATATGTCTTCGGGACTCTGATTGAAAAATTTGTTAAGAAGCCACTATTTTCTCAAGCCAAATTGCTTTCACTTTCCTTAGCTCCTCCGTAAGCTGGGTCCAAGAAACTCCCTTTTCACAAATGTGGCAGGAAGTTTTCCACGTTTGCCCTAGCAGCAGAAGGCAGACATTGCTGCCCCTGCCAGGCACTGGAAACCTCTGTGTGAGGCGTGTGAGTGAACCTTCCAGCCGAGGTGTATAAAATTATGTATGATGTGGGGAAAGTTTAGGGTGGTCCGTCTCATAACATCATGCCAGAATCCAATAAAGCACTGAATATTGGGAGATTCAGGAAAGGCAAAAGGTGGTGCTTCTTCCCATAATGCCTACTTAAACTATGGGTATCTACTTCCGACTCTACAATTCTATGATTCTACAAACAAGGGACAGAAGCTGTAAATCTCATGAGGGAAAGAAGATCCAGTCATGTCTGCCAACTTGGATGGTTTTAAAGAGGGTTTAGATAAATTCATGGGAATGTCATTGGAGACCTACGTGGTGCGAGCCACACCCTACATTTAAAGCACACCGTTTCCCTGAAAGAATCCTGGGAACTGTAGCTTGTTAAGGGTGCTGAGAGAATTGTGGCTCTGAGGAGTAAACTACACCTCCCAGGATTCTATGGGGGAAGCCATTCGCTTAAGTGCATGGTGTGGATGTGATGGTCAGGTTCATCGGGCTCATTATTGCTCTTCTGGGCAGGGTTTCTGATGGGATTGTCCCCAACCTGGACATGCCAGGGATTGAACATGGAACCTTCTGCATGAAAAACATGTACAGTGGTACCTCGGGTTACATACACTACAGGTTACAGACTCTGCTAACCCAGAAATAGTACCTCTGGTTAAGAACTTTGCTTCAGGATGAGAACAGAAATTGGGAGGCCCCATTAGCTAAAGTGGTGCTTCAGGTTAAGAACAGTTTCAGGTTAAGAACAGACCTCCAGAACGAATTAAGTACATAACCAGAGGTACCACTGTACTCTGCTACTGAGATCAGAACAGAACTCAGTTATACTCAGCTAGTGGAGGCAACCCCTCTTTTTTGTTTCTGAAGCACTGCTGGGGAATCCCGGGAGAGGACACAATAGACAGTTTGCAGGGGGCAGGTTAGCAGGGATCACTTTTCTTGATGGGCACAACACCTCAAGTTTTCCTTGCACAGAACATCCTATGTCCTTGAGCGATCCCTAGGCTGACGCAACATTTTACTTCCATCTTGAACAGGAAGACTGGATAAGCGGGGAAGGGACAACTTGAGTTACTATTAAACTGGCTAAAGCCGTTCTCCCCCCCCTTCCCTTGGCTACATCTCCCCAACTATTTGCCCAACAGTCTGTAAAGAGCTTGCTGGCAAGAGTGATTAAAATGGATCAAGATGCCTTCTAGCTGTGTGTGCTCCATTTATTACAAGTCACCACAGAACAGACCTGCCTTTCGAAGAAGCTGACAAATGGTCCAGGCTATCAAAGCAGAACCCCAAAATGAGACCTCTCAGCTGGTGAGCATGCCTAGTATCATCCAGTTGATGCTGCTGGCAGCATTTCACATATTTTGCTTCACCGGTGCCTTGGTTCGGGGTGGTACCCTCTTTTGAAACCCATCTGGTTCCATCTGAAGACTGCATTGCAGAATCATTTTCAAATAAACTTAACTCCTGGTAAGGGGGAAATGGGTGAATGGGAGTGGGTAGCAATCTATGCTATAGGTGAAAAGCTAAGGCATTCAGTTGCGTAACTGGATAGGTAGAAGCACATGTGATTCAGTGGCAAATAATGTTATTTATTTGGAACTTATAGCTTGCCTTTTATCATAAGAGTTTGCCATCCATGGTGACTAACAATAAACAAGATGAAATAAGAATTAATGTGATTGTGACCTGTTGCCAACTCATATTTATTTTATTTTTAAATATTTGTACTTACAGTTCGCCTTTCACTGAACTGTCTCAGGGATGGCTGTCCACTTGGTCACTGAATATCCCCATTGAAGCCTCAATAGATGACATTCCCTCACCATTTGCACTGGTCTTCCCCGCAGTGCTGTTCTTGCCAGGTCTTGCCAGGATAATGTGGACAAAGAGTTTTGGAATCTGCTAAAGCATACATATTTATTCGTAGGTCACTGTGTGTCCTTCACCTCTTGTTGGGTGATGTGAATCATATTACGATGTGCCTTCAAAGAGAGTTCTATGAAAGCAGCCTCAAAAGAGCTTGAAATGTGAGGAACGAAATACAGCGTGTTTTGTATATGCCAAGAACGGCATTTTGCCAAGCTCCATTAATGTTGGGACACCTGATGTTTTATTATATAAATTTCCATAGCCCAGATTTGAATAAAAGCGAAGTTTTTCAAAATGTATGTGCCTATCTATCAAAAATGAAAATGCCAATTCCTGCAAGGTTGAATTCTGAGGAGAGGAGGCTTCATGAACACATAGGTCCTCAGACACGCATATACCCAGACAATGAGATCTCCTAGGAAATTTTATTATTTAACGAAGGACAAAAAAGTACAGACCAAATGCACTTAGGGTTCCTTAGGCATGTGCATTCCATGTTCTCATCAGGCCTACACCTCTTTCACCTGCATAATCCCCAGCCTAATAAATTTATGCCTGAACACAGTTGTTATAGCAGGAACCCAATAAAGGTGCCAACCATATTTCCAGAAGGGCAGCCATCTTTGTTTGCTGCAGCCCAAAACAATGAAGCATTCTTGTAGCATCTTAAAGACGAACCAGTTTATTGTGGCATTTGCTTTCCTGGTACTAGAATTCACTTCAGATTTCTCAAGCCCAAATGAAACAAAAGCAAGATTTTATAGAACAGATGTGCCTATCTATCTAAAATAAATCTGGCCAATTCCTGACACAACTGAAGTGTGAGGGGAGGAGGCTAATCCAAGAAAGCAAAGACATAAAGACATTAGACTTTTAAGGTGTGTAAAGGAAATGAACTGCTCTGTTTTATTGTAGAATAATACAAAATCTTGATTTGAGGATTAGGAGGTTAACTTGTTAAGCCTAAACTGTCCAGAGAGCCAATTGGAAGGAAAATAATCATTGAGAATGTAGTGCTTTGCTGTTGGGAAGAAGGTGCAGTACTTTTTTGAGGTTTCGTGGATTGGGATAGGCAGGAATTAATGTAGCTCTAGGCTGTATCTGCCAGTGACATGCTTTGAGAGTTAGATCAAGGTGGCATCTGAGAATGGAAGAATAAATAACATATAGTCAGCCTGGAGGCTGTATGCAGGACTATCACACAATTTTGTAATCTTAGGGCCTATATCAAGATAGGAAAAGTAGATTTGTATTTAATCCTTTGTTTATTTGGTCTTCTGTTCCAAGTGGGAGGCAAGCTGTGTATGCTGTTCCTATGTTAAATCTTTTTTCTAAGTATGTACATTAAAAAAATAAAATTAAACTGTTAATCTAAATTCATAATGCTTTGTAGTCTCAATTCTTTTCACCACTTCATGCTTAAGCCTAGTTCCACAATGCTTTGAAGTGTCCTTGAGGGCATTTTAGGCTGTTTGGTGAGAGACAACCAGGGTAAAAAAAATTATTTCACCTGGTGGCAGTGGAAAGAAGCAACACGTGCAATTACTTCACTGGATACAATCTCCTGTGAAAGGTCCAGAGGGAAATCATAGAACTGTAGAGTTGGAAAGGATCCCAGGGGTCATTTAATCCAACCCTTGCACTGCAGGAATCACAGCTAAAGAATCCTTGGCAGATGACCATCTAACCTCTTTTTAAAAACCAGTGAAGAAGAGTCCACCACCTTCTGAGGGAGCCAGTTCCACTTTAGAACAGCTCTTGCTGTCAGAAAGTTCTTCCTAATGTTTAGTCAGAAACTCCTTTCTTGTCATTTGAATCCATTGGTTCAGGTCCTATCCTCTAAAATACTCCAGCTGTCTCTGCAGCTGAATGCTGGTCCCACCTCCTCTCTTGCCCCATTATTCACGACCCACAATCCTTCAGATTAGGTAAAGAGCTTGCTCTGTGATCCAGCCACCGCCACCACTTCTGCAGGTTAAATTATTTGACGAAAGGTTCCCCAGGGCCTTGCTGCCATGCACTCCCGAAAGAGAACTCGCTGATTTCCTGGATGTGATCCATTCATTCCCCAACAAAGCCACACGCTGTGTGAACCTGGCTTTGTTAATTCTTGTGTCATTATCTATGCACTTGTAAGGTTGTGTTTTGTTTGGAAACAAGAGTGGGGATGCGTGATGATAAATTTCTGTGTTGGGCAATCTCCTGCTGCGAGGGTTGAAGCGAGAAGCCTAGCAACAGCGGAGCCTGTTTGTTATGGGAGCATCAGGAACAGCATCAGGCTGTGCAGAACAGAGAACAAGGAGTGGCCCAGTTCAAATTCACAACCTGGTGCTTCCCCCAGTTTGCCTCTGAAATAAGCACCCTCCTGGTTGCTTCTGTGGTAGCACCATATGAAAAGTCAGCATTTGTATATGCCAGCCTTCCCCAACCTTGCACCCTCCAGATGTCCTGGACAACATCTCCCTTTGCTGGCTGTGGGTTGTCATCCAAAACAGCTGGAGGAGGCCAGCTTGGGAATGGTAAACAGCTAGGACTAGGTTTGTACCAAAAAAAGGGAGATTTCGGTCCATTGTGAGAGAAGATGCACCAGAGGTTGACTCCAATTCCAGTCACACCAAGCAGAGGAACATGTTGTGTCCAGTCTTGTATCAAAGCATCATAAGCTGCATTTGCACATAACAACAAGTCAGACTTATTGCAGTTTATTAATGAATGAGCAATAAGCTGGTGCACACTCTCCAATCTCTCCCACTTTGCTTTTCCCTTTGTGTGAGTTGGGGTAGACAAGCCAGGAAGATTTGGCTTCCCAATTTCTTTGTATCAGGAATTGTGGCTTGTTCAATCAATCGATCAATTCTTTATTGCTGCCCAAAAGACCCAAAAGACAGAATTCTGTGCATATAAAATACATTAAAAAGTACCCAAATTACTTGGACAAATCATGAAGACTATGCTTTTTTCAGACTTTTGTCTAATGCAAATTTATCTCTGATCCTGACCACCTCAGAAAGATATTTGACAATCGCCAAAGTCACACTGGGAATTTTAATGTCTAGTAGGAACTTGGCATAGAATTGGCAGGTTTTCCGGGTAGATTTGCCATTAGTGGATTAATCAAATGTGGTTGGACCTGCTTATATATTCTACAGGACAGGAGAATGTGCTTCAGGCATTCTACTTCCTGGTTAGTACAAGGACATAATCATGTGAAATAAGGGACACCAGCAATCTACCTCGGAACATTTCAGAGGGAAACACATTAAGTCTGGCCTTAGTAAAAAGTCTACCATAATTGGTGACTGGCAAATTCTTTAAATATTCAACTGTGTAAAATGGCCTGACATACTGTATACTCACAGCACTTGGTGAGCAGGATGAGAATGAGGGGGCCCACAGATCACAGAAGGCAAAATCCCAGAGTCTTTGTTTTACTGATTTTAGAGCAGTGTCATAACCCATATGTAAGAGAAGGTCTGAAGACAAACCAATTGAAGCAGCTTTTTTGGGCAAGGACCTTGGACCAACAGCTTAAGTACACATCCTGAGATAAATGAAGGAGTAACCCTGTGCCCAATTTAAAAACACTGAACGTATGCCAATATTTGAAGGCTGACCACCAAGCCCTTGTCAGCAGAGGGCATTCCCCAGTTTCTAACAGTATGACTGAATTGGGAACACAAGCTCCTTAACAAGACATGATTGCCAGGTGATTTGTTGTTGGCTTGCTGATGATGGCTTATTAGGGAGCAACACATCGCAATCCCTAGTTTGGGTATAATAGGAAAACGAGGTTTCCTGGCTTGTTTGTTCCCCTTGCGCTGGAGAGGAGCAAAGAGGGAGAGAGCAATGGTGGCACAGCAAACTGTGTTTTTGATAGAGAAGGACAACATGCTGCTTGCTGACTGTAAACCATGACAAATCAGAAAGTCTGGCTTAATTTATGAGTTTGTGCACATATTTTGTACTCAGTGTTGTGAAATGAAAGCTGTCTCCTGCTATTGTGGTGAACCACCAACTCCAGTCACACTGGTTCCTTTTTGGTTTGCTAGATCAAACCTTAAATAAGAAAGCTGATTTTCCAACCTATGGCTGACATTTCTACAAGGCTCCATGGGTGCACAAATCACACTCTCCCCTGACACATAATCACACTCTTCCACATTCTTCACAGCACGGTTCTTCCCGTACCTTCGTGACAGGCAGCGCTACCCTTTCTCAGAGTTTGGTGGGAAATATCCCCTAGAAAGCAATGCCCCCTCCTCTTTTTCAACCCCCTGTTAAGGATCCACGATAGTGACTCTCTGACGAGTGGCAGGCAAAAAAACGTGTCAGCAGTATATAGGTTTTATATGCGACAAGAAATATTAACAAATGGCCGAAAGGTTTGATAGAGAAGGACAAGAATCAAGCGAAGAACAAAGGGAACTGTGTAAAAATTTCTTCCAGCCCTTGGCAGTTCCCTTTTTGAACAGTTTATTACTGCTTTCATTATTGTATTCCCATTTATTTTTATTTTTTGCATTTGTTTAACCACCGGGAAAGGCAGAAGAGGAATGTTATATTGGGCAAATGTTCAAACACAATGTTCTGGTTAATTATTGCAGCAGTTTGTCTTGTCCTTTGACTTGGCCTTTCTTGGCGAGGGGAAAAGAATGAGATATTTTATTTACCACCCCGCCAACTTTCCCTTCGATACATCTCCATGCAGAACGGTAGTGGAGTCCTCAGGTTTCCGGTGGATGCTGACCATTCTGGGATGTGCGATGTGATGAAGACGTGAGCTACAAACAAGAGTCGTGCATCGAATTGTGGAGCGACATGCATGCCGGTTTCACCACGCATGCTGGCCGAGTTCTGTCAGGATGCAGGAAACAGAGGGCCACAGCAAATGGGCAAGTTCTGTTAGGAGCCGCAGACGATCCCTCAGCACCGGTGGCCAAGCTTCCTTCCTAATTCCCTTGCTCTCTCACAGAACCTAGCAGTGACAGCCAAGAGGAGGGGGTTGCTCTGCCAAGTCAACACTAGGTGCTCCAGCTTGACAAGGCAGGCCGCACCTCACAGGCTGCTTGAATATTTCGAAGGGAGGGGAGATTGAGGAGGAGGTCTGCTCTAGACAGTGACTTCCGTCTTGCTGTTGGTGGAGAAGGGCCGCTGCTGCTGGGCATAGTGGGTGGGCGTCTGGCTGAAGACCTCTGGGAGCTTCTCGATGCTGAACTGGCGTTTGGTGGTGTAGGCCTGCCGTCGAAGGTCGGGGTGGTTAGGATCCCACCCTGGTTTGAAGGCCGGGCTGCCTGCCAGTGTGTGGGCACTGGCTTTCATCACTTTGGCCTTCTGTCCTGGTGTTGCCAAGCCAATCAGAGCACAACCGTCCTGGAAGGGAGAAACGTCTTTCTGGTGTAGCGTCAAGGGAGGGAAGGACAGCGTGGCTGATGGCGGCATGTCCACCACAGGAAACCGCTTGTAGAATTCCTCAGGAGCACTTTCTGGAAGGGAATATATGGAACAGAGCAGAAAACGAAGGGCAAAACGTTCTTAAGGTTGTGATGGCTCTCCTGACAGCTCTTTAACCACCTAACCATCCTGCTTGTGAGTATCACTAGAGGGTTAGGGATGTTAAATGTTAACTAATTCCATCTGTACATAAGCAGGAGAAGGTGAATGTCAGGTCTGCCGCAGTCTTGGTTTGTGTGTCAGGCTAAGCCAAACCACACATTAATCCAGGATTGTTCAGGTTCTCAGAGTCATTCTGCTGTGCTCAGCTAAGCCATGGTTTGGCTTGGCAAGTTGTCTGAACCCAGGTTTGTGGTTTAGCTCTCCTGAACAAGCCACAAGCTGTGAACCATAGGACAAACCTTGGTTACAAATTGTGGTTAGTCTAGAGATGGCTGAACCGTGAGCCCAGATTCAAAGGATCTGACAACCCATGGCATAGCACATCAGCAGAATGAACAAGGAGGAGCGAAGCAGTCACAACCTCCTCTCCTAGAGCTCAGAGGTTTGGGCAAAGCGATGGTTGGCTTAACATGACAGGCAAGCCAAGCCATGATCAACAAAAGGGTAGATTTCAACAATTTAGATAAGAATGATACAAAGTCTAATATATAATTACATCAAAGAGCAAACATGCAGGTATTTTGATATTGGCAGGAATAGCCATCATTGTTTTGAACACCTTTGAGTACAGCTAGATCGACTTTGACTTTCTGCATAGGCCTTTATTTTAAATAACTTTGTTTGTGGTTACCATAACAACGAGGCCTTCTTGAATAGGTTAAAAGCTGAAGAAATGGCTGGGAGTGATTTGAGGTGCTCACCCCTTCTCTGTGTCATAGGGTGGTCCATGGAGGCTCTCCAGCTGTTGCCTGTTGGTAGAATCCATCCCCATGCCTTAATCCAGCCTTTGCCAACCTAGTGTCCCCTGAATGTTTTGAACCACAGCTCCCATCCACCCCTAGCATTACACAGCTATGCTGACTGAAGCTGCTGTAGACCAAAACACCTGGAGGGCACCATGCCGTCAAAGGCTGTCTTAAGGCCTTAAAAACTCTTCCAAAGTGTGAGGAATAATAATTGCATAAAGGGGTGATTAATATTTGTTAAAGGGCAACTAATCCACGTTAAATTATTTTTGTCATCAGCTCTTAGTCATCTGCTCTGTATTCAACACCCCCACTGTAGTTGGGCCATGAGACTCACTCTGTTTGCCCTCAGCTCATGACTTATTCATCTCTCCAAAACAGCTCCCTTTTCTGTCTTAGCTCATGTTTTTCTTCCCCTGCAATCACTTTCCTTTCTTTCCCACCTCATTCAATCTTCCTCTGGCATTAGTGAAATCCAGCATTTACTACTAGCGATGGGCGAATCTGTGAATTTTGGTTTCTCTCAGTTTCTCATGTCTCACTTCTCCACATTTTCACATCAGTTTGTATATATATATATATATATATATATATACACAACAACAACCAAAGTCCTCATTAATATGCATCAGCATTTACATATGAACTGCTAACATGCACGTTTTTGTATGCAATTTTGCCTAAACACATTTTTCATAACACAATTTCCCATAATATAATGCATAATTTTATCCACTAATATATGCTTTTTATGCACATGTCCCCCTAGTATATGAACTTTCGTCACATTGCATGGCTGGAAAACTGCACTGCAAAATTTGGAAAAGCATGAGTTTCAAAAGGTGGCAGCATTCCAGTTCATGTGCTGTTTTGGAAAGTGGAATGAGGTTTATCTTTAAATGCGACCTGAATCCAGTTTCTCCCCATTCTCCAGCTACTATCCAGCAAAATGGAAGGCCAGCAACATGGTGGGGAAAACTTGGTCCAGCCAAATGGTCCCACTTCCTTGTGGACCTTACAACCTCCCCCTCCCCCCCACTTCATACATGTCAGAGGCCATCTCACCTCTGCACAGAAGGCTACATTCTGTCAGAGATTCCTAGGCACACCCCATGCAAACATCTCTCCATCAAGGCAAGCGAGAGACATTGCAACAGTTCAAGAACACATTGCAGCTGGGCAAAAACACCAGGGCATGGTCTGGACTATGGCTAGATGGAAAAGCTTGACCCATGTTTTGGCTCCCAGGCCTGAGGTTCCCCACCCCTAGTCAACAAAGACACAATGATGATGTCACCCCACACACAGCAATGGGCAGATAGGCATGAGTACATGGAGATATAGCATACCACACTGGGGCAACCAGCTCTCACAGCCTTCCTCCAGCAAATGCCAGCCTTACTTTGCCCAGCAGGAGACGCAGTGCCGCAATACCTACCTACAGCCTTGAGAGTTGCATACTTGGCATAGTCGGGCGCTTGGTGTGGCAGCGTGCTTGCCATTTGCAGCCGGTTGTTGTGTGAATGCGACAGCCCAATCTGTGAGACGCTGGAGGGGTTAACCACAGCGTTGTTCAAGTGGTTCTTGTCTGGAAGCAGAAGGAGGTGGCAAGGTAAGGCTTCAGCACAATCCGCTCAGTGTCCTAGGCCCTCCCAAGTGCGAGTAGAATTGCAAATTCTGTTTCCCAAGAAAGTGGACCTCGTGACAGGCAGCGAGATAGTGAGGCACAGCGGACAGACATCTGGAGGTAACAGCAGTTGATGGAGAAGGACAAACACCTACAACCCACCTCCAATGCCAGGTCACCACCTAGAAATTGCATCGCAGGAGGTTGGAGTAGATGACCCTTAGGGTCCCTTCAAACTCTACAGTTCTATGATTGCCTATAGGTAACAGATGAATTCTTTTTAAAACACCTCAAATATGTGACAAGAAAAGATGTAAACCCTAGTGGCTGGATGAAGTTGTCTGACGATGTTTGTGTGGATGAATTGGCATTAGTAGCTATATGGCAAGGGATGTTGAAGGCAAAGCTCTATTAGGAAGAGAAACAGAATTTGTTGCTCTCTCCGCCTCTTTCTTTCTTTGGCTGGGTTTCTACCTTTACCATTCTTCTGACAGGCAGAAATTCAGCAGGTGGGGAAGATGTGAGTCATTGGATTTAATGTGCATCGCTAACTTAGATCCATAAATTTCATTGGGTCTACTCTACGAGTATGACCAGCATTGGAAACAACCCATTGTAATGGATTGCTTTGTGGTCATTTCATTCTGCACCAGGTAAAGTATTTTTTAGCCCCCCAACCCCCCCGACTTGTCCCAAAGGTGGCAACCTAGGCTAGGGACTTCCCTGGAAACCTAGTGGGGAAGCAAGATCTGTTGGAAGGGATAATGCTGTGAACCCCTCCATCTTATGCTTAGGTTGTATACATGTGTAAATAAAACTATATATGCTAAAGACGCCACAGTCTCCATTGACCTTCAATCCAAGGAAACTGAACCCTGGTGAGCACAGGAACCCTTGAAGCCTCTTGCTGCTCAGACATTGGGATGAGCGCAACAGTAATACAGCAAACAGCCTTTGGAACACAGGAGGAGGCTTTCCATAGCCTATTGATTTGCTTGTGTTCTGTAATTCTTTTCTCACCTCACCACCTGCTGCCGGTTAATCTTGTGACAGCAAAACCTTTCGGGCAGAGTTTGTGCCTTTTGCAAAGCATGTCGGGGATACTGGATCCCAGCCTTAATTAAGGATTTGGGGGCCCGGCAGTATCAGGCGATGGCGATTATGATGACGATCTGAATGGCTGCCAATGTGGTTATCGCTCAGATTTCATTCTTCAGGGCCTCAAGCGAGTGACACTCGTCAGTTCTCACTTCAGTTAACCAATGTTCAAAGGTGATAGGGAGGGAGGCAGGGAGAGGAGGGAGGAAATCTGTATTTAAACTGGGACAAGTGTCATGGGCAAACAAGAGAGGAGGAGACAGAGCGCTCTCTCGGCCCCAGGCAGAACTGAGTCACAACACAAAGAGAAGCAGCAGCAAACCATCCCCCTCCATCAGCTGGATGTAAATCGGAGCAGAGATAGCCCCTTGCCTGCCAGCCCCCCCCTGCAAGAATTAGCAAGGAAGAGATTGTATGTGTAAAATGTTTGGGGGAAGTGTGCATGTGGGGGAATCCTGCCCTCATCTAGTCACTGGTGCGCTCAGATGGTTTTCACCCTGGCGACTGTTCACCTTGCAAAATGTGGGGGCTGACATTGCCAGAGGTCACACATCCCCTCCCATGATGACCAGCTGCATTTCTCCACAGGGGTATCCTCCCCCGACCCCCCCCCCCACTCAAGAGCAGCAGAGGCTGAAAAGATACAGGGAAAGGATTACTGCCAATTGTTCCCTTTACAAAATGCTCATGAGCAGTTAAGTCAGAAAGCTATCTGTTCCAATATTAGTATTCTTATTCTTATTATTTTACAATATTTCTATGCTGGCCAGTAACTATCATCTATCTCAGGACAGGGGGTGGGCGGATTTGGGGACTCCCTGGTCCTGAATGGGGCAGCTGTGCCCCTGAAGGACCAGGTGTGCAGCCTGGGAGTCATTTTGGACTCACAACTGTCCATGGAGGCGCAGGTCAATTCTGTGTCCAGGGCAGCTGTCTATCAGCTCCATCTGGTACGCAGGCTGAGACCCTATCTGCCTGCGGACTGCCTCGCCAGAGTGGTGCATGCTCTAGTTATCTCCCACTTGGACTACTGCAATGCACTCTACGTGGGGCTACCTTTGAAGGTGACATGGAAACTGCAATTAATCCAGAATGCGGCAGCTAGACTGGTGACTGGGAGTGGCCGCCAAGACCATAGAACACCAGTCCTGAAAGACCTGCATTGGCTCCCAGTGCATTTCCGAGCACAATTCAAAGTTTTGGTGCTGGCCTTTGAAGCCCTAAATGGCCTCGGCCCTGTAGACCTGAAGGAACATCTCCTCCCCCACCGCTCTGCCCAGACACTGAGGTCCTCCGAGGATCTTCTGTTGGTTCCCTCACTGTGAGAAGCGAGATTACAGGGAGTCAGGCAGAGGGTCTTCTCGGTAGTGGTGCCTGCCCTGTGGAACACCTTCCCATCAGATGTCAAGGAAATAAGCAACTATCTGACTTTTGGAAGACATCTGAAGGCAGCCATGTTTGATGTTTTAGTATGTTCTGATATATGCTGTGAGCCGCCCAGAGTGGCTGGGGAAACCCAGCCAGATCGGTGGGGTATAAAAAATAAAACTATCGTTGTCATCATCATCATGCCTCCCTGCTCAGGGTTCCTATGTGCTTCTAAAAATAAGTAGAACAGGTAGAAGTCCAACAGGTACAGCTTCTCCCCCACCCCACCCATGGAGTCAGCGTAGCAGGAACGCTTCATGTTTCTGCCTCTTACACATATGCTCTGCTGGAAACATTTAATGGGGCAGCAGTACTGGATTACTGTTTGTATACATTTGCATACATTATGTAGGCATTTATGGGCTTGGTAAGTTTGTTGTACAGTTGATATTGATGTGGATGCATGGATTGGATTTGTGTGTGTGTGTCCCCCCTTAGGCGCCTTGGGCTGCCTTTGGGGAGGAAAGGTAGGTTATAAATATGGAATGGCATGCAACAGTCAACAAAAAGAGAGGGAGAATATATTTTCTTCCTTTACTGATACCAAGTAGTGCTTAGACTAAAGGTTTTCTGAGGGCAGCTTGGCATATTGAGGGTTGAGGATAGGCATTATATAGGTCATGCAAGGACGTGAGGTGGGGGAGCTGTCCCTGCTCCACACAGACCACGTGTGATGAGGCTTCAGGAGTGCTTCCACATGGCAACCCTCCTGCATAACCTTGAAGGGTGCTCCTGTGCCTTTAAGAGCCAGGCAGAAGAAAAGTGTCCAGCAGGGGCAGCATTGTTCATTTTGGGGACTCTATGTTTCTATCCCTGCCATGCTGAAAGGGAAGAAGCCTTAGGGGTTTCCTTGCACATCCGGTGCGTAGAAGTCCTCTTTTGGGTTGTTTCACCCAGGTGATGCCCCCCTCCAACCAAGCTGGTTGTGTGAATTGTCACCAAACCCTCTAGGATAGGGATGAGCAACCTGTGAACCTGGGATATTCTGTATACAAAGAAAGTTTTCTCCTACACAGGCTGCATACAATACCACACATTTAAAGCACATGCCTTCCCCCAAAGAATCTTGGGAACTGTAGTTTACCCCCACTGTAAACTGTTTACAGCGCCCTTAACAATTTGCAGTTCCTAGATTTTTGGCTGGGAGAAGGAGAAAGGCCTTGCTGTGTTTTAAGCTGTTAATATGCACACAGCCGAGGACTTTGTGATTATCTTACCTGTGCTATTCCTGGGAGATCGAGAAAACCCATCGCTAATCTGGACCTGCACACTGCCAATGTGGCTCTCTGGCAAGATGTCAGATGGTCCATGTCCTCCTGGCTGTTTCAGGAGATCCGTGAGCGTCCTAGAAAAGGTATGGAGGGAAATTAAGCAGCGCCATCATAAGTAAAGATCCTGAGCTGTTTTACTGTGAGTATAATTCTGACACTTTTGTCACGTGTCATTTCGGTTCACCCATTGCTTACCCTTTGCACCTGCTTGCCTTTCCAGACACTCACAGCAAGGTATGTGCCCTTGCTGTTCATTTGTTGCAAAAGCCTCCCTGCTCAGAATGGAACAGGCTTCTGTTTGACGGATGCCTCCTTTTCTCAGCACTTAAAACTGCAAGGGGAAACAGCTTTGTTCTTTCATCTGCTGATAGAGCTCAGTTTTTCTTGAATGGGGCTGAACAATTTTCATGGTTATATAGTCTGTGAGTTGTGTCACGAACACCAGTGTTGGGGACCAGCTCCAGTGTCCCCCAACGTCATTTTTAAAAAATCTCAGTTGGACTTGCAGCTTTACTGAACCTGATAAGGGGCTTTGGTCTATCACTAACAAGAAACCAAACCGACAACAAGAATTTATTCACGTTCTATAAGGGGGGAAAAAGAGGGCAAAGAGAATATCTTATCATTTGTTTTTGAATCGGAATTTTGGGGGCTGTCCACCAAAATGTACAATGTGGATGTGTTTTGGTTGTCTGGATCATGCTTCTTGTCAGCTGCCCTTCATTTAATTTCATTTCATATTTGTAAAAACATCTATCCCACTTTTTAGATAAAAACCCATTGAAACACAACTGAAACTCAAAATCAACAATAGATACATAACTATTAGCAATGGAGAAACAATTAAGCCATATTATAAGTGGGCTACTGTGTGGGCAACTGTGTGGGCATCTGGGCTGCTGCCAACATGGCACTGTTGCTATTATTTCCATTTTTCTGGACTTCCAGGGTATTTCTTCTTTATGTATTCATTTCCCATATAACTGACCTATGGGGAATTTATCTGTTGTTCTCCATTGCACAACATATAATCTTTCCTTATGAGAACTGATCCAGAGCTTGCCAGGCTCTTTGCGGACATATCCTCTGGGTGTAGATTAAAAACTTGCCTTGCACCAAGGCAGGCGACTGGCCCATCTGTTTCAGAATGGGACACTGTGACTGGCATCAACTCTCCTCCAGCCTCACTACTTTAATTGGGGATATCAGTGACTGGGCCTGAGGCCTTAGCTGCCAAGGGTGGCAAGCCTTTTTTCCACTTGGGGGCCGCATTTCCTCCTGGATAGTCTTACAGGAGCCATGCAGCAATGGTGGGCAGAGTGAGAGTAGGAGGGGACAAAGCTGGTGAGCTTTTAGGGCTAAATTGCAAAAAAAGTAAAAATGACGTTTCCGAGGTATTTCTATGTGAAGTCAGCCAAAACGGCACTGCCGACATGGGCTGCCATATGTCCGAATTTCCCCGGACATTTTTACCGATTTCCAAACGGACACTGCTGCTGGCTGCAGTGGTCCAGATATGTCCAGGAGATCCCGGACGTATTGCAACCCTAGGCTGAGAGGAAAAAAGTAGGTGGGTCCAAATGTGGACAGAGAAAGAGGTGTAATTCTTTGTATCCAGGTAAGCAAGAGGCATTATGACAGTTCAACATACCCTCCAACATGTTGAGTCCATGTCTTACTGGTCATGCTCCCGTGTGAGTTACATGACCCTTGTAAGATCATGAAGCCCAAAATGGCTGCTGTGCTCTCGCGGGGAAAAACAGGATGTCCTGTTTTTTCAGGGACATTTGTGGGGGATGGTTCAAGGGCACACTCCAGATGGACAGGCGCACTTGTGGAAGGGTGCACAACAAGACAGGAGAGGGCCATGGCCTGGAGAGAGGGGATATGGCAGGGGCAGGGAGTGTAGCTTATAAGAGTCATGAGGGCTAGTGAGAGAGGCCTAGAAGCTACAACTCTGGTTCTCCAGAAGTTTGGACCCCAGGCCTGAGGTTCCCGAATGCAGCCTGTTATACATGCAAAAGCATATCTGCTTTCTTAACAGGAAAAGATAATCAGCTGCAAAGAACCCCACAAAAACCTCCCCAGAAAAATTATGGCAACTTGCATGATAACTTTTAAAATAATAATAAGACAAAAGCCCTAGAGAATAGCCCAAACCCAGCAGTTCTTGCATTCTCATACCTTTTCACAATTGCTTTTATAACTTCAGCATGAAGTGCCAAATTACTTCACGTAAGGAACATCTATAATTTGTGTCACATTTGCATTTGAAACACTAGGAGCCTTTCCTGCAATTCCCAGGGGCTCCTGGGCTGAGGCATGTGCACTTATGATAGTGCGGCTCCAGAGTCCGTTATACCAAATGGTTCTTTCTTCATGCAAATTGACACAGAAGCAAACTGGGTGGCAGGAGACTCCTGGCGGGAGATTCTTAAGTGAAGTTCACAACTGCATGTATTTTTCTTGACACAGATTACTGTGAAATGTGAAGCTAGGGCAATCAAGGACTCGTTTACCTGCCATTTCAAACAAAATGATGGTTAATGGATAACCTTTCTGTGGTATTCTTTGGTTCTGGCTGAAGAATAGTTTTCATTTTCATGCTAGGTCTCAATGTGTGATATGATTTCCTAAAAAAGCCATGAGCTCTTGCTACCAAGTTCCACTGAGCCTTTGCTTAAAGCATACTTTCCTTATGTGCCTTGATGGGCTAAAGCATATGCTGAGAAGAGAATCTCAGGAGGACTACGGGTTTTCCATTCTGGAATTAAAGGATGCTTACAGATTTCCCACCCCGATTTACACACATAATACAGGTTGAATATAGGTGGAAATTCACTGCACGAACACCTCAGCAGATACTGATTCCCTACCCCAAGATGCTTCTAGGGCTTGATTTTTGCTCTCTGACCTGCAGCCTGAGTTGTGTCTGAGTTCCCACCCAGTGACTTTCTTTGCACAGACCACATTAGCACATTCTTAGCTGGAGAAAGGGAAGGGTAAGCATACCCTCTTCCCGGAAGGCTCTCCACTTCCAGAAGTGTTTATATTTTCATGTTTTAATGAGATTGTGTCACTGTCCATTTTAATTATAGAAGTTTATATTTTAATGCTTGTGTAATTGGTTTTTATACTTGTAAATAGTTTCGAAGTCTATTCTGGCATTAAGTAGGATATATATATATATATATATATATATATATATGAGAAACGTTCTTCATCCTGTTTAAGCAATTGGCCCCTCCTCCCAACGGTGCTGATAGGTTAACTGGGGTTTGGCGGGAACCCCCAATGACTAGCACAGGGAGGCGGGCCAGCCCAACCAGCTGGTGAGCCCCACATGGCCCAAGGTGCTGTGTGCGGTCCCACAAAGGGCGCCCACAAAGGAAGGTGTGAGAGATCTATATCTATATCTACATCTACATCTACATCTACATCTACATCTACATCTACATCTACATGAGAAAAGTTCTTCATCACATTGACAGAGCCATCAAGATAATGTCTAGGAGTCCTACTGGTACAACAAGAACTTTCAGACCCTACAGTTACAATCAAGAACTACAGATTTGCACATTGACACTCTTGTTTTTATAAGGAATATTTTCCTGTTAAAAGCAGCTCAAGCAACTGCCTCCCCCCAGTTGTCTTTTGCCTGTTGATAAAGATTTTTGCTCGTTAAGGTAGTTTTACAAAAACAAACTTCCGTTCACTTTTCTGGTTGCTTTTCAAAGGATATTTAATGCTATGTTTTTTATTTGTTATTTCTTTCATTGCATTCGTTGCATTTCAGTCCACTTATTGCACTGTGATTTTAAATTATTGTAAGCCACCCTTAGTGGCACACGTGCATTAGGAGGACGTGATTAGGGTTGCCAAATTTCAAAAAGTGGAAATCCAGACACAAAAGTTGTTGAACTCTTTTTGGCAAAATCACAAAAAATGCCGACATGGGTTGCCATACCTACAGATTTTCCTGGACATTTTGCAGTATTCCAGGTATGTCTGGGAAATTCCAGATGTATGCCAACCCTAGACATGATAGAAATATTGATACCAACTGACCTCCTAAAATGAAACAGAAGCATCCCTAAAACTCAGTTGATGCCAGCTTATTACCCGCAAGTAGGCACTCCAGCCAACATCAGCAAAGGTTCGTCATCGTGGACAGATTAAGCTCCTCGTTAGGAGCTCTGGAAAAAACCATAAACGAGCCAGTGAGTACCGGCGAAGGGCCAAACGCTTTCAAGCATCTCTTCAAGGGGAGGCTGGTGTGAGCATTCGGGTGCTGGCTTACAAGCCCGGGAAAGCAAGCCAGGACGTGTACAGCTCAATGCTTGTACAGGGCCCCGCAGAGAAAATGCAGCCTGGCAGTCGCAGTCATGGGACTGAAGCCCAGGAGCAAAGGCGAAAGAAGGGACCCATGATGTTAGTCAAGAAGGATTATACTTAAGGGAACCTGAAGAGCCAGAGGGAGCCCACCCCCCATAGCCTGCAACCCTGCTGCTACGTTTCAGGGCAAGCCGGCGTTTTCGCACCAGTGTTGCCAATGCTCAGTAAATTTTAAAGTCAAGGAAAGAGAGAGAGAGAAAGAAAAAGAAACTCCTCTCTCTGTGTGTGGGTGTCCATAGGCCTATTTTTCAATTGTACAGTGCCGATCAGAGGGTTGGCGGTTCGAATCCCCTCGACTCCCATTGTGAGCTCCCATTGCTCGGTCCCTGCTCCTGCCAACCTAGCAGTTCGAAAGCACGTCAAAGTGCAAGTAGATAAATAGGTACCGCTCTGGCGGGAAGGTAAATGGTATTTCCGTGCGCTGCTCTGGTTCGCCAGAAGCGACTTAGTCATGCTGGCCACATGACCCGGAAGCTATACGCCGGCTCCCTTGGTCAATAAAGCGAGATGAGCGCTGCAACCCCAGAGTTGGTCACGACTGGACCTAATGGTCAGGGGTCCCTTTATCTTTACCTTTTTACCTTGGGTTACAGGTTACAGACTCCGCTGACCCAGAAATAGTACCTTGGGTTAAGAACTTTGCTTCAGGATGAGAAAAGAAATCGTGCTCCGGCGGCACGGTGGCAGTGGGAGGCCCCATTAGCTAAAGTGGTACCTCAGGTTAAGAACTGTTTCAGGTTAAGAACGGACCTCCAGAACGAATTAAGTTCTTAACCCAAGGCACCACTGTCCATGCAAGCAAAAGGGCCAACTAAAGCTTACTCTTCACAGTGTGTGTGCGTGTGTGTGTGTGTGTGCGTGTGTGTGCGTGTTTGTGTCTGTAATATAAACTCTGCTTCCCTCGCTTCCCTCCTTCCCTTGCCATACTAGGAGGTGCTGGAGCTGAGTTCTGGCGAGTTCTGGCTGAAAAAAAAGCCCTCTGCTCTAGTCTCAGTGATTTGTGCCACAAGGTTCTTGCCTCCCCTTTCTGACCTGTCAGGAGTAGAGGGGGCTTCTCCTTTCACATGCAAGGAGGGAGGAAGAGGAAGGAGACAGGAAGTGGGTTTTAGAGGGCAAGTGGAGGGCATGCAGACAAGGGCACCTGCCTTTGCTGTGCCGTCTGTTGAAAAGAAAACTACTTGGTTTCAGTGAGGGGTTCACTCACCTCCTACACCTCAGCTGAGAGCTGATCTATATGTGCTACATGGAATGAAGGTGACATAGAAATATGCAGTTGAGAGACTGAGAGGGCATATTTTGAAAGCTTCCCATTCATACTCTTTCCTCCCCTACAGCATGTTGTAAATAAACGTATCTGATACTGGGCACTGCCCTCCTTTAGATATATTGGTTTACCACACCACACACAAGGGCTGCTGACAAAAAGTGGAGGAGTATTCAAAGTATTTATTTTCCCCTCCATATACTGCCTTTCTGCCAATGCAGTTAAGGTGGCTTGCTGTTTACACACACAAAAAAGCACTCCAACACATCTGCTTGTCCCACTGCTTCCCCCCAGGAAAACTTGCTGAATTGGAGCAAACATCAACTGCGTTTCCGCAGACTGACATTTGCTCTAATTCACTGGTAAATTCAGTGTCCCGGTAAAAGCAGCGAAGCAAGCAGAAAACCTCTCGGACCCCCGCTTTCTAGACACAGGACAAGCAAAGTGTGGACGAGCCCTAGGAGTCAGGATGCAAAAGGAGAACTGGAAGGAAAAAAGCGCAATTCTATGTACCAGTTGCATAATCAATAATTATCACACACACACTGGCATTCTGAAGAGCATATCTGCTTCATTTTGCTCATTGGGTTAGATCAGCTCTGGAGGGGAGTTTGGCCTCCATGCTGGATTTCTGTGCAGAGTGATGAGCTGCAATCCCAGCTAGTCCAGACCATGTAGATTTAGAGCCCAACATGTGTCCGAGCAGCTTAGATGTATCACTGGAAAGAATGACAGAAACTGGGCGAGGATAAATAGGGTCCACAGTGTGGCTTTGCAAGGGAAAAGACCAGTCAATAAGTAACAGCAGGGGACGGCATTCTCCTGAGCAGGAATCTTCTGACTTCATGTTTAGAGGTGAAGCTGGTCATAGGCTGCCGAGGAATCCTTGCCAAAGGAGTGGAGGGGCTGTTGGTAGGGAAGGGTACCATGAAGGGCACAATCAGGGCTGCAGCAACCTAGTACACAACCCATATTGGGGTTTCTCACACAATGGCATTTGGATTGTTGACTTTGATAGTATGTTGAATGCAGGGCCGGGGTAGGAGTGTGGTGTGGAGGACGAGAGAGGGTGGAAAAAAACCACAGCACCAAATTCCGAGGTGTCAGTCAACATCTTTTCAGAACCATCTTAATTTGTTAAGGCACCAGCCCTACCACAAGGCTGAATAATTTTACATTTCAAAATCCTTATACATCACTGCTTTTCTAGCCCTGAGCTAATAATACTTAGCTAATCAGTGTCTACTAAAACAAGTGTCACAAAATTCTTGTTTGCCCCACCAACATTTACACTCCGTCCCAGTTTTAACTGCCAAGACTACTTGCAACACGTTCGTCTGGTCACACCGAACAAACTACTTTTGGGATGTGAGCCAGTGAGAAAGAGAAGCAATGTTTGGGGTTCCCATGACAGAATGATGGAGGGAGAGGGAGAGGGAGAGGGAGAGGAAGAGGGAGAGGGAGAGGGAGAGGGAGAGGGAGAGGGCTGCTGCTTCCAGGCTGTCGTTACTTTGCAGGTGGTATTCAATCACCAAGCAGCAAATTCAGGGACTCAGCTAGATTGGTAAAGAAAAAGCGTTTTACATGCGATATAACACTGTGGCACTAGATGGTGCTGTGGAGTCCCATCTTTCTCTACTGGATTTCCCTGTATGAGTTTACAATGCGTTTAACTGAATTGCTTCTTTGACATGTCTCGATCCAGCCAAGGTTGCACAATGAACGTTGGATTTGGCACTCTTGCACAACGAAACCTGTTTTAGGGTTTAAAAAACCCCACAGATTTTTGTGGTCAGGAAAGCAATGGGGAAGTGCACCAGACAGTATGTGATAACTGAAGTCATATAACCTTCCCACAAGCAAATCAGGATGAATGCTCAATAAACAGGCTGTCTGCAAGTGACCATAAAGTAAGGGTGAGATGGAAAGAGGTGTAAAGAAAACATGCAGAAAAATTCAGGATTGACAGTTATTTCTGCATTGCAGGGAATTGTACTAGATTACCCATTGGGTGCCTTCCAACTCTACAATTCTATTATTCTGACACCAGATGCTTCCACATTGCAGTTTATTGCTGGTGTTGCTCTTGTCTGCAAGTTTTTCATAGCATTCACACAACAAAGTCCTCATTAAAATGACACCACATATTATTTCCCTATTGAACACAGACTTGCTGTTTCTGTGGGTTTTTCTAAACTTGCTGAATTTCGTGCACAAATAAGAAATTTGGATGAAATGGGGCGGGGGGGGGGATATGGCAAGGATGATCTCAGCGGATGCCACACAAAACATGCATGTGTGAGCAGCCCTGAGTCCTCCACAAACTGCTGTGTGCAAGTGCCCACTGTCTGTACAGCTGAACGATGCCATGAGTGATTAGCAAGGCCAGCCCTATCGTTAGCCAGACTGAGGCAGCCACTTCTGGCAGAACGTTTTGGCTGACATGAAAAGGCAACAAATTGTCAGTTATTTAATTATTCCATCTTTACTACAGGAAATGCACTAGTGAGACTTTCTCCCTCAAGTTGCCAAAATAACCTCGCTGGCCTTTGGAGGGGTGTGTGCAGTTCTGGATTTGTTCCTGGTGTTTAGTGCACCTTTGTTTCTGTTTGTAGAAGGGCAACTGCTTCCTTCTCTCTGGCTTGAGCCAGCACCACAGTCGGAAGGAGTAAGTTCGGCGGCAGCCGGGGATGGAAGGAGCTGTCAGTTTTGGTTCTCCCCATTTCTCATTTCTCTACATTTCTCATTTCCCCAATCTTAAATTCAGTTCTCCGCACTTTACAGCGATTTGCGGGTTTGTTACCTCATCAAAATTCATCAACATTTCAGGGCAAATGTCTCCTAATAAACACACATTCATATGCAGTTTTGACTAATGCAAGTGCGATCTGCTTGTAGACTTCATGTGGATTCTTTAGGGCAGGCGTGAGCAAATGACCCTGCAGATATTGCTGGACTACAGCTCCCCAGACCAAACAGGGCTAAAATGGGAGCTGTGTGCCCCACAACATCTCGAGTCCCACAGGTCCCTAGTCCTGCTTTAGCACAACCATTTCCTCCACTCCTGATCAGATCACCAAACTGACCTGCTTCCCTATGTATTTACCCAATTATACCTTTTAAAGGCTGAATTCTTTTCTCTGGGGAAAGACAATTGCTTTCTGCATCTTTACAGCACCAAGCCTGATGGGTTGCTTTCTCCTACCTCAGCTCTATGGGGCTTTAAATACTGTATTTATGGTGTCTCCTTATGCGGTACCTTGTTTCCCAACCTGTGGCCCTCCCAACAGGCTGGGAACCTCTTCTTAGGAGAGCCAGCTCTTCTCTAATAGACATCACTCCACCAGCCAATCAGGCCTGTTCCCTGGGGCAACTGTATGTTCAACTTACATGCAAGCAAGACATTAGGACAGATAAAAGGAGACAAGATGAAAATTAGCTCTCATTAGTGAGCTGGGGGAAGGGCACTTCCCGCTCCCTGGCAGGTTCCTTTCTCAAGCGTAGCACTGTTATCTTCATTCCAACTGTGGGTGATAAGAGTACAGCGGTACCTCGGGTTACAGACACTTCAGGTTACAGACACTTCAGGTTACAGACTCCGCTAACCCAGAAATATTACCTCGGGTTAAGAACTTTGCTTCAGGATGAGAACAGAAATCACATGGTGGCGGTGCAGCAGCAGCAGGGGGCCCCATTAGCTAAAGTGGTACCTCAGGTTAAGAACAGTTTCAGGTTAAGAACAGACCTCCAGAATGAATTAAGTTCTTAACCCGAGGTACCACTGTACATTCATTTTAAGCATGCGAGTACCTGCTATGGGTAGTGCCTCCACAGAAATGTGTTAAGGATCAAAATGCTAGTCAATCACATAGAATATTAACATTCAACGTGTTTCATAGAAGTGTAGAGTTTTGGAAGGGACCACAAGGGTTATCTCAATCCAACCCCCTGCAGTGCAGGGATCTTTTTGCCCAACGTGGGGCTTGAACCCGCCACCTTGAGATTAAGAGTCTTGTGCTCTGCCAACTAAGCTATCTCAATGCAAGTAAGTTCCACTGAAATTAGACGCACTTGCTTCCAACTCCAAGTAAATACATTCAGAATCAGGATTTTTTTCAGTGCACACACAAAAACCCCGACAAAAACACAAGCAGACTTCTACCCTTTCATCCTTCCTCCAGTCCAAGACATTTGCACTGATATATCTGCCCGAAATCCACTATCAGAATCTCTGCAGTGATAGTATTTTGTCCGCATAACAAATTCAAACCAATATAACTGTCAGGGGTTATTCTAAACTGCTTCCATGGGGAAGCTGTCATCTCCTGCACACACACACACACACACACACACACCAGAACCGCCACTGCCCATAATTCACAACTATAATAGGTAGGCAACTCTGGCCAGAATATGTTTTCCAACACTTCTCCTACTCCTTCCACAAACTCTGTAGATTCAGCTCCAGTTTGGCCTATGCTTGTTTTACCTCATAGCTCTTCCTTGTCTGCCTGTGAGAAGCCTGAGAGGCCCAGGACATCAGAGAACCTGGAGCGAGCAGTGGGTTGCATCGGATGAGGCCATGGACCAAAATAGGGAGATGGATCTGGTTCCCCATCTCTATTCTTCATGGTCTTCATAATCAGTACTCAAAAGCTGCTATTCCTCACCCAGCCCAAACCACAAATGTGCTGTCACCCACTGTTCAAATATATCACAGTCCACTTCATAGCCCCTGCCATATTTTTGGGAACAGGTTATTATCCGTGCCACCTTCTGCTGCTGGGGCTCTTGGCATGCAGTATGAGACCATCTGGCTCAATCCTGGCTGCATTACAGCTTCTCTGTCCTTATGAGAACATTGTTATGAGCCACCCCCCACTTCTGCCTCTCAGCACCAGAATCCAGCACATTTCCAGGTGAGGGCACAATGTCTGCTCCCTGACACGAGCCTGTTTTAAAAGCCTTCTTTCCTCCATATCTGAAGGAGGAATCTTTTAACAAAGCAACCCATTTGTTAATATTCAGTGGTTAATTTCTAAAATGAGACTTGTGGGGAACCTTTGGCCCTCCAGGTGTTGCTCCTGTCAGCCCCACAAGCCTGGTCAATGGCAAGGGATGATGGGAGTTGTAGTTCAGCAACATCTGGAGGGCCAGAGATTGTCCACACCCGGTCACTGGAGGAGGAAGAGGCGTGCGGGGGGAGTGCACCACCTACGGCAGCGCAATTCCGGCGGGGCGCCATGCCCTTACGGGCGGCACACCACACCCCCAGGATGCATGCCAGCCCCGCCCCACCTGCTCCCCCCTCCCCGGTGCCGGAGCATGAAGCTCCGCCATTGCACCTGGTTCAGGAGTTCTAAATTTAGAGGAGTGTGCTTCAGTTATTTGGTGCTGGTAAACCTGTGCCCATGCTCACTGGCATTCCAAAATGGCACTTTTTTGTCGTTGACATAAAGTCAAAATATAGACTTCTTGGGCAGGATGTACATTTTGCGAGCCAACATTTCTGCACTGAGCCTTAAGTGTAAATTGAGATCTCAGTTAATTGATAAACTTCCTAATGAAGTGCCGCTTCTAGTCTTAACACCAGAAATTGCATGAACAGCACCAGAGAAGTGTTACATGTCCATTGGGGCCAATTCACACAACCTGTTTCCACAGCATATGGTCCTTTTTGCAATTACTGTAATCAACGGGTTATTTTAAAATGCTTTCCCAGAGCCAGGACTTTGCCTGCCTCTTTTTAAGAAAATAAATAGAAATCCCTTTGTTCACATTTTCTTCACTTCCTCCTCTTGCTTTTTGTGCCCCTGTCTGATACCACCAAAAAATCCCTTCCTTCCCATTTAATTATTTCTAATAGCCCCTGGTTGTACTCTTATCAAACAAAGAAATTTTTTTACAAGTCTTCTTGGTCTATATTTCCTACATACATTAGTTATTGCAATGGCCCAATACATATATACATCTTTGTGTCATAGGGTGACATCCCATGCTGTGCAAGCAGAGAGGGCCTCCCTTTCCATTTCTCCCCCTGCAGCCCTCTCCCACCTCCCCCATCTGATCTGGAGGAATCTCCAACCTGCCAGAGCAGATTTTGGGGGAACAAGGGATTAGGAGAATAGTAATCAGTTCCACCATTTGTGCCCATTCTGCTGGTGCATGATGGGCAGGGTAGAGGCCTTTGGATTTCACCCTAAGTTATTTCCAATAATTATGCAGAATTATTCTTGCTGATGGCCCAGGGAACAGGCTGGAATGAGCATGGCTGACCTCTTTTCAGTTTGCTGTGGGTGGAATTAAACATCTTATTATTTTATTTTAATGCATTTCAATTATTTTAACAGCTTATTCCACTTTTCTCCATCAAAGATGGGCCCAAAGCAGCTCACAAAATTAAATAAACCAAAACGCCATGTTTAAAATTAGTATGAATATTGTCTCATGTAATTGTTTGCTCACTTATACTATATAGGTTTAGGCACTAATAAGAGCCGATTCATATGCACAAGCTCCACTTCTTTTCTTCATGCCATATATTGGCTGTGTGACTCACAGTACATCCTATCCATGTCTACTCATAAGTAAATCCTATCGAGTTTAGTGGGCTTTATTCCCAGGGAATATATCCACCACTCAGTTTCATAAACTGTGTCCAAGCATGTGGAGACCAAGCCCCAAACATAAATTTAAGTTGTCCATGCTGTAATTTGCAGAAGTTTCCTAGGTCAGTCTCTTTGCCCTAATAAACAATTTCTCATAGCTTTTTTATTTCATTCAATTCACCCTCAAGTCCCTACTCACCCACAAATATAACATGTATTTATTGCCAAACTTGTTTCCCTAGCAGACAATCTGCAGACTAGAGCAGGCACCTCACTGATCAGACACTCACAGAGGCAATACGTTACCAAATTTCCAGAGCTTTTACATTTCCTGCCCATTCCAACAGCCTTATTAGTATCTTTGAGAGCTGCTGGGGAAGGACTCAGGGGCAGAGCAATTTATCTGGGGCAGGGAACCCCAGGCTCAAGGGCCAAGTTGGGGCCCTCTGGACTTCTCCATCTGCCCCTCAAAACTCTCCTCAAGCTACACTTCCTCTTACCAGGCCACACCCTCACCACCTGGCTTTGTACCAGCCTTGAGTGTTTTAGCCTGGCTGCAATGTGCCCATGAACTCTGATAATGCCTCTTGTTTGTCTGCAGAGAGAATTGTGAGTGAGTGACTGACTGACTGTACAAAAGTAAAATTTACACCCATTGCTCCACCCACTTTGGCCTGTGGCTCCCAGAAGGGAATGTGTCCCTCAAGGTGAAAAAGACTCCTTTCCCCTGCCTTGTATGAAGGAGGTCTCAGGTTCAGTCTTTGACATCGCCAGAGGAAAGGATCAGATGGCAAATGATGAAAAGATGCCTGCTTAAGGCCCTGGAGAGCTGTTCGCTGTCTGAGATCAAATCAGAAGCTGGGGTGGCTTTTGTAATTTCATGACTGTCCCTGGAAAATTGGTGCACTTGGAGGGCATGGGGAATGTCCTTATTTCCTCCACCAGTGCAGCTGCTGCCAGGCTTGGGGAGGAGGATGAGCCAGTGCTTGTCCTGAGCAGCTGTGAGGGAGCTTCCTGTTGCCTCTCTATGGCCTCTCCGGGGCTGCCTTCAGGTGTAAAAGTTGTACAGCTGCTAATCTCCTTGTCATCTGACGGGAAGGCATTCCACAGGGTGGGTGCCACTACTGAGAAGGCCCTCTGCCTGGTTCCCTGTAGCTTCACTTCTCACAGTTAGGGAACCACCAGAAGACCCATGGACTAGGACCTCAGTGTCCGGGCTGAATAATGGGTGGTGGAGACGCTCCTTCAGGTATACAGGGACAAGGCCATTTAGGGCTCTAAAGGTCAGCACCAACACTTTGAATTGTGCTCAGAAATGTAATGGGAGCCAGTGTAGATCCTTTAGGACCAGTGTTATATGGTCCCAGCAGCCACTCCCAGTTACCTGTCTAGCAAAGTTAGTCAAGTGATAAAGTGCTGCCTGTACAATCGCTGTACTATGGAGGATAGAGTGATTATCAAAGGTCAGGAAAGATACAAAACTGGGGCTGGATATATAGGAAGCTTGCATAGGACCGATTTCCAAACGTTCTCTCTCTAGCAGGAATTATTAACACCTTGCTCTAGGAAATATTGCCGTGCACACATTTGACTTGATGAAATAGTAAAACAAGAGCATTAACTTAAGCAAGATGAAACAGTGACACCTGTGTTGACTGTGATGGTGCTATTTCTGTGCTCTTTTCTCCTGCCACCTCTGCCAGCACACCTGGCCTCTGGGCAGACTTCATCCCTAGCATCTGTCTCTATAGATACCAAAATCTGTCTCTTCCTCTTCTGATTATGACTTCCCTAGTTTTGGCAACACATTTTGTTCCAGTTCACAGTTCCTGCAATGAAGCAGCTTGATGGTAGCATCCATAGTTTCCTTTGGGCTAGAGGACAAGTGCCCATTTAAACATCCCTTGTTCTGTTTCCCTTACTCCAGAGTGAGTTGCAGGGTCACCTGCCTTATTAGTGATTGGTGAACTTATGCATGCATTTACGTATGACTTAGATTTATAACCCACCCTGCAAATGCATTGGTTTACAATAATCTTAAAATAAAAATACAGTAAGTATCAAGTTAATAAAAGTGAGGGACATGATGAGTTGCATCCCAAAGCACCCAGGAAGAACATCATGGTCAGGAGAAGATCAGCCTGGTTCTAGCCATGAGGCAGAGAAGGAGGTGCAGTTAACAGAGAAAAAGCACAAGAGACGTTTGAGCAAAGCAATTGCTTCTTGGGCACAGGTTGGCTGGCCCCTTTAATCTAAAGTTCCTCTTGTCAGCCGAACAAACAGAAATTTGCACATCAGTGGCTGCTCAGCAAAGATCCCAATTTTCAGTCATATTTACCTGCATTCAAAATTGAGGAACCATATCCAAAATCAATGCTTTTTATTTGCTATCAAGGGCACAGCGGAACAATTGCATCAAGATGCAATAATTTTGCCAAGCATAGAAAGATTTCTTTTTTCTTTTTAATTCCCAAGTTTGGCTGTTCATCCAAAGCAGAACTAACTTGACTTTGGCTATAATTTAACATTAAGTTACACATGCTAATTTAAACTATTGAAATCAAGGTTGGTTTGCAATAACTATTATGGCCCACCACCGCAAAAACTTATATAGCCAAACGGAGCTGAACTAGTAAATTGTAATTCACTGTGTTCATTTTGTCCTAAGAAAATGAAAAACCAGTTGCTTTTCGTGGTCTACTGTATATGCTAGAAGTTTGCATTGTGGCCCTTCTAGTTTAACACCACAGGCTCGTCCACCCTTCTGCTTGCCCCATGCTTAGAAAGCCTTGATCTCAGCGGTTTCCCCCTTGACCCATGATTTCTAGGCACAGGGACAAGCAGCTTTCCCCTTGCTCTACTCCTTTCCAAGGGAAAACCCTCTCTTTAGCAAATTCCAATCTGGAGAAAACTCAATTGCTAAAGATTAGGTTTCCCTCTAAGGGAAAGTGGTGGGGCAAAGGGAAGTCGGGATGAGCCCTATTTTAGTTCTATTCTCCCTTGCTCCCAAACAATCATTTGTTGCTCGCAAGAGGAAGGCTAGAAAAAATAGGTGTAAATTTGCAGGGAAGCAGATTTTGGCTAAACGTTAGAAGACACTTCCTTGCAGGGAGGACAGTGGAACAGAATGCCTTGGGAGGTGGTGGGCAGAAGATGTTTAAGCAGAGGCCGAACAACCAAATTCACAAGGACACTGCAGTTGTACCCTGCATTGCAGATCCTGTTTTTATTTTATTTTCTTAATGAAATTTTATTTTCTTTTATTTACTTAGTACTGCTTTATTAACCACATTTCCCAGAGCTGCTTATTCATGTAGCAGATGGGTTTGTGCTATTGTGCCAGTAATGTGCGTCATTACCAGATGTGGTATGTTGGTGAGTTTCAAAGCTGTTGCGCAGCATAGCAATAGGAGAGGAGCATGGAAGTGGTCAGAGGGAGATGAATTGGGGAGACAACACACTTACAATCATAAAGGCACTTTGGCCATCACAGAACCAACCACTGCTAGCAAAACCCCAGACCCTATTGAAGAAAGCCATTATGCTGGCATTGCAGTTGACAGGCATTACAACACAGCTGTGCCTGATCGGCCATGTATATGATGCCACTTGGAACCACGTCACTGTGCTGTCATAGAGAAGAGCATTGATGGGATGATTTAAAGTGGGCATAAAGTATTTGGATGTGTTCATGCACACATACAACCATATTTAGCTAAAGGGTCGAATTGTTAGAACAGGGAAGAATTTAATTACTCCCCTATTTCTTCTTTTTAGATCTATAAAATGTGTCACATAACCATCCTATGAAACACTTGAACTTTGGGACGGCATCACCAAATTTCAGTATTGCTGAAGTTATAGCAAGTTAAGGCATCCATGATTTCAAATGTGATATGTGATGGAAAAGATAAGGAAGATGTGGACACCCCTATATTAATGGGGAGGGAACTAGCTCTCTATGGCTGTTAGACTTCGTATGGTGGAACCTCCATGGTTAGAGGCAATACCAAAATCTAGGGACAGAAGGGGGCAGGCCATTGCCTTGGGGAGTTGCTTGTAAGCTTCCCAGAAATGTCTGGCTGTCCACTGCTGGAAACAGAACAGACAGACGTGGGTCTGATTCCATCGGCCTGTTAGGTTGTTTACATACTTCGGGTGTCATTAGAAACACTTCAATATTTTGCACTGCCAGAAACAAAGAGAAGCCTGGGGAAATGACATTTGTGTGTTAGAATTTGGTATTGCCACCCTGCTCTGCAAATCTGGCATGAAACCCAAAGTTCAGCTTCCCTGGATCCTGGACTCTGTCATTCTAGAACTTGATGCTTTCCATGGGCTACAGCAGGTGGGGGATCTTGCCACCAGAGTCACATAGCTGCCTGGAAATAGTTCACAGCATGGCAATTAGAAAAGTCCATTTGGCTACTTTTGTGATCATTCCTCATGCAGGCTGTTGGGTGCCCCTGAACTGAGGCCGTTTCTGTGGCACTACACTGGATGGGCCATCATCCCTGGCAGCCTCCCATACACAGAGGTAGAGACCTTTATCAGATCCTTGATTCTGGTGCGTGCTCTGGCTTGGACTTTGCCTTCCTTGCTGCCCAGTGGGAGTCAGAGGAGCAGCTGATCAGTGGATTTGGGCTGAGAGAGATGCTCCAGGGCCATTTGCCCGGGATGCTTATTATACCCATGAGAAGGGGACACACAGTTGCCTCGACACCTCCCTCGATGCCAAGCACAAGCAGAGAGTCACTGACTGGGCAGATAGCCCCCTTGGCTGCCCATCTTCTTTGCTGTTGCTACACATCAGGTAAAAAGATTGCAGTCCTGGCACAGAAGCAGATCAAGCGCTAGCATTACAAAGAGCTGGCACCCAGCGTGGCACTGCTTCCCTGCCCCCTTCCTCTCCTCCCCATCTCTTCCACGCTGTATGTCATCATCCCTGAGCCCCCACATTCCCTTCCCACAACAACTGACAAAACGACCGCGCATGTTGCTATGTGTGTTGTAGGAGCCATGACTCGTGACCTACAAGTGCTACATAGCCTTGGGAGGAACAACTTCGCCTCTGACAAGAGACTTAATCCTTCTCCCCCTATTGCTTCTGGGGGACGGGTGGGTGGGTGGGGGGGAGAGAGAGGCCCCTGGCAGAAAAGGGCTGACAGGAGAATCAAGAGAGCGGGGAGGCACAGAAGTTGAGGGGAATGGAAAAGAGGACAGTTCACAACTGGGCTTGTAACACAGGGAGAGAATGAAACCGGAGGAAGGGAAGCGCAACGAGAGAAAGAAGCGAAGGAGAGCAAAACAATGGAATGCACACTATGGGAGAATGCTTGTGTGCGCGCGCAAGAGATGCAGATAGGAAACGCCACCAGACAACCTACAATTAATTGCCGAGTTCAGTTGCTTTGCTTTAGAGATGGCAGCTGCAAAGTGAGAGGAGGCAAAGGGTTGGTCCCAGCCGGAGACGCTTCACCGCCAATACCCGCTTCCAATCTCCACCGACACCCCCCCCCGCCCCGCATGGCTTTGAACTTGTTTTCATCGCACATACCGCAGCGGCATTCCGGGCTGCTTTTCCTTGAGCAATAACAAAGTTGGAGAGGTGTCGCTTTTGAATATCCTAGCTTTCTACAGTGTTGCGCGCCACTTGCCTTTTAATCCCTCTGCCCTGTGCTGGCAAGGGGTGCAAGGGCAGGTGCAAGCATGTGTCTGCGTGCTAGGCACCAGTGTTCATCACCCCCTCCTCAAACGCACGCACAAACACAAACACAAAACTGCATATAAAGTTCCACAAAGTTCCACAGCCTTGCTTTAAAAACAGGGTCCCTGGGGAAAAGAAATAATATATTCTGAGATACTGAGGTCCATTATGCACACACCCACCCCTCTCTTTCTTTCTCTCTCAACACATGAAGATATCACCAACTTTACTTTCAGCCTTGCTTCAGCCAAGCATGAAGTGTACCTGCCTGCCCCGGCTAATCTTAACACCCTTATTATTCTCTTCACAGTATATCTCTCTCCCTCCCTCCCACTCTCCACATTTTATAACAACTTACATTTTCTTTTGAAATTAGCCTCTTAGGTTTCAGCCTCTTAAGTAAAATTAACAGTTCTTACTCTCAAGAAACATTCTTTGCTAAGCTTCACCTACTTGAACTTCTCATTCCCACCCATTTGCACAATTCCTTTATTATGCACCTGAGCTGTATCATTCCCTCTCTTTGTCTTCTGAGGACTTAGACCTAAAGACAAAGAAGGTTGTATGTGTGGGGCAGAGTGAGGAGATGAGAAGAGGAAAAGATGTTGGTTGACTTTGTAGACCTCAGTGTCAGCCTCAAAGGAGGTGACAGAGCTACAGGAGGCAGTTGGACATGTTGTTTATCGAAATTCACTGCAAAGAAAAAGTCAAAAGGAGACACAGAAGGGATAAAAGACAAAGATATGGGGTTTTTTTTGGGGGGGGGTCTTACCTGGACATGGTCATCTCTGCCTGAGGGCTCTGTGATTTCTCCAGTCCCAACTTTGTAAAGATGCCTACCAGCACCATGATGGCCACCACACCACAGATGATGTATACAATCATGTTGGTCTTGTCCCGTGTGGGATTCTCGGGGGTCTCGTCCACCTGAGGTGGTGGTTGGCCTGTGTTGATCCATTCTGGCCTGTCATAATTGGTACAGCCACTTTGGTCCAGTCGCCCAGTTGTGAACTGGCAACAGAAGCGATACCCACAGGTCCCACAACAAAACTTGTAGATCCCAGAATTGCAGTTAAAGGGTGGGTCCCACTGACCCATGACATCATAATAACCAAGGCACCGATCGCCCCCAAGTATGGCCTCAGTGGTGGCCACAGCAGTGTCCTCCGAAGTGGGGCCAAAGCTGGTGTTGCTGTTGACTTCAATTTGCGCTTCTGGCTCAGGTTTCTGGGTACTGGGATTCCCAGTCCAAACCTGTCCTGGATCCAAGAGAACTAGGCAACAGAATCCAAAAATATAACCCCGTTCCATCTGCAAACCACCCCAGCTCATCATGGAAACGGTCTCGTCTCTCTTATTCTCTGACTGACTTCCCCAAAGGAGAAAAATCTTCTTTTGTCCAGACAGACAATCCAAAGAAGGGAATTCAAAAATTCCCAGTTAAAAGCTCAAGTAACCAGCACAAATCGTCGTCTACCACATCCAGCGGAGAAGAGATACTTCAGCCCCTCCTGACTAGTTTTCTCCGGCGCAAACCCCACAGTCAAAGCAAAACCCTCTAGCCCAGAGAAGGGTGTGGGATGGGTGGAAATAAAGATGGGAGTTGGAAGTTAAAAGAAGGGAGGGAGAGAGGGGGATGAGGCTAAGGAGAAATATCAAAACAATGTGCAGCACTGACTAAGTGAAAAGACAACCTCACAATTTACTGTGCGATCCCAGGAGGTGGGGAGATGTACAATTCTTTCTTCTTCTTTCGTAGCAAATATTCTATGCTTCTAGTTTCGTTTGAGAAGCTGCGCTGTGAAATGCCACAGACTACATTCCCATCTTGGCTCGAGCAGAATCCTGGAAGCAGCCTGTCCCTTTCTCGCTTTCGCTCCCTCTTCCTCAGAGACACTGCTTTCTGGAAAAAAAAGAAATCCTTTGCACCACTGAGAAAGGGAGGGATTGTCAGGAGGGAAAGAAAGAAAAGGGGAGGGAGGGAGAGGGAGCATAGGAGGAGTGAGAGGGGTCCTTATTTCTTCTTAAAGCCAGATCCACAATTGCCTGACAGTTTCCAAAGCAGACCAGAGAAGAAGCTTCGCCAACTCCTCCAATGCGCTCCGTGTCCTCTGTGCAAAGTCCTGGCTCGCTGCCAGAGGTTGTCATTAGGCCAGAGGGGATGCAAGAGGACACCAGCAGCTCCTTATTGACCGTGTCCACAGGGCCGCCTGCACAAGTGGCATGAGGGAAACAAGCATGCTACTTGCAAGGAAGAGGAGGAAATTGGATGTGCGCTGGATTCTTTGCTCTCCTTTTTCACATGTGCAGCTCTCTGCGGAGAAGTAGAGCTGCTTCTTAGCAAACACACAGAGACAGATATAACTTCAGTCTGGCAGTATTACAACTGCAATGTTATGTTTGAGAGCACGACTGTGAAATGATGGTCATAGGGCATTGTTGTTGCTGTTGCTGCTGTGTAAAAACAACAGCAACAACAAGAGCAACTACAGCTACTACCAGCCCCAGTCTAGGAATCTGAGGTCAAACATAGCTTGGGATATCTTTTAAAGACACATGCTATGGTTGGGCGGGGGGCAAAGAGACTAATGAGGTACAGAATATGAACACTCGCAGAAAACATAGCCGTTTTACTAATTTTCTGCCCCCCCCTTCAAATCTGACAAAAGAAAGCTAAACACAAGCTGCAGCCTGCAGAACCTCTACAGTGATTGGCTGTAAGGACATTGGCTTCTGTTCTTGAAATGAGTCCCCAGCCTTAGTCATTGGCTCAGCGGCTGAAGTGTCACGGAATGTTTACGAACATTTGCACGACTCATGTGTTTATTTGGTCAGCCCACAGAGTCTAGAGACAGATGGGGCACTGCGCTGTTTGTGGGAAGGGTTTCGGCAGAAGAAGAGTGTAGGCAACAAGAACAAAGTGTTGGTAAGCAGACGGTGCAAAATACTACTTGTTTATGAGAGCTACGCTGAATGGTGTGCGAGAGAAGGGCACATATGGATAGGAGCAGCATGAATACATATGTGAAAGAGTGAAAGGGGAAGGGACAAAGAGAAGTTATCACATGCACACAGACACACACACCTCCCCTCTCCATTTGTGAACTTTATGCAAGTCCCCACCTGTTTATGCGTACAGCTTTTGGGTTAACTAAATAGGAAAGCTCTGTGGCAGAGGCTGATGTTGTGACAGGAGGAGCTGCTTTTATTGAATTTTTCCCCAAAGCATTTAGCTATGAATTTAAATTATTTCTAGGCCACTTTTCCAACTTCAAAGCAGCATTAAAGCTACTCTTTCAGATTGGGAGATGAAAATTCTAGCTCCCCTGTGCCTTTAGGGAATGATTTGAGGTGTCCAAATCTAGAAAAACATACACGGAGAAGCTCTTCGTATTTCTGAAAGGGCACAGGCTAATCCTTACTCTTATTCTCTTTCAGCCAGAGAACTTTTTCCAGGACACTTGAGAGAAAAATAAACCAAGTCTGAGGAGAAATGTCCAGGGCTTTGTACTGTCATACTTATTCTGGCAAGACTGCCTATTAATTTTAGAAAGGAAGCCTTGCCTGCATACAAAATGAAGGACAAGTTAGAACCAGGAACAAAGGCTTGGGGCAAACAAGATGAAAACACTTATTCGCACAACAAATAATTAACTTACACAATTAATTGCCACAAGATGTTGTGATGGCTCTAGGAAAGGCATGCAGGACCATCAGGAGGGAGGTTCAATTACACTCCTGGCCTGTCACACTGACAGGCCCTTAGCTAGTGTTAAAATATGCAGCTAAAAATAATTCCACTTGTTTTTCATCAGTGGGAAGCTTAACTGCGAAAATGCCCCCTAAACAACCTCTTTCTCGTGGAAGAGAAGCCAGATTGACTGACTGCTTGCAAAATACTCACTTTAGTGGTAATATCACATTACCTTTTAACAAAAAGGAACCCGGGGCAGGGAGTATGATCAGGCTGAGAAAACTGTTGGGACAGTCACTTCCCTAATCTCCCCTGGAGCCACTTCAGGAAGGTGTGTATGTGTGTGTGTGTGTGTGTGTGTGTGTGTGTGTGTACACCCATACCCACATACCCGGAAGGAAGAAACACAGGCCATTAGCTCATGAAGGAGCCATGGTTTGCCCTCTGTTCTATATTTTTCATTGATTGCTTTCACCGTTCAAAACTGCAAATTGCCTTGGACCCCTTCCAACAAAGGCGGCTTATTAAAATTCAATGATTTCATAAATGTAGGGTTTGATAATATTTTCCGTTCTTCAAGACACTGCAGCAGGCACCACCCAACTTCCTCCCCAGGGGATAACAGAAATCAATAACAATCAAAGGACTAGCCTAAACTGAAGTGACCGAGTGAACAAATATTCAGCACCTGGGAGCACATTTGACAGCAAAATTTCAAATCTAAAACTGCGGCAGATTTCCTAACAAGGGAACTGTCCAGCTTCTGAACTCCAGAGTGGCTTCTTCCTCGAGATAACCCCTTTCAGAGCCTACTCATCAGTACCATTCTCCCTCTAAGTGATAAGATATTTTATTAAGAGTTATTTGCCTGTGGCCTTTACATGTGCAAGTTTAGGGGACTGTCTACATGACACCATGCTTAACCTAATGGTTTCCCCCCTTTTCGAGGAAAATCTTATTTGACTGTTGAATCCAAAATTAAAGAGTTCTCTCCAGCCATTGATTCTGATGACTTGCTGAGAGGTGTCCTCTTTTGCCATTCCTCCTCCTTGCTTCCTAGGACATACCTGTACCATTACTTGCTCCTTCCTAACCATGGTTTGTTATAGTGAACAAGGAATCTTCTTTCAGTGGTTGCAATGGTTGTAGAATCTCCTGGTGATTCCAAGAGACCTCATATCCCTTGGACATTTGGGAGGAGCAAAAATTCCAGGAAGGTCTAAGAAGCAGCCACAGAAGTATCATAGTGCTGAGGAGATGGGCGCTTGAGGCTGCAAGCTCAGGTGACTGAACAACCAGAAGGCTTCTCCAAAGACTGCTGGTATAGCTCTGTGTCCCTGACTTGCAGCTCTATTTTCCAAGTTGAATATTACACATATGTGGAGAGGAATGTCTAGGAGCCCCAGCAAAAAGTGATGAATTATCCATAATCTGGCAGGAGAATTTGAAATCTGCTCCTCAATTCTCCACTCAGCCCATGTTTGTGAGCAGAAAAGAGTGGGGAAGCAACAGAATTGAATCCTCACATGTCACATGGTGCAGCGTGTCTCAAGTGCTATGAACTTGGTCCTGCTTCCTCTTTTTCTACCTCTCAAGGAGTCCCTGTTTCAACCATCGACTTAATGGCAGGGGGCCACTGCTGTGCTGAGGAACACAAATCAACAACAGAAGACAACATAGCATGCCTTTGAGATACCCCTTTTTCTGGTAGCTCCCAAAATAAATAAGCACCCCCCTCTTTTTCTTACATGAGATGGGGAGAAGGAGAGAAGGAATATCAGCAGAGACTGTGTTGTTACAGTCTCCACTTCCCCAAACAAGTGAGAAATTCCAAGAGCAATACAAAAGATTTTGGTTGACATAACCTTGGAGACTTAATGGTGTCTTGGCAATATTTTCCCTGTTTGCAAGCAGAGCGAAAACAGGGAATAATATACGCCCCGCCCCCACTGGAGAGCTGGAGAGCTCTTGGAGTCTGGAACACCCTGGGCAGGCTGCCGCCTCCCAGTTTAAGCTAATTAGAAATAAAAACCAGATCTCTCATTACATCCTCAATTCCAACTGTAAACAGTAGTTTTTACACATACACACCCTTTTCAATTCATTATATATCATTTCCCAGTAAGCTTTAACCCTGTTACAAGACCACCACATATGATGAAAAGAACCATCTTTTTTTTTACATTTCCAACACTTATTTGATTTAGATTTATACATTTTTGTCAATTTACTCAGTGTTAGATACCACCAATATATCATTTTCATATAATTTTCTCTTAGACCATAACAGGCTGTAAATTTTATATCCATATTCCACAATTGTTCCCATGCTTTCATCTCTACATTATGCCCAATATTTATTGCCCAATGTGTCATTGAGGATTTTACTTGCTCATCCTTTGTCTCCCATTCCAACAATATTTTAGACACTGAAAAGTGCTGAGTAAAAGTGCACACACACACACACACACACACACACACACACACACACTGCCAAGCGCTTATACTAAACCCCACTCCTGCAAGTGAATTGCCAATTCAGTTGAATGTCGGCAGCTGTTAAAAGGAACATTAACATTCATTTATCAAATAGTGTATTATAAGAAGTCAATATTTTAAGGCAAAACCCATCATCATAGGCCAATTCAGAAAAAGCAGATAGCAAGCTCACAACAGGGCGAAGTACAAAAGAGACAAAGAGCAGTTTGCTGTGTGCAGGAGCAGAATTCACTCTCCCTCCCCCAACGCAGTGCAACCCCCCTGCAATTTAGACCCGTCCCAAGAAGGGAGGCTTCCTGAGGTTCTCATGCTCTCACCAGTGCTGTGGAGACATTGCCATGGCATTGCTGGCTTGTGCCTAGCATAGCTTTTCATTTCTATTGCAAAGAAAACAAGTTATGCCCAGAAGAGCCCTCAGTTTATACAAGTAGTCAGGGAGTAAGATTTTTCTTACATATCGCCCACATCCAGGCTTCAGAGTGACAGGAGTGTGTTTGCAAGTTTCCCTGTTGTTGAGGTAGCTCTCCCTGCAAACAGAAATTTAGCATGTCAGGCAGCCTCGCCTTCTTCTTGTATGCTGTTCATTTATGTGCAGGGAAAGTGTGTGCGTACGCAAGACAGCCCAACGTGCATTCTCCTCCTTACAACCTAAAGCTTAATGTGGTCAAGTTCTGGGGGAAAGCCTTGTTTCTGTTCTGACTGTGTAAATGGGCCACAAGCCCACCCTAGAGCTTCAGCAAAACAAGCCTTGTAGGAGGGCAGTTTCTTACTTGCATGGCCGGGCAAGTTTCACCCACACCCATACACAGTGTGGCCAGGCCAGGAATCAGAGGGCAAGAGGAGATTTCTCCCAAAAGGTTTCTCCTCTGCCCTGGAAACTTCAGTACAAAAGAAGTCCATTTGGCTTGAACCTCTCTGACCGGAGAAAGTTGAGTAGCTGTCCTTCAACCCTGGGGACTCCAGCTCAGAAGTCCCAGTGCCATCATGCTAATGTTGCAGCCAATGACTGAGACAGCAGCTCAGGCCCTCCAAACAAAGAGGCTCAGCTTATGGGATGGCGGTGATGGATGGAGCCACCCAGATGGTGCTGCAACTATATTTAAGGCTCAGTCTGGTTTTGCTTGCTGTTGAAGCAACATTATTGGATGCTTCTGCCTGAGCGTGCCATATGGAGCTATCTAGGATGCTATTGCTTTGCCAGGGCCCCTCCAGACAAGGTTGTTGTTTTTTGGCGGTGGGGGGTATAATCTGCAGCCTGTTGTTAATGCAATAAAAGTACATTATTGATGGGTTTATACTGAACTGTCCACACATCATGGTGTAATGCTAGTTGTTCTGCGATGCCTCCAAATGCCACCTGGAGGGGCACAATAAAAGCAGAACAACACACCTCCCGTGAAACATTTGTGGTATGGAAAGTTTGCAGGATTTTAGCAGGAAATGACAGGGCATGCACCTATTGCAAACCAAGCAGTGTCACTGCCCTGAAACTTTTACAGATGGCAATGGTCTTGAAAGCAGAATTGCATGTAACCACCCCAATAAATGATGGTAAATGCTCATCTGAAAGGATGTCAGGAGATGCTCTTTTGCATGTAACAACCCAATAAATGCCCTTTCATGGTCTCTGCTTTGTCAGACTTGCTTTGGGTAAATCCTGGACTATCACTATTTGTGGAAGGGAATCAATCGCAAACTGCAAATTTAGGTTTGTGCAATTGAAGTGGATTAAAGTGTTCTGTCACCCTAGTGTAACAAAGACTTTTTGCAGTTAGGAAAGTGATGGGAAATGCCCTGAAATCTGGGATGGAAGGGCAATTAATACGAAGACAGGTAAATACCCTGCTAACAAATCAGGATGAATGCTCATTTTGTTTTATAACAGCCCCATAAACTAATCAGAATTAAGGCTCAACTAAAGACCAGAAATTATCTAACAACTACAAAAACTTGGGGTGAGGAAATCAGGATGAATGCTGAATAAACAAACCATCTGAAGGGGCCCTTTACTGGAACATGATTCTTGCCTTGCTTGCTTGTGCCTTGTTTGCTGTACAAGAACCACCTGTCTGGTTCATGGCTTATGGCAGAAATCACCTTTCCCTTGTAGGTGTCTCACATTACATTGTTTTTATTTTAATCTACCTTTTTAAAAAAACAAAATGTGTGAGTTATCTCTTTGTTCAAAGTCACCTTAGGCAACATACAACAGTGAAACCCAGCGGTCCAATTTAAACAATGCAATCATTAAATCTCGCTTGCTGTATTATTATAGAAGCACAGGACACAGCTGGAAGACTCAAGACTTTGTGAACTGCACCATTATTTCTAACCAGGAAGAGAAGACAATTTCCCCTAATTTAAATTTAACCTGCCCCTGCTCCCCTATACCTCACACCAGTTTATAGCTGAATATACTTAGGGGACAAATTCTGAAAGCTAAATTTAAAGCTAGCCCCATCCAAAATGTATTATCATTTCCTTTTTAATGATAATGGTGAGGTCCACTCTCTCCATCTACTGCAGAAGGACCTTTCTAACTGCTTGCATGTCATGCTAAGCTAAACCATGGCTTAGCAAGAATGCGCTGGCTCCCAGGGAGGGAGATTGCAGCTGCTGAGTTTTTCTGGCCAGTGAGGCATGGCAGCTAAACCAAGGTTTGCCATATTCGTGTCTTCTGAACCCAGCATCATGGTTAAGGTTTCTCCTCCTTAGCTACAATTTGTAGTCAATGTTTGTCCTATGGTTACAGGTTGTGATTAAGGAGAAGAGACCTTAACCACCATTCTGGGTTTGGATGGATTCCGTACTAAACCATCCTAAGCTGCTATCCTACACTGCCCAAAAGAAACCTGGGGAGCAGCAAAGTTTGGGCAAGCTCCTTTCTAGGATCCAGAACAACTGCATGGTCATGATACACCATGTTGTGGCATATCCAGGTGTGTAAATCTGGCTAGTATCTCTCTTGAGTGATACAAGTTTCCACTGATTGCTTAGCTCAGCCTTTCTCAACCTGTGGGCCCCCAAATGTTGTTGAACTACAACTCCCATCACCCCTGGCTAGCAAGGCCAGAGCTCAGGGGTGATTGGAATTGTAGTCCAACATCTGGGGAACCACAGGTTGAGAACTGCTGGCTTAGCTATATATCTCAACATTTGATTTTACTCTCTGATCCTCTAAGACTAACACATGGATAGATGCTCTTTTTTGTCCTTTATAGAAAATGAATAGAATACTCAGCAGCAGAGTGACAGCCATCCAGGGCAAACAATTACCAGGCTGTGTACATTTTCAAGCAGCAGTCACTACATCTGGCCTGTATTGAATTGATGATTCTATGTTTTACTACAAAGATTAAGATCTGAGAGACCTGAAATGCAAAATTAAGCACCTTTTCTGGGAGAACAGATTCAAGTCTGCAATACTTCCGTGCCACAAGAAAGCAGCCCCAGTGGAATCATAAAAATTGCTCTGGATTTACATCGCTGTGTGTCAGATCAGAATTCTGCTTCAGTAGCCACCTCAACTAACACTGGAAATGTAGGACCACATCTTGCCTGCAGATACATCTCTCTGCAGCTCCACAGTTGGAATTTATTGTGCTGATTCCAGAAGGCAGAATGTGACTTGCTGCGCACTGACTTAATCTTTAATGGCACAATCAGAATCCTAAATATTTCAAAGGTGCCACATACACAAGGCAGGAGAGGACCAGGGACATTCTGGTGTTAAGCAGGACACTATTTGCAGGGGAAGCAAACCCAGAGGGCTACCTTCTCATTCACTGATCACCAAGCTGCCGTGTGTGTGTATGTGTGCGCGTGTGCGCGTGCACACACACACACACACCCTTTTATAGTCACTGGAGAAGGATGGGAATTTGTGAGGTCTGAACACACAGGCAGATGAATGCAAATGGGTTCACAGTTTTGGGCAGTGACCTTTATGCTCATGCTGCAGTGGCACACCAGTACCTAAGGGTGAGTTGCAGAAGCACGGCTCTTCCTCACACCACTCTCACTGGTTGGAACAGTATCCTGGTGTTCAAATGCCAGCAAACGGATTGTTGCAACCCAGCTTTTGCTTATGAATGCTAGTTAAGTCAGTATTCATTTCTTCTTTCTTTCTTTCTTTCTTTCTTTCTTTCTTTCTTTCTTTCTTTCTTTTTCTTTCCAGCTTTATTACAAAAGAATACTGTGGGCACAAATAGAAGACCACCCGTCACAGAATATATTTCCATAAAATGGCATAACAACAGAATAAAAACAAAATGCAACTATACCATAACTGAAATGCAGTATACATTATGTACCAATAAAGAGGCATAAAACAGGTAAGTGAAATGAACAATCCAGTTGAGGCTGGATAGCTCAGTTGGCAGAGCACGAGATTCATAATCTCAGGGTTGTGGGTTCGAGCCCCATAGGGTGTGAAAGATTCCTGCTTTGCAAGGGGTTAGACTAGATGACCCTCATGTCCCCTTCCAACTCTACAATTCTATGATTCTAAGTGTCACGTAAGACAGATACAGACAAGGCTCTAAGTTGAAGACTAAGTAAAATATATCCATGTTAAGAATAACTAATAGGCTCTGGGGGGTTTTTTTGGCAGATGATCCATACTGTATAGATAAAGAGGAAAGGGGGGGGGAGTTACGTTACCCATATCGTTTTATATGCTGGTATCAGAGATTGTGCATGCTTGTCTTCTATTTACTATCCACTCTTCCCCCTGTCCCACTGCTTCCCCCCAGGGAAAAGCACTTTTTAGCGCTCAATCAGAGCAAACAGCAATGAGGGTTTTCTCCGGATTGACGCTTGCTCTGATTTAGCATTAAAGAGTGGATTTCCCCCGGGAAAGGAGTGGGGCAAAGGAAAAATCTCTTGGACCCATGCCTAGAAAGCAGAAAAGATCTTGGATCTTTCTAGCCATGGGACATGGGAAGTGTAGATGAACCCTGAGCCTTGTATTTAGGGTGCTAGATAATCCCACCCCCCAAAAAGGCATCATGGAGTCAAACAAACTCTGGACATAATTTTATAGTATCAAAAACATTCTAATGTCTGTCAAAAGCAGCACGACAGAGGCCAATGTTTTGCCCTATTGCCTCATATGAACTGGATGCTCATGTCTGCCATTCCATTCTGCTCTGAGTCCCTCCAGATCTGGTTGAACCTTGTACCTTTAGGGTTTGGTTAAAAACATGATCACTGGCTCAGGGTGCTGTTCAGAAGTCTTTAAAGTCCTCTGACAATGCAGGGTGTTCTGAGACACTTAGTGCTCCAGGGCAAAGTAGTTAACAGAGGTTTTAATTACAAATATTGCCAGCTTGCAGCTGATGGGAGGGTGTGTACTTCCCATAGATCAGAGAAGGGGAGGAATTCATCGCTTCCCCCGATCAGTTGATTTAAGGCACGGATTCATCAGCCCATTTTCCCCAAAGAGAAAATGTTTCCCACCTATTCTAAGCCTAGGGTTATACCTGGAAGTCTATTTAACATACGCATAGGAATCAAACAAAAGGGACGTGGGTGGCGCTGTGGGTTAAATCACAGAGCCTAGGGCTTGCCAATTGGAAGGTCGGCGGTTCGAATGCCCGCAACGGGGTGAGCTCCCGTTGATCGGTCCCTGCTTCTGCCAACCTAGCAGTTCGAAAGCACGTCAAAGTGCAAGTAGATAAATAGGTACCGCTCCAGCAGGAAGGTAAACGGCGTTTCCGTGCGCTGCTCTGGTTCGCCAGAAGCAGCTTAGTCATGCTGGCCACATGACCCGGAAGCTATATGCCAGCTCCCTCGGCCAATAAAGCGAGATGAGCGCCACAACCCCCGTCATCCGCAACTGGACCTAACGGTCAGGGGTCCCTTTACCCTTTACCTTTTAGGAATAAAACCCCTATTTTTGTGCCAACTGCTTCCACATCCCACGAATTCTTGTCACAGTCAGCAAATTTATAGCACATTTAACTCTGACCATCCACTCGACAGAGCAAGAGAACAGGATCCGAAGGCAGCTCACAGGGGAGCGGCTGGAGCCAATGGTGACTGGCTGCCAGCACATTACCTTTATGATACATTTCCACACCAGGAAAAGCAAAGCCACCTTCTGTAGTTAGCAGAAGTGGAGACCTTGGGAAAGCTTTGTGTGTATATATGTGTGTGTATTTTGTGCCTTGTATGGAGAACCTGGCTGCACTATACCTTTAGAGCAGGCATAGGCAAACTCAGCCCTCCAGATGTTTTGGGACTACAACTCCCATAACCCCAACTAACAGGACCAGTGATCAGGGATGATGTGAATTGTGGTCTCAAAACATCTGGAGGGCCGAGTTTGCCTATGCCTGTTTTAGAGCATGTTTAAAGCACTTCCCCCGCCCCCCAATCCTGGGAATTGTAGTTTGTTAAGGGTGCTGGTAAATGTAACTCCATGAGGAGTAAACTACAGTTCCCAGGATTCCTTGCAGAGTGCATATGTGCTGTCAGTGTATGGTGTATACACAGCCCTGGTATTCTCATATGTGTACAAAAATTCTCACACAGTTGGCAACTCTGATCTCTATGGGGCTGCCACGGCCCTGCAGAAAACATGGCATGTTTCTGGAGGGTCGCTCCATGTGAAGTAATACACCCACTGGGACCTCCTGCCATTTGGGAGCTTCTGGCCTGGGGTTCCTGTTACTCCACTCTTGCCTTCTCTGCTTGCATCCTTAAAAAAAAAAAAAAAAAAAAGCTGAGCAAACCAGTACTTTCAATTACCGTATTTTTCGCTCTATAGGACGCACTTTTTTCCCTTCAAAAATGAAGGGAAAATGTGTGTGCGTCCTATGGAGCGAAGGCACTCATAGCCCGCGACCCTCTCCCGGCTGGAGAGGTGACGCGCGGCTAGTGAGGCTCTTGCCATAGCCGCCCGTCACCTCTCCAGCCGGGAGAGCGTGCGCGGGGCTAAAGCAAGAGCCTCAATAGCCGCCCCTCACCTCTCCAGCTGGGAGAGAGCGCGCGGGCATAAAGCACGAGCCTCAACTAGCCGCCCGTCACCTCTCCAGCCGGGAGAAGGTCGCGGGGGCTGCTAGCCCCGTGCGCGCTCTCCCGGCTGGAGAGGTGACGCACGGCTATGGCAGGAGCCTCAATAGCCGCCCGTCACCTCTCCAGCCGGGAGGCGCGCGGGCTCAAGCAGCCCCCGCGACCCTCTCCCGGCTGGAGAGGTGACGGCGTGGCTTGAGGCTTGCTAGCCGCGCGCGCTCCCGGCTGGAGAGGTGACGCGCGGCTATTGAGGCTCTTGCCATAGCCGCCCGTCACCTCTCCAGCCGGGAGGCGCGCGCGGGCTGCTGGAGAGGTGACGGGCGGCTATAGAAGCTCCTGCCATAGCCGCCCGTCACCTCTCCAGCCGGGAGAGGGTCGCGGGGGCTGCTTTGGCTCCCGCGCGCTCTCCGGCTGGAGAGGTGACGGGCGGCTATGGCAAGAGCCTCAATAGCCGCCCGTCACCTCTCCAGCCGGGAGAGGGTCGCGCGCGGGGCTGCTTAGAGCGCGCGCGCTCTCCCGGCGGGAGAGGTAACGGGCGGCTATGGCAAGAGCCGCAATCGCCGCCCGTCACCTCTCCAGCCGGGAGAGGGTTGCGGGGGGCTGCTTTAGCCCCACGCGCGCTCTCCCGGCTGGAGAGGTGACGGGCGGCTTTGGCAAGAGCCTCAATAGCGGCGCGTCACCTCTCCAGCCGGGAGAGCGCGCGTGGGCTGCTGGAGAGGTGACGGGCGGCTATAGAGCTCCTGCCATAGCCGCCCGTCACCCTCCAGCCGGGAGAGGGTCGCGGGGGCTGCTTTGGCTCCCCGCGCGCTCTCCCGGCTGGAGAGGTGACGGGCGGCTATGGCAAGAGCCTCAATAGCCGCCCGTCACCTCTCCAGCCGGGAGAGGGTTGCGCGCGGGGCTGCTTCCAGAGCCGCGCGCTCTCCGGCTGGAGAGGTGACGGGCGGCTATGGCAAGAGCCTCAATAGCCGCGCGTCACCTCTCCAGCCGGGAGAGCGCGCGCGGGGCTGCTGGAGAGGTGACGGGCGGCGATAGAAGCTCCTGCCATAGCCGCCCCTCACCTCTCCAGCCGGGAGAGGGTCGCGGGGGCTGCATTGGCTCCCGCGCGCTCTCCGGCTGGAGAGGTGACGGGCGGCTATGGCAAGAGCCTCAATAGCCGCCCGTCACCCTCCAGCCGGGAGAGGGTTGCGCGCGGGGCTGCTTCCAGGCCGCGCGCTCTCCCGGCTGGAGAGGTGACGGGCGGCTATGGCAAGAGCCTCAATAGCCGCCCGTCACCTCTCCAGCCGGGAGAGCGCGCGCGGGGCTGCTGGAGAGGTGACGGGCGGCTATAGAAGCTCCTGCCATAGCCGCCCGTCACCGCTCCAGCCGGGAGAGCGCGCGCGGGGCTAAAGAAGCCATTGCCCAGCGACCCTCTCCCGGCTGGAGAGGTGACGCAGGGCTATGGCAGGAGCCTCTCCACTGCGCCTTTCCGCTGCTCCCTGAACTGCTCTTTGGGGCTGGCGGTGGGCTTCCCCCCGCCAGCCCCAAAGAGCAGGTCGAGGAACCTGAAGCCTGGAGAGCGGGGGTCTCGCTCTCCAGGCTTCCAAGGTTGCCGCCTGGACGCACTCTTAAACGGCACCTTGTTTTAGAGCGGGAAAACAAGAGGGGGAAAGTTCTCCCCCTCTCTGCGCAGCGCCTCCTGCCACTTCGCTGAAGGGGCGCTGGGCAGAGAGGGGGAGATTTTTTTTTCTTGTTCTCCCCCCTCTAAAACAAAGTGCGTCCTATGGTCCGGTGCGTCCTATGGTGCGAAAAATACGGTAAGCAATAAGGAGAAATGCCACTCACCGTCTCTTTAAATTCTACTTATCTGCATAGCAAGGCAATGCAGAAGAAAACTCTGCTTGTCATTACCAACCTCTTGCTACTCTCCACAATAAATCAAATGGAATGGAAATTGTAAGGCACTATACTGGAAGCATTGCTGTGCAATTCCATGTTTGCCCAGTTTCACAAAGGCTTTCCCTGTCTGGCTAGCAAGGAAATGAATGGCTGGACTCTGTTCTCCATTAAGCAGTGGAAATCAAGGTTTAAAAATATTTTTCAGACTGGTAGAGTCATTTCACGTTGGAACTGGTGGAGAATAAGTTCCACCTCTGAGCCTGTGTATTTATGTTACTCCTCTTGGATCAAAAAGATATCCGAAACCCCCATTAGGGGTGAATGGATTTTGTTTGCCCTGTGAAAGTTTGCAGAAGGTATCTCCTGTCACATCTACCTAAATGGGTGAATGGTATTTGCTCAAAAGTTCTGGGGAATAAATCACTTTTGGAAAATAAAAGTAAAAAATCTATTGGGGGTGGGGGTGGGGAAGATTCACCTGCAGAGGATTGGACAACTGCATGCAAGTCTGTGAATGAGGGAGGTTTATAAAGATGGGAAATGGTGAACTAAAATTGCACCTCTAAAGTTTTAAGATATCTATTCATAGGAGCAGAATAGAATAGCAGAAGAACGTTAGGCCTAGGACCCACGTACCTATGGGACCGCCTCTCCTGGTATGCCCTGCGGAAGACCTTAATGTCCACAAATAACAACACTTTGGAGGTCTTGAGCCTCAAGGAGGTTAGATTGGTTCCAACTAGGGCCAGGGCCTTTTCAGCACTGGTCCCAACGTGGTGGAATGCTCGGTCACAAGAGACCAGGGCCCTGTGGGACTTGACATCTTTCCGCAGGGCCTGTAAGACAGAGCTGTTCTGCCTGGCCTTTGGTTTGGACTCGGTCTGACCCTTACTTTATGTTTCCCTCCCCTTATGGTTTTGATCTATGGGCTACTTTTAAAATGAGGCTGCATTTTAAATTGCATTTTAACCTGTATTTTAAATTGTTCTTTATTTCTTTTCCTATTATGTTTTTACTGTAATTTTACTGGTGTTAGCCGCCCTGAGCCTGGCTCTGGCCGGGGAGGGCGGGGTATAAATAAAAGTCATTATTATTATTAGAATGCCTCATTGCATCCACTCATTGGTGTCTGTGGAGGTATTCTGAGTGTACATTGTGATTCTCCCTGAGTGGTGGTGTATCCCCCCAAGTGACCACTGACTTTGCAGGGCTGTTGTTAGGATTAAAGCTAGATAACAGATGTGATGTACTTTTGACTAACTGACAACAGTATACAAATGTGACAATGGGAAGTGATATTATTGCTGCATAAGTGCAACCACTTACATGAGAACCAACAGGAATATCTCAATATAATTCTAGATTCTTTCCAGATTCCCCCCCTTCCTTTCGGCACCATGTTATCCCTGTTGCCCCTAGCAGCTTCGGTAGGTCTTGGCGTTTCAATATATGTGCCCCTTGCTCATGATATAGAAACTCTTCACTTTAGGATCTCAGTTCTTTTAGGCTGAAGAACCCAAATGCCTAGGTGCATGCCGTGGAGCCACAATTTACAGGATTAACATATTCCTGAAAGGAAGAAAAAGTTTTGAAAGACATTTGAGGCAATAAGGGGATTAATGTCTGCTATCTATGAATAATGACCCAATTTGTTTCTGAAGAAGTATGAAACACGATACAATCATGGTGATCTCATCAATTGTTATCTACATTATTTGGAGAATTTACTGTTTTATATACAATAGTCATAGCCTGGATATTTTGTGATTCTGTATTCTGTACACATATACTTGCCTGTGTTTATATTCATGTTAGACACAGGATGGTTATAGTATAACTGGGTTTATTTTGTGGAGTACAGCAGATTAACTTAACAGACTTCAGCCAGGCAAAGATTGCACCAGGCTCCCTCATCTAGCTATATGAAGAGTCTATGCTGCTAAAGGCTCTCTGCCTGGGAGTTGGCCTTAAAGCAAAAATACCAATATGCTTTGGCTTTAATTCTTGATTTTCGTCTGACTCTAGGCATAATACACATGATCTAATAAACTTACCATGGGGCACATGGAACCCCGTGAGGAGCCATCTGGTCACCTGATGGCCGTGTTTTAAGGCAGCATTTACTTACCTGAACACACTTCCTACCTGCGAGAGTAGAGAGGAAGTGCTTCCCTCCCCCCAGAAGCACCTATTTCTGCAGAAAGTGCTAAAATGCTTCTGTGAATCTCAGCAGTTACTGCAGCTGAGAAACACTGAATAATGTAGAGCAAGAGGATACAACATGAGAGTTTAAAGGAGAAATGCATTGCTTCACCTCAAGTCTCAGGAAAGCGGAAGAAGTAGGGGAGGAAGAGGAAGAGGAAGAGGAAGAGGAATGGTATTCACTGCAGCATTCTCTTGATGCTGGACACTGGCTGGGCCTCCCCAAGATGCCTTCTCTTCTGTGAGCCTGTATGATGGCCCTAGTAACAGTTTGAGGAATTCTGTGTTTGGCTCAGTAAAGGTAAAGGGACCCCTGACCATTAGGTCCAGTCGTGGCCGATTCTGGGGTTGCGGCGCTCATCTCGCTTTATTGGCCGAGGGAGCCGGCATACAGCTTCCGGGTCATGTGGCCAGCATGACTAAGCTGCTTCTGGTGAACCAGAGCAGCGCATGGAAACGGCGTTTACCTTCCCGCCAGAGCGGTACCTATTCATCTACTTGCACTTTGACGTGCTTTCGAACTGCTAGGTTGGCAGGAGCAGGGGCCAAGCAACGGGAGATCACCCCGTTGCGGGGATTCGAACCACTGACCTTCTGATCGGCAAGTCCTAGGCTCTGTGGTTTAACCCACAGCGCCACCCACGTCCCCCGTTTGGCTCAGTAGAGAGGTGCAAACCAGAGACTAGTGAACCCACCCCAAGGCTAGAAGAATATATGGCTTTTAACTTCCACTAGGAAATCTCCCCTTGCTACAGATAATGTGCAGTACTACTGTTCACAAGCTAAGTATGCTTTTCCCATTTTCAGATGTCACTACACTACCTGCAAGAGGTGGTGGAGAAGACATCACTCACCCCCATGTACATATTTCAGATGATACTGCCCTGCAACTCAGTTTGGATGTACTGTATCTCACAGGCATATTGCTTACCTGCCTTCACTCCCGCACCTTGCTCTCTGGTGAGAAGGATAAAGTCAGGGAAGGAACAAATGTCAGTTTCACCAGTGTTGCCAGTGACAATGCACACCATACATCCTTTTGAAGGGAAGCAAAAGTAAAAATTCCTCCTCCCCTCTTTGGATCAGAATCAGCAACTGAGGCAGAGAACAGTGGGTGCTTCCAAATGAGTGTTGTGCTCTTCATGTAGGAATTTTTTTTTGTGTGCCGTCCACACAATTTTCATCAAAATGTCTCTCTGTGCCGCTCCCAAATTAATCCAGATTTACCGGGGGGGGGGGGGGCTGGGGCGGAGGAATCCAATAATATAAAAAAAGCCATACAAACCCACAACCACCCCTGGCCAATTCACAATATCTCAGTTTGTTTCTGATATTAAGCTCCTCCTGGAAGCCCCTCAAAATGTCATTTTCTCCACACCAATGGAACCAATAGGAATTTCCTTCAACCATTAGCTTCAACGAAACGAGGTTTCCCCTCCATTTCTGTAAGGGGCATTTGGGAGGTTAAATTGTGAAAAAAGGCCTGCACACATGCCTATGATGACCCCAGAAAATGGAATCCCAGAAAATGGGATTCAAGTAGAATAAATATGTTCACAGGTGATACCAAACA